CGACGACGCGGATGGTCGTCAAAAGGGGCCCGTCGTGAGTCGATCTTCGAGGCGACGGTGCAGGACGCGATCGGACCTTCGGTCGAAATGAAATTTCACGGTTCGATCCCGCCATTAAGGTTTTCCTAGGCCGGCTTACTCGGTCCCAGGCCGATGGAGCGTCGAGACGCGGAGAGACGCGCCGAGAGGAGAGGAAGAGACGAGGGATCCTTAATCATCGTCCTCCCCCTTGCTAAGATGAATCGTGCATTCGCGCCCGAGTCTGCACCCCTTTCCCGAGCCCCTAACCGAAGAACGGTTAGGTTTCCTGCAGAGGTTGCGCCCTATAATGCTCTCTCCTCGGGTCCCTCTTCGTCATTCCCAGCCCTTCTTTCTGTATTTCGGGCGGCATAGAGCCTCGCAACGTCCAGGAACCTCTCCGCGCCCTCCTCAGGAATTACGCAAAGAGTTCTCTCACTCCCTCCCGAGCGTTCCCAAAATTCTTCTGAGCAGGTCCGTCGGCAATTTCTACAGCTAAATCGCTTTATTGCGCGGTTCTTGCCTGTCAAGCCCTTCCCCTAGTAGGGATCAAGATGTTGAAGTGTGCGTATCACGGTGTAACGAGTTCTTTCCATTTTTAACGCCGCCATTTTGGAGAACCGAGGACGCCGCGCCGAAGAACAAGATGGCCGCCGCCGCGCGGGCAGTGCTCGACGAGACGACGCAACGCGGACGAGATGAAGAGATGTACAGACGTGTCAATAACTCGGAATGTCGCCTGTCAGAATGTAAAATATGCTCTCACCTGAACGGCGAGCCAGCTTCGAAGTAGATTTACGTTCCACGTGAAATCGCACATTTCTCGTAAACGAAGCGAAAAAAAAAAGAAGAACAGTCCTTCCTCCGCCGCGTCGCTAAATTCCCTTCGTCTACGTTATCCGCGTACGCGATGAATTACAATACACGGGTAATTGCAGTTTTCTTAGCATTACGCTAATGCCCAATTCCTGGACGTTAACGAGCGCGGAGTAAATGAAGAAAATTATAGGATACTCGGGGGGTGTATCAAGCGAGGTTTTTCGCAGAGTTCACGAAGGGGGTAAAAAGCTAATAACAAGCCGAGCGAGAAATAGGGGGCTATTTGTTGATGAGTTTATAATCCGAAATAAGAATTCCTCAATTCGCGTAGGAAATAAATCCACAATCCGCGCGTGACGCCCCTCCACTCTGGGGGTCCTAACAGCGGACTAAGCCCGCCATGAACCTCCTAATAATCGCAAATAAATATACCGAATTCCTCGACAATTTCATCATAGAAGCGACGCGTCCTTCGAATATTTAACGTTCGAGGATTTCCGGCAAAAAGGGGAGCGGAGTCGCCATTTCTGCGGCCTCGGCTCAGGCCAACATCTGTGGCCGCTTTCTGGTCCAACAAAGGACTCCGCTCGGCAAGGGTTAAACTCTAATTATTTATCGAGAAGCCCGCTCTACCCTCCAACAAGTACATTAATATCCACACCGAGAAAATCATCTCGTCGAACCGAAGAAATATTTCTTTTAACACGAGGCAAAAAATATATACCTATCGAAGAACACAATGATTTGCCCCAAATGAACTTCGAATTTACAGCCCCACCGCATATACCGCCTTTTAATCTCAGCGGAGGGACCTGGTATCCAGCATCCGAGGCCACTTTTCTCAGGGTCCTAACAGCGGACTTAACCTTGGGAAACGACCAGAGCGGAGATGCGGAGGGATCCGAGATGCCGTGCTCCCGAGGTACTGGTCCACGGCGTTCTGGTCCGTCCGTTAGTTTTTTCACCGTCTGCGGGCTCTCTCGGTTTAAAGTGATCGTCACGGGCACATACTCGGCCATGTCTCAGCAGGTGTGCACGCACATGCTCTCTCGAAAGCCTCGCTCCAGAATGGAATACGGGAACACCGGGGAGCTTAAAACCGCACGTCACGTATATCCACGCCCGCTCGATACGGAAAAGAACTCGACAGCCCCGAACACGCCGATGAATCGTCCTCGCCGATATCGAGATCGAATATAAATCTCGCCGACATTCCCCAAGAAAACTAGAGAAATTCACTTCTAACCATACCGCGTATCAAGGATCTCGTTCTCGCGGCTAACTATCATAATCCGGCATGACAATTTCTACTTATACCCCGAGAAAAAAAAAAGAAAAGAAAAGAATCTATTTGACTGCAGCAAACATACATCGTTGACACACATATCGTAGCCTAAATTAACTGCAAGAGACAATTATTAGTAGATTAGAACGAATTCGAATTTGAGATGGATAATCGATGCGTGCGAGAGCTCAAAGTGACGGCCAGCTGTCGACGCCGACTAATTGCACCATTGCGCAATTACACCGCAGTACATTCCACACCTGGGTGGTGCGTACCCGAGGCGGCGCAAAGTGCGGATGCGAGGTGTCACCCTGGCGGGCGTCATCCGTCAGATTCGAGTGCATAATCGGATCGCTAATCGCACCTGGCACCGTTCGATAAATCAGCCAGTCCCTGGCATCCCGATAAATCATCTCGCAAGGAATAATGCAATTACCTCCAGATTGCCCGGAACCGTAGAAAGCGTAAGATCAAGATCAAGACCAAGACCCTGGTATCTATAATCTCGCATTAGCCGATCGCTGGCTGGATGTCGACCATCAAGGCGACGCCAAAATGATACCACGAAGCTCGACGCGTGGATGCAAGAGTGCAGCGAAGAGATATAAGCGCATAATCGGATTGCTAATTATTACTAGCGCGTAACTCTTCTCGAGTGATCCCCAGCTAAGATTCTACAGAGCCGATAAATCATCCGGTTACTCGCGCGATACATCCCGGAATGATGTGGGGATAATGTCCGAGACAATGCCATAACCACCCACGAGGCTTCGGATGATGCGAGAGCCTTTTTTAGCCTGCGTTAAATAATTTCCCGCTACATGTACACGTACATGCATTTGTATATTCCTGGATATATAATTAAGAGGGTACAGAGCGAGACTTTATCGATACGCGATGTCGTTACAAAGGGAGACTTTGCAAATCGCCGATCGCGAATAGGGCTCTTCCGATCGGGAAAAATGCACTTAGCTCGAAGCTTCGGCCGAACACGCGGGGCATTTTTGCGGGGCCCGAAAAAAAAAAATTAAAAAAAAAACACTGTTAGCTTTTACATGCACCAGTGATCTCGAGCGATGCGCCATCGCCCAAAATGAACAATACGGGGCCGACGTCGCCCATTGTGTCGGCGCCCGACGAAGAACGCCCATGGAAGTACTCGTAATTGCGAGAGCAACGCCCGGCGAGATCGACGTAGTATCCGAAATGCCCCAAATGATAAAGTGACTTCAAATCATCGATACAATTAATACAACGGAGACATATCTCCGCTCTTCCCTTCCCGCTCTGCTTAAATCACCGATTGAACATTTTGGGATTTTTTTTCTCACCGGAACTTCCCCTCGATTAAAAAAAGAGAAAAGACGCGTGGCCATTTCTTGGGCAATTTCTTCCATTCAAATTGTCGCGGCTCCCTCTTATCGCAGATTATCGTTCCTGTGGAGGTTCGCCGTGAATTTTGGCGAATCGCCAGGAAAATCGATTATTCCCCGGTGTCCGCGGTTTCGCTGATTTTCCATAATCGGCTTCAATGTTCGCGGCCCTCGAGACCTCCGTCGAGTTATCAATTTCTCATCGGGGAATACGCAACGCGCGGTTGCATCAAGGTTCAAGGTCGGATCGCACGTAGACTCGTTTGCGATACGGCTCGTAATGGTTATTCGATACCGATTGTCGGGATCTCCGGAAAGACCTCGTACCCAGCGAGCGAGAAACACCTCCCGAGTCCCACGTGGATTAGTTGGCATAATTACCGGACAGGTAGTTTACACCTGTACACCGACAGGTAGCCTTGACCTCTTCTTTAATATCAGGCTCGGCAAGCTTTTATTACATTGTCACTGCAATCGAGCGGCTCGCGATTTGCGATTTACGATTTCCTCCTCGGGTTCGGTCGAGTGGGGACCAGCTGATCTTGAAAGTGCGTGAAAAATCGATGATCATTAATATTTATCGACCCATCTGAAACTGGATCCAATTCGTGGCGAGCTGTTCCCCGATTATGACGCGACTTCGTACCGATGGGAAAACGTAAACAATTCCATTCCCTCTTAAGGTGATTAATTAATTACGCGGAAATGGAAAATAAAGTGCGAATAAATTACGCTCTCTCTGTTATCAATATACGGAACCGGATGATAAAGGTATTCGTACAATGTACAATTTCGTAATTGACGTATATCACTTTCCTCCCCAGCCGTTGAATACTTTTTTTTTTTTTTTCTATTTAATAACTACTGTACCTACTCCTAATCAGCATATTTCTTATCGGAGACGTGGGTTACGTGTTTAACCAAAGATACGTAAAGTGACCAGACGGATCGTTCGGAGTCCCCTTCTTGCACGTAACCAGTAGTCGTACGGATTCGCCTGATATTTTGAAAAAGCCTTATCAGCTAATATTGCCAATATCGTTAATATCGAGCAAGGGTCCATTCCGTCGTTAACCAAACAATGAAACCCGTTCAATTTTCCTGCCGCCCTTCGGCTCCATTTTTTGCCCTCCGGGGTAAACCCAGAAACTTCAAAGCACCCTCGGCCACTCATAAACAATTCCCAGGCAGATTTTCCACCTTCCCTGGTGATATTATTGCTCGAGTTCTCTTTCTGTCGCTATCTCAAGGTCATCGACAATGAAAGTTGGATTTTCGATAGCCCTCCTTCTAACGCCGCTGTGTTCCGGAGAAAACTTCATTTCAATACACAGTAAGTGGGGAAAATTAATTACCGAGGCTCGGTGATAACTCGGAATGAAATGCTCCCAGAAGCGACAGGCGAGACGAGTAAATTTTCTCGCCGGATTAATCGATAACGATCGAGACAGCTGTTTGCAGCTGTTCGAAATCGGAGCCCGGCTCCGTCTACGTCCTAGACTCACCTGACGAACAGCTGTTCCTGATTGTTGACTCGCCAGGACACGACGGTGGCTCCTGGAAATTGAAAAGTTTCGATGAGAATCCCGGTGGGTGTATCCGCGCCGCGCGTCGCGGTTCCCACGTGGGGCCGTTGCCCCACGGCGGAAGTTCCCGCTCGGCGCGCGGCGCGATTCGAAACTTCGAACGGATCCCCGTAGATGTGCCGGCGCGCGATTTCGGACGATTTCGGGCGACGTCGGGTGGTTTCGGCTGATTTCGGACGATTTCGGAAAACACTAGAGTTTCGGCCGATCGAGAAATCGAGGGGCCCGACGCGGAGATTTCGAGCGCCGGGAGGTGATCTCTCGATCCCCTCTTCGCGTCGATCGAAGGGTCGCGGGGAATTTCACGGAACTCGCGACCGCGGCGACTCGTCGCGCACCTTCGCGACACTCAAGACGTCCTCGTGGGCGAAGCGGCCGGCGAGCCGTCGACTCGAGACCGACCGGGCGAGTTGGACAGGTCTCGATAACTCGCATCGATCTTCGAGCGATGCCAGTCCTCGAGTTGACAGACAGACCGGCATTGGATACAACGCACGCGAGACTCTCGCCTCTCCGGCGGTTTTCGAACGTTTCCGGCAGGGCGGGGTGGCCCGTAGTGTCTCTCTCTCTGTCTCGCACAACGTGGCCTGGCCGGTCTCGCGTTTCCGAGCTGGGTTCTCTACTAGCTCGCGCACACACCGTGTAAATTGATCGTGCAGGTGGTATTGTTGCCCCTGTCGAGCACGACAACGCTGGTAGCCGCTGCCATGTTTGAATCGTGAATGCGCTACCGGGTGCCGACGCAGCGAACCTTTGTCCAATGCCTCCGGGCTTACTCCCACCGCGGCCGACCCGGACCGACTGCTCGGCCGGACGAGACTCGCGCCGCCATCTTGCGGAACGAAAATGCAAGATGGCGCCCGCGAATCGACGCTTCTCGACTAACGCACTCTACCTCGCCTAGCCGATAGAACTGGTTGAAACAGGAATGAAAGTAGATTCCCGAAGAAAGCTGAACTCGATTAGAAGGTTATTGAAGTCGATCGAGAGGATGGCATACGTTTAACGTTGGGTGGCACGGAAATATAGTAAGTTCTAATGACTGAAATATCTACTTTACCTGTAATCGAGACTTTACCCGGATTCTTGACCAGTTAGTAGATGGCCCTGTGAATGGTTATTTTAGTTTGTAATACCCCGCGAGAGTGCAGCACGCTCGCAAACGGTTGTATGGCTTCTTCAACAATTTCGTTACTCGCTGTCCTCCATTTGCTCCATTTTGCGTTAAGATCGTTAAAATTGTTGGCGAACGGCTGTAAACGGTCGGGAGTCTCGGAGGTTTGCAGGATTTTGTTGCGAATTTACTTATTAAGTTCTCTCGATTTATCGTCAGGTCTCTGACCCTTGTTACGTTTCTTCACGTTGAGTTACTCCGACAGGCTGACAGTCAACGCTTCCGATGGTTTCCTTTGACAGAGTAACGTCGGGTACGGTGGAGGTTGGTTCGGAATAAAGGATACTGGCAAATCAACGACAAAGGTGGGAAAGATTCATCGTGACTTGTGCAACTGAAAGGACTCTCTCACGCGTTTCATGGGAGACTCTAATTCCGATGTGTTGGAGGCACCTTCAGTAACAGACAGAATAGTAATAGATGGAAACGGAAACAGAAAGAAGTGGCTTCTAAATTCTAAATGGATGGAAACAGAAACTAGAGGAGGTGCACGCGAACAAATGCAGGACTCCGATGTAAGTATTTACATCTAAATAATTCCTCGCTCTAATGATATCGATTCGAGGACAAGCAATATTCTTTCGGAGCATTCTGCCGACGATGTTAAATTGGTTAGGACTTCTTTGGCACTTGCTCTACAATTAATGCATGTAATACGTCTTATGTATTTTATTACATATAATAGGATGGACCAGAATGTTCAGACTTGGACTTTACATATGTTGATGCCGACGAACATGTGTATGAAATCGCCGAATTGTACAGTTATTCGGAAAAGAGTGAACTACAACTCAACCTTATGGTAAAATTTTTATACTTGTGTACATAACGCTTGTTAAATTTTTTTTTTTTGAGGATATACAATGAGGTTATTGATTTAATTGAAGGCATTTGAAGATCAAATGGAATGGTACAAATTAAGGCCTTGGTGGCAAACTCTTAAAAGATCTCAACAGAAATCTGTAATCTATAAACTATTAGATCAATTGGAGATTTCCAATAAAGAATTAAGGATGACAGCTGCTCGCTGCGTCCTTTATCTTGCTCAAGGTTGTTGGGCCGAAGTACAATCTGACAGGGAACAACAAGACTGGACAAGACGAAATGTTATGCTATTGTACGAAGCTGGAGTATTCGCAGCTTTTGTCGAGTTACTAAACATTGAAATCGAGTAAGATTTTGTACATGTAGAATTATGTATTTTAGCCAGGTTACCTGTGATTAAAAAGTACTTTTATTTCTGTTATCACAGGAATGGTATCGCAGCAAGTTCGGCCATGAGAAAATTAGCTGTTAGCTTAACTGACTCAGTAGATCTTCGTGTAATTATATCTGTTTTGTATATTATTACTGAAGTTATGCGAGAGGAAGCAAAAAATCCTGATAGTGAATATAAGCATCACGTAGAAGCTTTCAAGGAGGAAATCAGTAAGTCATTGTTAATTACCATATTAAAATTATTATAAATCTATTAAATACAAATTTTTTTAACTAGTAAATCCATTCGGAGAGGAATTACTGGCAGTCAAACTTCTGGGTATGGTTACAACATTCTGTACTGGGTCAGCACCACATTTCCCTATGAGAAAGGTTCTTTTATTATTATGGAAATTGATCCTTTTTTCCTTGGGTGGTATGGAAACTTTGAAGCAATTGAAAAGAAAGTATCGTGAAGAAGCTGGGTTAGACAATCAACAGGAAGACACGATAGAAGTTGCTAGTGAAATGCGATCTAGTACTCCACCGATAACTGCAACTGATTTGTTGGAACCACAAAATCAAAAGAAGCATAGTCGACCATTCAGAAGGGTTGGTTCAACTTTTATTTTTGAGATTACCTGCTGTTCACTTGTTAGTTAAAAAAGATGTCTTATGTTATATTTATATATATTTTGCAGAACTTGATGAAGCAGAGATCATTAGATGAGGCGGGCCTTGCTTCAGATTTTGAAGATGGAGAAAATTCTACCAATGGTTTACATGTTGAACACAATGGAGATGTAATTATTTTTATGTGTACTCCACCTGTGTCAAATCAGCCACATAACAAAACTATTAAAAATCAGCAGCCACCAAGACCCGACACTCCACAATCCACTAAAAGTAAGGGTAGGTTAAGAATAAATCTGACATTTTGTTCAGACGTCCATTGAAATTTCTGTCTCTGATTCTAATCGTATCAAATTACATGTAAATGTTTCGTCACCCAACGATGACATTTACTCAAGTTTTATAACCAGATAAATTATTTTTTTCTTTAAATCAATAGGTTTACCTTGGACTCCGAAAGTAAGGCAGAAGGATATTGACACATTTCTAGATGTTTCTAGATTAAAATTTGTTGGATATAAATTGGATGGAGATAGAGAAAGTTTAGCAGGGCTTCCTCAACCTATTCATGAAGGTGTAAACACCCTTAAACAGGTATAATAAAATATTCGGTTATCGTTTCATCGAAATGTAAGAAAATTTCTGGAAGAGTCAATTCTTCAGCGGTATGCATTTGTTGTAGCACATGTATACATCTTTATCAGAAATTCAGATCCAGAAGGAAGAAGAAATAGCTAGAAATCCATTAAGCACGGTGGAACCTCCACCCCGTCAGACACCTACAGAAATTTTATACCAAGCAATTTTGCCAAATCTTCCGCAATACATGATTGCACTGTTAAAAGTTTTACTTGCTGCTGCGCCTACTAGTAAATCTAAAAGTGACAGTATAAATATTATGGCTGACGTATTGCCCGAGGAAATGCCGTACGTATTCTGTACATTACACTATCTAAAGTACATATTTCTGTTGATTACATCACTATTTAATTATCAACGTTTCGCTATTTACAGGATGACAGTATTGCAGTCAATGAAATTAGGAATTGACGTGAATAGACACAAAGAGATTATCGTTAAAGCCGTTTCCGCGATATTGCTGCTTTTGCTAAAACACTTCAAAATAAATCACATATATCAATTTGAATTTATGTCTCAACATTTGGTGTTTGCTAATTGTATTCCTCTTGTCCTCAAATTTTTTAATCAGAATATCCTGGCATACATTGAAGCTAAAAATATGTAAGTGCTCGATACACGTACATGAACTTTTATACATATATTTATTATGGAACGTTTTCAGATATATTTGATTACATGCATATTTATTTTTGTTTAGAATTCCGATTTTAGACTTTCCTACTTGTGTGATCGGGGACCAACCAGAGTTAACGATAGAGAACCTCGAGATAGGCGACTGTCAAACGTATTCATGGCGCAATGTCTTCTCGTGTATTAACCTTTTACGAATCCTGAACAAATTAACCAAATGGAAACATAGCAGAATAATGGTAAGAGGGATATATAAATTTCTCTAACGAAATATTGATGGAACGAGGATATTTAATAGTTTTCACTCTTTTACCTTACAGATGCTAGTAGTTTTTAAGGCTGCGCCAATTTTGAAACGTACCTTGAAAGTAAGGCAGGCTATAATGCAACTATATGTATTGAAGTTGTTGAAGATGCAGACTAAGTATCTCGGTAGACAGTGGCGCAAGACAAACATGAAAACGATAAGCGCAATTTACTCTAAAGTGCGACATCGCCTAAATGATGATTGGGCATATGGCAATGGTGAGTTTCACCAAAATTATTTAATATTTCAAATATTATATTCATTTAATACATACAATCTGGAACTGTACTTATGTGAACAAAAAAAAAATCATTTCGTTACTTTTTATCAGATTTGGTGGCGCGACCTTGGGACTTACAAGGTGAAGAGTGTGCACTGCGTGCATGTGTTGATATATTCAACAATCGACGATACTCTAATTTAAACAAAGACGAGGAATTTGAACCCGTCGATACATCGATTCAGTCCGTGCTAGGCACGAACATTGAATTGACGGATGAGTTCAAACAGCATTATGAACTGTGGTTGCAGCAAGAAGTTTTCCAAACAACAATTAATTGGGACGAATTATTGGATCCTGCAGCATGTGAGATTTAAGTTATTATATTAAGAAAAGAAAGAAAAGTATGGTAATCTCTGATGTCTGAGAAAATATTTGTCCAAATTGTGAAATTTTGCGGGACTACTAATGAATTATAGTATGTATTGCGAAGTGGTGATAGGACAATATGTTCCCAGGACTATGTCAGGGGTGCACACATTGCAGTAATTAATTTACTTACATTGCAAAATTGTAATATAATGATTAAGAAATTGGCCGAGCAATGGGAGTCCTCAATTTCTAAATGCCTTTTGTTCTTCAAGGAAACATACAATTCTATTCTGTTCTTTTGTACATGGACATATTTTTAGTTTAATTTATTTTGTGCAATTTCTATTATCTTTATCTGATATATTTCTTATTTTACATTAGAATTTACACTTAAGAATGTAACCGTACTTGACAAAACGTGCTCTGGTGTAAGTGAGAATTGTAGAGTGTAATGCCTCGGTGAGATTAGCATTTAGCTTACATCATGCAGTCGATAGGTTTTAATGGACTACTCCCGTAGCAGACATTCGTGTACTCAGCGATCTTAGCGTTTTTCTCGCATTTTACACATTTTTTATCTAGGCTCCGATTTCATGTATAGTTAATAATCAGTAATGAATCGCAAAGCGAATAGCAAGCAGCACATAAAACGATACACAGTCATTGGATAATGATCAAATGAAACATTAAACCACTCTTGCCATCAATATTTATCGTCATTTAATTTTTACAAAGTTTTTCAAACCACTTTATATGTAAAAATACTTTTAACAGGGATGTCCATTAAATTGTATCAATTAAATTGTACGTGACATAAATTTACTGCTAGTCTTATTGAGAAGAGTGATTTTTAGAGATAGTTGGATCATTTCATGTAGTAAACGATACCTTGTATTCTCATCGGTCTGTAATTTTATAAATTTATTACAATCTCTTTAAAGTGAAAAAATCGCATGATAAAACGTCACTTAGATTTAAGACGAATCATTAACACTCGGTATAAATTGCGCAGTACAATAAATGTACGATACATGAATCTATGCATATAAAATGATGAATTGTACAAGATGGAATGTAGAGTTCATGAGCGTCGAAATGTTATGTCGATCGAACCACTTTTGTTTCGTAATTATTTGACTGAATATCTTGCAATAGCTTTTTTTTTCTTAATGGTGATTAGGATGGATCCATTTATATGAACCATAATACCTAAAATTACTTCGCTTAGCCATTTCATCGGCTTCTTTTGGTCCTCGAGAGCCATGCCTGCGTAAACAAAAAGAAAAGGATGTTTAAAACATACGTTATACAACCCAAAAATATATGCATGTAAATAACTTACTTATATGGAACTGGCTGAATATTCTCTTTTTCTAACCGATGAAGCAAAGGGGTAAATATTCTCCATGCCTCGGACAGTTCGTCACTGCGTACAAAATGCATTTGGGATCCACAAAATACATCTAATATAAGTCTCTCGTAAGCATCGGGTAATTTTAGGTCCTATAAAGATATCAAATACACATATCTAGATTTACTGCTGGTAACCAAGAGTAGCAAAAAAAAAGAATAATTCGTTTACCTTGTATCTATTACCATACGTCAGATCTAACTCTGTTTCTTCCAGGTCAAAAGTAATACCTGGCGATTTCGTCATCATCTTTATGTACAATGCTTCACCGGGTTGCACTCTTATCACTAATTCGTTCCTTTTAGCTTTGCCCTCAAAAATGTCACCAGGCACATCTTGATATTGAACTCGTACTTCTGCTTTGCGCTCGTTTAAGGCTAATAGTGGTAAAAATATATTTAATTCGCGACAACCTAAGCAATTAGGGTGAACAGCCTACCTTTTCCACATTTCAATATGAACGGAACACCATCCCACCGTTCATTATTGATTTTTAATACAGCCATAGCGAAGGTCGGGGTATTCGAGTCTTTAGGAACTGTCGGGTCATCCAAGTAGCCTAATTTTGCCTCAGGATCTGCGGATTCAGGGTCTCCAACGTATTGTCCTAACACTACGTCATCTAAGTTCAGTTCTTTTATATACCTTAATACTTTCACCTTTTCGTTCCTGTCCACGGACAAAGAAACACGACGAGAGTCATTCGTTATTAATATATCTCATAGCATACGTGTACCTTAGCCAGACTTAATTAGTCTTAATCTTACCTAATATCGTCCGGTTGACAAGACGCAGGTTTCTCCATGGCAACCAACGATAAAATTTGCAACAGATGATTCTGCATTACGTCTCTAATTATTCCGAACTCGTCAAAGTATCCACCTCTGCCTTGGGTTCCAAAGGGTTCCTTGAACGTTATCTGTATGCAGGCAACGTGATCCCGGTTCCACGTGGGGTTGAATATTATATTTCCAAACCTCAAGGTCATCAGGTTTTGTACCATTTCTTTCCCCAGGTAATGGTCAATACGGTATACTTGGTCCTCCTTGAAAAGGAAAGCCAGGTGGTCCGATAATTGACGAGAGGTCTCATCGTCACGACCAAACGGCTTTTCTATGATTATCCTCGTCCAACCTCTACAAAATAAATCCATAATTGTTACAGTGTTGTATTAAAAAATTCATCCAAGCTGAACGGAATCTATAAATTCTCCTTGGATCCCCGAGCTTGGATAAATTGTCATGAAAAATGGAAAAACCGTCTCGAGTAATGTATACGGTAATTGATTTTAACCGGACTCACTTTGTACCCATGCACGTGTTTCTTATCTGTACCGTTGCTGGTCTAAATACGGTTGGCGGTAATGCCAGGTAATACAATCTATTTGCCGAAATTTCCGACTCGTGTTTCTCGATCTCCTGATTAAGCGCCTCGAAATCTTGTCGTTTGTCGTAAGACCCGGCAATGTAGTGATTCAGTTTCCAAAACCGCTCGTATTTCTCCTCTTCTTCTGGCTTCACTTTCATGTATTGATGGCATTTCTCTCGCAATTGCTTCACCGTCAAGTGGGTCCTTGCGTACCCGATAATGGTCGTAGGCCTTGGCAAAAGATTGTCCCGGAAGAGCCACCAAAGCGTAGGGTAAATCTTCTTCTTCGCCAAATCCCCCTGGATAAAGGAATCGTCGTGTAAGCTTTTCATACAGAGGTGATAAGCTCTCTATAAATAATTTTAATGGAATACTTTTTATCGGCGCGCACTTACCGAAGCCCCCAATGTTACGAACACGTGGGGAAGTTTATCGTCAAAATGTGTCCCTTCCATGTGGTCCATCTCGGACGATTTCAAGGATTCCCTGATGAGCTTCAAGCTCTCCTCCGTGGACCTCCCTGGATAAATATAAAATAACGCGTTAATATTTATCTACATTTTCTGTTAAACCGACCCTAGTACAGGTTCGGATAATTTGTCAATCAATACTGCACTACATTTGTCATCGTTATTTCGTTTACGAAGTTGACCAAAAAATCGAGTTCGTAATTATACACAGATATCGTATCTTAATTTCCCAATGAGAAAACATGGAAATCGCTTTTCTTCAGCTAAACAAACGTATCTTATCGCCGATGCGAAAATGTGCGATGTGAAAAACGGGAGATAAGGGATCGTCACATATTTCCTATCACTGGCTTTCATTTTTAGGAAATGACATTTTATTCATTTTCTCTGCTCAACCCATTTAACGTTAACTACTTCTAGAACTAAAAACACGTGTCCTGAAAATTCCAGTTCTCGTTAACTCTTGAAAATTAATTCAACTTTCCGCATTTGCAGAATTTCGCGGTACGAAATTTAATTCTCGCGGTGACACGTTTGCACTATTTTGTTTATTTTATTTTCTTTCCCCTTCTTTTCTTCATATTCAACTTACTCGACATCTTGTCTGCAAATAAATTTAAGCTCTCGGAAATTTATTTCGGTACTTAAGTCACAACCGCTCTTATCACTGACGGTGATTGCTTTGATGTGCTACCAGCACGACCATGAATCAGAAACTGATCGATGATCCACTGACTGAACGGAGCTCGGTCCTGTGAAGTACGTAAACTAACACTACACGCACACATCTTTAAACTCGCTCGTAATATTCGACTGACATAGGCGCCGGGAGAAATTGAGCATAACTGTATTTTTCCAATGTTTTTGAAGAAACAGGGGTAATCGCGAGATCCTAGAGTGCAAATAAATATAGACCTCGAGGGGAATAAAAAAAATGGTTCCCAGTCAAAATGGCGACGAAGAGCCGAAAGACGCAGCGACGTATTTTCAGGCTCTCCGAGGTTTTTAAACCCAAAGAAGACGTGAAAAATGTTCGACATTAAACCGTGGAAAGTTTGGGAATGATAAGAAAAACATAGAAGTGCAAAATTCGAAGAAACGGAAGGTGGGGAGTTGCGCAAGAAGACGGGGAAGCGGCTTGTAATCACGTAATGTCTCATCACGACGATAACTGGCCGGTATATTTATTCTCCTTTGTTGTTATGCGGCACCACTGCATATCAACTAAAATTTCCCCAGAGAATAAGTGGGATGAATATTCATTAACGTGTCCGACACTTTAAGTGCTAATCTAATTTCAGGTATTCATTAGTGCATCGTCGATCACGCCTCAGGATGTGCGTTTCGGGCATTGAAATCTAAAACAAAATGGCGGCGGTCGAACCGATCGACGCCGCGAAGAGGGTTAAAAGAGACGAGAATTATTCCGCGTGTAGAATGAACGGAGGGAAAGAGAGACACGTGGTGGTTAGAAGTTTCGTCGGCGAAATACGGGAGATTTTTAACGGACGGAAATGTTACGTCGATGCGCAGCGCCGAAGCCATGCATTATTGATGAGTAATAGGTACGCGCGAGTACTCCGGAGGCGCCATTAAGAGAATGACTGTGCGAAATACAGCAAAGTATATGAAAATATCTCCGCGCTGTCGAAAGGCAATTTTTCCTGCGGCCCCGAAGTATAACGACTCGACCAGAGGGATTTTCCTCAATGGAACAAATCCTGAGGCGGTCTGGCCATATTAATTCCAACCTTGAAATTACCACCCAGTTCGTTATAGAATTTTCAGGTTATCTCGATGACGAAACAGTGTTTGTGGAGCATCGCGGAAGTAACGATTTTTTTTTAATTATAGGAGTCTAATTTGAGTATAATGCGGTGTCGATGTGAGGCAGGATATTCACGGCATGTTATTCGACGCCTGTCAGTGAAAGGAGTGATAATCGCGTCATAAAAGTTGCACTTGACTTCGATGATCGATGCACCAGAACGCGAGTCAATCAACAAACTACGTAATGCAATTGCGACCTGACTTGGAGATCTTGAAATGAGGTTTTTTTTTAATGCAAATTCTAGTTCCCGATTTTTAAGACAGCCAACGAAAATTCTGTACTTCAATCGGAACGATATTTTGGCTTCGTTGACATTTTCATACGTGTAGATTCATTTGACCAGATTTCGATCACCAGGGAGCATCGATAAGGGTCACGTTAATTAATATGATAAAAAAAGACGAATGTTTATGCTAAGGAGTATCGCCAGATTGCAAATGTACGCATATGGTAATTTTCACGTGCATTGAGAAAACACGTGCGTCGAGAAATCAACGTGCGTGCTTTGTGGCGTGACACGTCGTGACGAAGAGGATGATACGGTTATCAAGTACCGCACGCTTCCTACGCTATTATTAATAGAACGGAATTAATCTGGAATTGGTTACCGCTGAAATACTGTAATTATAAACAGCGTGATCGATACTTTATCCGCGCCCTCAAGATATGATTCCATTCTCATTTTAACGTCCGCGAATTAAGGACGATCGTTATCTATTGGAGTACCGAGTATATTGTGAAGCTTGCGTAATTCGTATCCTTTGCTATCTTACCTCGGGCGTAAAAAGGAAACGCGGACAAGGTTTACGAACAGGAGCGCGATTGCCCAAGGCGGCAAAAAGTTTCATGAAAATAAATTGCTACATTGTCCATGAAATTAATTCTACCTAACAAGGTACATTAAAAATATTGAAGGAGCAGGGTAGAGGTCATATTAAATATATTGGGTCTTCATAGAATTCATGACACAAGGTTAACAGGTGGTTTTTGTGCACCTCCTCGTTCTCAGAGTCGAGCAAAACCAAGTGTGACGTCAGCAGAAACGATGCGTTCATCGCGCATGCGCATGTTGGATCTTTTCACATTCTAACAGAAATAAACTTTGGCGGAGTCTTTCATGGCACGTATTAAATTAATTACGAAGTAGACTTACTTCTCTGTGCAGCGTCCATTTCGTCTTTTGGGTTTTCTTTCCTATTTCAAGGAAATAATCTTTCCGGCGTGCAGACCGTGACTCGGACAGGTTCAGACGTGCCAGCGCGTTGTCCTCTACTGTGCGTCGTTAGACAATGTCAGAAAAGTGAGGAAAAATTGGATAACGTTAAGTTCTCGGTGTGGCAAAAGTGTCTCCGTTTCCGAAATTAGAAAGATATAGCAGGACTATGTCAGTTTACCTTTCTGTCGATTTATTGAGTCCTGATGTACCGTGAGGCGTAGAGGTTAGTTGTGGTGCCGCGCGCTAACTGACCGGAATAAATCCATTTTCAAGGCGAGAGTCGATCATGCTTCTCTCGTTTTCCTTCGTGATTCACTCTCGGTTTTGTCTCTTTTTACTTATGTTTAATGATTTCTACCAAACTGGTCGCCCATAACTTTCAACTGTAGCGGTTTTCTGTGACAAGCGAGACCTGGTGATAACGGTGATTGATGATAATGACATACAAGAACCTAAGCTTATGTAGGGTATAAATCTCTCACAAATCACGGCTTTCAATATTCTTAAGGTTTCTTGGTTCGAACTTTGTTATACTCTTTTTACCGACTGTATTCATAAGTTGAAATAAAGGACCCATTGTGCCACCTATTAGCGTAAATGGGAAGCATCGCTCTAATACAGGTGGTAAATAACATAAAATTAAAAAATACACAATTACTGGAAATTGAGATCAGTAGATAAAAATGTAGATATGTATTCTGCTTTCGACGTATGTAATAATACCAGACTACCCATTAGAATCTATATTCATGGAATACATATGGGATTACAACCAAACTTTTATGTTAAACATCGTTGAACAACGCTGGTACCAGGTTTACGTACGGAGCCAAAATCCAAGAAAGGGAATATCATTGAAAGAGCGTTAGACATCAAAGCTATTCATAAGCTTTGTTTCAGGAAAATTTGTATTAGTTTATTACAGTTATCTTTATTCTTTAATTTTCTCCCATGGAACATTCGATGAAGATTAAAGAAGAGGAAGCTGAAGTGGTGCCTCTCGAGGAAATGTTTTCAGGTATCCAGACACGCAAGACATGTGCATCAGGCTAATCCCTCATTCTTCGTACAGTTTTCTAATATTAAGCGATCCGTTAGCATACTGTCACATGGATCCTCTATCAAATGCAATGGGTGTACAATTATTACCCCTGTCGCAGAGTGACAAGTGGTTAAAGGCAGCACGGATCCTCGATATGAACAAAGTAACGACTACAGACACTGGTCTGTGTTTCTTCAAGTTTCGTAAGCGAGCCATCTCTTTCGAAGAATACCTCGTTTACCTCAAGGACTTGGCGCAGTCTAGAGGTTTAAATTTTGAAGACATGAAATATGAAATGGAAAGGTCCGGAAGACCGGTTCCTTTTATTGATAAAAAAAAGAAACGTAGTATACAAAATTAAATGAATATATTTATAAACTAATAACTTATAGTTACGTATATATATGTGATTCTGATTTGGTTTAGGTAAATTTAAATTAAACTTTTTCTGCATCAAGTAAAGCGTTTTAAAATTGTAAGAAATTATTTAAGAATTGCAGCGGAAGTGACGCGGAGGTTATGCGCAATTTTGATTGGTTCGTCCTCGGCGCGTTGACGCGCCGCGCTCAGTGGGACTATGGTGTATCGTTTACACTCTAATACATCGATACCGGACTCCTATTCCAATGAATTCTAAAGCATGCTTTTGATCACTTAATAATGTTTGTAAGGTTATGATTGTTAATTGTCATTTTCAGTGAAAAATATTAATGAACCGGCAAGATGTTAACGACCAAAACTTTCTTTCGCAAAAGCAAAAGAGGGAACATATTTAAGGTACAATTTATTTGGTTTTGAATACTCATGAATAGGTTAGGTACTAATAAGTTTCTTGAAAACAACAGATTGTAAGAGAGCATTATCTCCGTGATGATATATGGTGTGGTTCCGAAGGATGCAATACCTGTAACCACAGACATGACGATGTCCTTCTTAGTGATGAAAACCCTGGATTAAAAAGTTCTTTATTTCCAAATCCTCATTACTTAGTGCTCGACACAAACATTGTACTCGATCAAGTATGTAATGTCACCAATCCAGATATATTTATCTGTTAGAAATGTTTTACTTCTTTTTATGTATTTGAACATTTTATTTTATTCTTATTTATTCAATGGATATTTGCTTGTAAATTAATAAGGTTATGCAATTACAGATACATATTCTAGAAGAAAATGTTCTTTGCAATGTAATAATATTATATACGGTATTTGATGAAGTACAACATAGAAGTTCTAATGTACATAAAAAATTAAAAGACTTAATGTCTGATCCGGGACGACGATTTTATGTGTTCGTCAATGAACATCACAAGTTGGTGCTGTTTTAAATTATTTTATAACTTTAGACAGTATCGTGTTATTTATGTTGCGACGTTGTATCTTTCTTTATTAGAGACACATACGTAGAACGCGTGCCAGGTGAAAAAATAAATGATCGAAATGATCGAGCCATAAGAACTGCCGTTAAATGGTATAATAAACATTTAACGTTGGGAAGTCAGAATCCAGTGACAGTTATTTTATTAACTGATGATGCAGAAAATAAAAGGAAAGCTATTGAAGATGGGATTCCTGCAGTGTCAAGTTAGTATTTGTTGATTGTTCATTAAGTGTAACAATGATCAGTTAATTTAATTATGTCATTTAAATAGTGGAGGAATACATTGCATCACTGGATAATCCGGGCCTATTATTGGATAAAATAAATAAGCGCAATTATATATTAGAAGGAAGTAATAAAGAACCATTATTTCCATTGCACTTGGCACCTGCACAAATACACGAGGGAATAAAGGATGGAAGTATTTTACAAGGAACATTTCTGGCATCGAGGGACAATTTTCTTGAAGGAAGTGTCAATGTAGAAAGCATAGAAAAATTTGTAAGCATGGATTTTTGTTATTGTATGAAATTCAACATTATATTTTAATAAAATATTGTAACAATGTTTAGGTACTTGTTCAGGGAAGAGCTGGATTGAACAGAGCAATTGATGGTGACATAGTTGCTCTTAAATTGTTACCAGAAGATGAATGGTCTGCCCCTTGTGACCTTGTATTACAGGATGAAGAAGAAGATCCTGGTGATATTTTGGACGATGAAAAGTTAGTAATTGAGCAAGCACCAGCGAAGCCAATTGAAAAAACTCCAACTGGAATAATTGTTGGAATTATCAAAAGAAAATGGAGGCAGTATTGTGGTATTTTGCAGCCAAGCCCTCTTAGAAATGTATGTTTTCCAATTTTATTGGCTTTTTTGATTCTATCATTGTTTCTCTGGTTGAGTGCACAATCTAAAGATTAATTGACATTATTGATTGTAGGCAGTGAAACATCTTTTTGTACCTGCAGAACGAAAAATTCCTAAAGTTAGAATTGAAACTAGACAAGTGGATATTTTGAGTAACCAGCGAATCATAGTAGCAATAGATTCATGGCCACGTCATTCTAGATATCCATTAGGACATTTTGTTCGAGCTTTAGGAAAAATTGGAGATAAGGAAACAGAAAACGAGGTCTTGTTACTGGAACATGATGTTCCTCATAGTCGATTTTCTGATGCAGTACTTAGTTTTCTTCCAAAAATGCCATGGACCATTACCGATGAGGTGAGTTTGTATGTAATTAACGTTTTAATAACGGTACATTGTATTGATATTAAAAGTATACAGTTCAGTTTTCTTCTTGATATTTCCTGGATGATTCAATGTTTGTATTACTAGAGTTGCTCTCTGTTACAAGTAATGTTGGTCTCGTTCTTAAATCACCGAATAAAGCCTGAAACAAGTGTTATTTTAGGAGAAGCTATGTGTTTATAAATTCATGTAAAATCACTAACTTCCAAAACTGTTTGCATTTCCGTTCGTAATTCAGTTCCAAGATAGCCATTGCTGTTTATGTTATTTATTAAAGATATGTTGTATATGCCACTTCTACCTCTCGTACTTGCAATATTATTTTGCGATGCCATGCCAGAGTTTGAATTATTATTTGTATCAAAAACAGTGTGATGAGAAAGTCCACTTGACGATAGAGGGGTTAGTAGAATTTCGTTAATATTCACTGCAGTGTGAGAATGCTCCCCGTTCTCTTCTCTTCTTTCAGACCTGTGGGAAATAAAAATTGCCATAAAGTCACTCCTAAAAAACTGAATTTTCAGTATGCAAACCGCTATTTAAACATGTTATTTTTTCTCACCTACGTCTTTTTTGAACCGATAGTCTTTGTGCTTTTTTCCCATGTTGTGATATCAGTGAAATAGAAGTTGGAAGTGGCTGTGGTAGTGATGATGTTATTGACATTGATGGTGGTGACGGAAGTGGTGGTGGCGGCGGAGGTACTCGAAGTGAAATTTTGGATAATTCATTGTTAGGTGTAACAGAGAAGGAAGGGAACGGAAGTGGAATTATGGATTTTTCTTTCCTAGGTGAATTTTTCTCAGTGCTGCTTGTCAGTGGCACATAAATTCGAAGATGATCAAGCTTTCGAGTAACAAGCATGCTCAGATTTTCCAAAGCAAATTGCTTGCCCTTTGAAGGAATTACAATTGATATACTACATATAATTTTTTGTTTCATAATTATTATGAACGAAAGGGATAGAATAATGAGGGTTGCAACCTTTATATCGGAAAGCATTCCTTCGAGGACGTCAGATTTTGTAGTGTTCTTTACATTTTCCCATCGAGAGAACATCGTCTTATCATATAACGATATAATGTATTCCATCTCTCGAATTTCTGTAGGATAATTCATCAGGTGATTTTTGATACACGAACAAAAATTTGTATCTCACTACTTACCGTTATCTTTTATTCTTTTTAATAATTTTCTTACGGTGTTTTTTTCAGTTTTGATCATTTTGTGTTGCTTTTTTAATTGTTCCACGTTTGTCAGCGCACTTTTTACTTCCACGAGCATACCTTCAAGCTCACTAGCACTGGCATCTACGTGTTTTTGTAAAACACTGAAAATTTTATTTAACACGGTTATACGAGATGTTTAACCTTCAATATGATTTAGAGATTCTTCTTACTTTGGATATTCATCTGTCAAATAATTTAAATCTCTAACACTTTTGAGATATGTGACAAATTTGTCAAGTTGGCCACAGAACAGTAATACATCGGACAGAGATACTTTTCGGTTTAATATATGCTCTTCGACAGTGCCACTATAAATGTTTGTTTCGTCACTTAGGTTCTTTTTTTCTACAATATTACTCATATCGCTGGGCTTGATGTTTACATGTGTATTCATGTTACTCTAAAAAATGATTATTAAAATGGCTTAGGTTGGGTTAATGATACTATTTACTAATAATCTGTTACCTCGGCTTCACGCTTTACCATTCGAAATCTTGATATAATGCGGTTGATGAGTTTCTCAGAAGAATGTTTTTCGTGGCGATCGAAACTTTTATCCATATCGTGAAATGGTCAGCATGAGGACTGTCTTTCCGCCCGCAGTTTATGAATTTTACATTTTGAAGCAATATGCTAAGATATGTGTGGATACGGATGGTTCTGAGTTGAAATTTCAGTGGATGTCAGACATTTTGCCAAAGTCGGGAAACAAAAATGTCTAACTCAGGAATCTTGTCGATTGTTTTTTCAAAGGTTTCTACAGATCGGTACCTCTTTGTGTAAAAATACATACTTTGGACATAGCATTTGTATTGCATATATAACATAAAAATGAGAGATTTACTGAAATGTGTAATTGCGGTTTAAGTATATTATTAAAAAATTGTTTTTAGGATCTTGCTCAGCGAGAAGACCTAAGACATTTAGACATTTGTTCAGTGGATCCACCAGGCTGTACAGACATCGATGATGCACTTCACTGCAGAGATTTACCGAATGGTAATTTAGAGGTGGGAGTTCATATCGCAGATGTGTCTCACTTCATTAAGCCTGGGAATGCACTCGATAAGGAAGCTGCTCTGCGAGGTACTACAGTATATCTAGTTGACAAGAGGATCGATATGGTACCAGGTAATTAAATATGATACCTATTAATTCATGAAAAAATTACAAGAGCATTATTTTCTATGATTTATCATTTTTCAGAATTATTAAGCTCAAACCTTTGTTCATTGCGAGGCAATGAAGAAAGATTTGCCTTTTCTTGTATATGGGAGGTGGATCACGAAGCTAATATAATTGCAACAAGATTCTGTAAGTCTGTTATTCGATCACGACAAGCAATGACATATGAGGAAGCGCAGCTGAAGATCGATGATAAATCGCAACAAGATTCCTTGGCAAAATCACTTCGACAGCTTAATAAATTGGCTAAGATACTGAAGCAGAGACGTCTGGAAAATGGGCAAGTTGTTTTGATCGTATTGTTTAATTATATAATAAAACAGCCTTTTATATAAAATTATTTGACATCTTGGTTTTTTGTTATACAGGGCACTGGTTTTGGCTTCACCTGAGATTCGCTTCCAGGTAGATAGCGAAACGCACGATCCCATCGATGTCGAGGCTAAAAAGATTCGGGAAACAAACTCCATGATCGAGGAATTTATGTTGCTAGCAAACATATCCGTCGCCCAAAAGATTGTACAAGAATTCCCGGAATTCGCGATGTTAAGAAGGCATCCTGAACCACCACAAGCAAATTTCGACCCATTAATTAAAGCCGGTAGAAATCAGGTAAATCTTGCGATTCATTAAATTAGGTTTGAATAATTTACATGACTCGAAGAACCATTTATTTCTGACCTTATGTTTATCAGGGATTCGACATAATTACAACAACCGGAAAAGAACTGGCTCAGTCTCTTAACGATGCTAACAAAGAGGACAATCCTTATTTCAATACAATGTTAAGAATTTTGGCCACTCGTTGCATGATGCAAGCTGTCTATTTCGTTAGTGGGATGTTGCAGCCCAAGGAATATTTCCATTACGGTTTGGCTTGCCCAATTTATACTCATTTTACTTCGCCAATCAGGAGGTGAGGATAGATTGACAGTATTTACATATCATGTTACAGCTTTTAAACCTGCAGGGGAAAATTCTATTATCGATAATACATTCCTTTTTATCTGCCTTACAGATATGCAGATATAATCGTTCATCGATTATTAGCGGTATGTATAGGAGCGGACGCAACTTATCCGGAGTTGCTGGATAAGAAAAAAAATCACGCTCTGTGTCATAATTTAAATTACCGAAATCGAATGGCTCAATACGCCGGGCGAGCTTCGGTTGCTCTCAATACGCATGTAAGTTTCTACTTAGAGTTATTCTAAGTCAAGTTCGTATTTATTAATTGGGTTTTACGGTCAACATTTTTTTCTCGATTCCAGTTATTCTTTAAAAATAAGGTGCAAACGGAGGAAGGCTACATACTTTTCGTACGGAAGAATGCCCTCCAAATTTTGATTCCAAAGTTCGGCATGGAAGGAACCATATACCTTAGCCATAAGGGTGAGACTTTGTCGGTTAATTTCCATTACAACGATGAAGATCATTCTCAAAGATGCGGCGACATCGTGTTCCACGCATTCGACCCTGTCGTCGTGCAACTTAGTTTAGACAGTTCAAATATCCAGCATGAAAAACTGGTCTTCAAACTCGTGAAGCCGCAGGTAAATATAATAAAAGATTAACACGCTCGTTCCTTTCCATTTTATCCGGAATATCTTATTAAATAATGTAAATAGATTCCAGGATTCAGCGTCCCTGAACCAACGATGGACGCCGCGGAAGATGTAGAAATGCAGGAAGTATCAAAGAGAAAAGTGGAGGAAGTGTCGGATGAAGTTCCCAAGAAGAAAAAGGGGAAGAAGAAGAAGAAGAAAAACTGAGCGGTCGACGGTACAACGAAACAGTGTTCTATACTTATACAATTCTTGTACTTGATTGCGCAAATTGAACGACGCGGAAAGAAACGTCTTTCTTTGCTAAATAAACGTTTTTACCCTTGGAATTGTAATTCACGCTTGTAAATACTTCACCTAAGAATCTACTAACTTCGATACTCCAACAAAGAATCGGCTAACAGGACCAACAAAAATTCAGTGACTACTATCAGTTAGTAAGAAGTGTTCTAGAGACTAGTATCTAACTACTGACATTAATTTTAGTTATTTTGTTGTAATTAACAGGCACATTAGGGAGAACAAGACGGAACATATCGACGTGCTCTGGTGGTCATTCTGGATCGGGTGCCATTTTAGCGTAGCCCAATTTTTGAAGCACTTCCTTTATCTCACGATAGACTCGAGGGTCCTCGATAGTGCTGGGTATCTGTAAAAAAAGATAAGCTCTTCCGTTACTTTTGTGCCATGCGATTACACTAGAAGCGATTGGAAAAAATTAATTAACACAAGTGTTTCTACGTACTCTTACAACTCGAGAACGGGCAAGATCTGAAATCGATTTGCGGCAGGTTTTCCCGGATCGAGTCCGAGGTAACCCTTTGACTGCGGCGGCTACTTTAAACGACGCTATTGGTCCTATAAGTTCCCTGACCCTGGATATCAGTTCCTGATTTATCTCCAGCTCGTGCTTGGTAACACCTGAGATCGAAGTACGTCGAATCGGTTTAATTAGAGTTAAGGAAAAAAATATGCAATCGAGGGACTCACCTTCTTTCAGGACGTAAAGGCACAAGGGTATTTCTCCCTTGGTGTACTCCGGTACACCGACGACAGCGGCATCCACGATATCGGGATGACCTAATACAACATCTTCGAGTGCAGAGGTGGACAGCCGATGACCTGCCACGTTTATAACGTCGTCGTCACGTGCTGTCACATAAACATAGCCGAACTCGTCGATATATCCTGCATCCATCGTATCGTAGTATCCCTAACACGTGACGTATCGTGATTTTAAGAAAGAGGAGTTCCAATTGTTCACCCTTTCGCGTCAATTACAGATATCGGACTCCATAGGAGCGGACCGATTACGTTTCAAAGAATACTCTTACGGGGTATTTTGAGAAGTAGATGGCTTTGAATCTATCAGGAGCCTGGTACAGCGTAGACATGGTGCCGGGAGGTAGAGGCAGCTTCACCGCTACCCTTCCAAGCTCGTAAGGCGAAGCCTTGCTGCCATCCTCTCTTAGTATCCGAACTGCGTAAATGAATATTTTTAAGATTCATCACGGGGGTATTCTCGCAAATCCGTGTACCGCGATCATACAAGGGACCTACCGATGTACCCAGGAACGGGCATCCCCGTGCTGTACTTCGGTGGATTCGTACTATGCCCGAGGCCTACGCAAGTAGCAGTAATTGCGTGTCCCGTTTCAGTTTGCCACCAATGATTAAGGATCGGCACCTGAAAGGTATTCTCGGCCCACGCCTTGGTCCCGTAGTCGCAGTGCTCCCCCGCCACGAAAATCGCCTTCAACCTGCAAACGATCCTCGGCTACCCAACTGTGCACGGTGAATCGGTTCGCGCGAAAGGCAAGTCTTTCCTTCCGAATTAATCATTAAGGGGAAAAAAGCTAATAGGCAATTATGTAAAGGACTTACGACTTCGTGGAATACTTCTTACGTAGGAGGCCCTCGGGGTCGGCGCGCCGGATCACCCTGAAGGCGGTGGGGACGGTGAAGAGCGCGTTCACCTTGTGCTGGCTAATAATCCTGGAAGATGAAGGGCGTCGATCGAGACGTCTAGGAAGTCAAACTCGAAGGATGGGTGTCTAACCTGAAGTATTGACCAGCATCCGGCGTTCTGTCGGGCTTCCCCTCGTACATCACGCTGGTCGTCCCGTACAAAAGCGGCCCATAGCAGATGTACGAGTGTCCAACTACCCATCCCAGGTCGGAGGCGACCCACCACACGGAATTCTTATCCATCCCGTATACATGCTTCATGGTCCAGCAGAGGGTCGCGATGTGCCCACCCACGGGTCTTTGAATTCCTTTGGGCTGATCTGGAACGGCATCCGCTTAAATTCTCATACGAGCTCTCACGGTAGACCGCAATTAATCCTAATGTCGGAAGGAAACTACGGAGCGATGTATCGCCTCGCCAGAGGAGGAATCACCTGTTGTTCCCGATGTGTATAAAACATATAAGGGCTCGTTGGCCTCGACGGCCACGCAAGGATGTGCCCTGGCTCTCGATAGGACCTCGTCCCAATCCATTTGGGACGCCGATAACGGAGATTCCCACACGTTTCTTCGCTGATAAACGATGCACGCCGGCTTCGGCGCCGATATCATCCCCATTGCCTCGTTCACCATGGTGGTGTACCTACGACCAGGGTAAACGGTTACCTGGTATCACGTATCATTGACACGCAAAGTTAAAGCCAGCGAGAGAAAAAACCAACTTAATGACTTTATTCGGTTCCAGGCCGCAGCTGGCAGCGATGATCACTTTCGGCTCCGCATGGTCTATCCTTGTGGCCAGCTCCTTCGCCGCGAAGCCTGAAGTGCAATTTAGATCATTCTTTCGTCAGTTTATCCGAGAAGGCGAGCGTATTTGTCGTCGTTTTTTGCATTGTTTCCTCGAGTCCGGGGAACTTTGCCGCCTATCGATTGCTCACCTCCAAATACCACCGAATGAATTGCGCCGAGCCGCGCCGTTGCGAGAATGGCCATTACCGTTTCCGGTATTAAAGGCATGTAGATGAGGACCTTGTCTCCTTTGGTTACACCCAAGTCGGATAATGCCCCCGCCAGCAAGGATGTTTTTTCCAATAGTTCATTGTACGTGACCTTTCGGATCGATGACGTTAGTGGACTGTCGTGAATGAGTGCAGTCTTGTCGCCGTTTCCTGCGTTTACGTGCCGATCCACTGCGTTGTGACATGCGTTTATTTCCGCGCCGACGTACCTGCGAATCGAGGGCCGAGTTTTGAGGAAAGTTACCGGAATTCGTAGTCCCATCTACGCGGATAATAGGACTTAATAGGACTTTAAATGTACCATTTTGTGAACGGCTCGTTCGAGTTGTCCATTATCTTCGTCCACGGTTTACTCCACTCCACGCATTCCGCGACTTCCGTCCAAAATTCCTCCGGATTTTCCACCGATCTCCTAAAAGCCTCCTCGTATACTGGACTGCGGTAATGCGTTTGGTCGAATATGTAATCTGGAATTTTAGACGAGCGTTTTTCCGGGCTCATTGTTGTGCGCAAGGTCTGGTAGAAATTTATTAGAACGTTCATGGCTCATCTCTGCAGTCTATTTACTTTCCCGAATTTTTTCGTCCGTTTCCATCTTAGCACTAATAATTGCGCGATCACGCACCGACGCCTTAACGACGGACGATTTAAGGCGCCCTGTGCCAGGTGAAGAGCTAATTTGCATGCAAGGGTCCGTCATCTCGCAGTTTGCCATCCTCGGGTTCGCTAATAAGTACGGCTTATCGACGAGTACCGGAAGTACCTCGGGAATTAATTACGCTAATCGTTCTTGGAAATATTTGGTCAAAAGGCTTCGATGGAACTTCGTTATACGTCGGGAGGTACCGACCGGTGCGATTTATTTTTTCGTTTTATCCACCTCGCGTAGTTTCCTAATTATTATAATTACCCTCCGGCTTCTTCTGCGTCCTCGATCGAGCGATTCGCGACTCGAAGATCGCCTCCCCGTCTTCCAGTTTGCGGTCGAGGCAATCATCACGTCGTTGATTCAACATCTCGAACTTCCTGGGGTGCTAGGTGTCGCAAAGCCAAAAAAGCCCCTCAGTCCACGAAGAGGGGTCCATCCACGAACCTCGAATCCAGGAAACAGCCCCAGTACTTCCAACCGAGGAGGATCTCCACCCAGATTTATCTCACCATTTATTAAATAATTATTCGGGAATTAAAAACGGATTTATCAGTCCGGAGGATGAAACCAAAAAGCAGGGTCAACGCCCGGTCGAGTCCTCCGATTTTGTAAATCGGATAGCCGGAGCCTCCAATGTTTGTTTTATTTGAATTTTTTATATAGCCCGATTTTACTTTGGAATGCGTTATAATTAATTAACTTATTTCCGGGCGCGATCCGCGTCGGCGATCGATGGATTCACGTCGTTCCTTCACGCCGGGCGACGTTGATCGCATTTCGGGTCTATTATTTTTTAGCGCCGGGAACTTTCTTAGGGGGCTGGCTCGAATTTTAAAGTTAATCGAGATTCTTGGGGCTCGAGTTCGCGATTCGCAGGGGTCCTCGGCGAGCTCCGTTTTAATGGAATCGGTCGGCGAGCCGGCCTCCTCCGGACTGAAAATCGAAGCCTGCCACGAGTGGGAGACTACCGATTATCTAATGGATATGTAAAAACTGTCGCCATCTAAATTCCGTATTTCCTGGAGGACCCTTGAACTCCAAAGTATAAAGGTTGACGCTTTAATTGTTGCCGGCCCCTCCGAAGCTCGAGCTCGGCAGCCAATCGCAAAGCAGCGGACTCGATAAGCGAGGTGGGAACGCCAATCGGAAAATGGCGAACAATTCTGACGATGTAAAAAATTAAGTGGAAAATGACATCACGAGGCAGACGCGACAAGTTCGGCTCTACGACGAACCGAGGAGCCTATATCGACTTTCGGAATTAGCTCGGCCAAGTATACCGAAACAATGTTCGATACAGAGGGCTGGGAAATGCGCAGAAGGGCACCGAAACCGAATATATTTCCCTCCCACATTTTTTATGACTGATGTCGTCACGTGTTAATACGAGAGGGCGTAACGACGGAGGGCGTTTCGGCCTTTGTTACCAAATACCATTACATATATCAGGCAGTCCGGATACTTATTGCGGTTTTTTGACGTTTAAGACGTGACGCTTCGTTCAGCAGTTAATAGTTAAGGCAAAGAAAGGGGGTGGTAGGAATTAATCTACTTCGGAGTTATTCCATGACAGAACGTAGAATGGTGAAAATCGTAACAAGCCTTTCAGTCCCTTATTGGCGAAACGCAATGTTGGGTGTTACCGGGCTCTCCATGTAGACGTTAAATGTTTAACATTCTTTATTTACAGAGTCGAGGGTCTTCCGGGTACCCGTGGGCCGATTCTCCCCGTGGCGTGAGAAGACCAGGACGACCCTCGGGGGAGTGCACGATAATGCGTCGGTTCGTCGTAATCGAGAAGTTTCGCGTTAAAATTTGGCCCAACGAGTTCTCGCCTGCAGTCTGGGCCATTCTCGAGGGTGGAGGAGCCACCTCTCCTGCGAAAATGACCATTACTCTGAGTGAATTTGAATCGCGAAGAGGCGCGAATGGCACTCTACGGAAACGCGGTTGCCCACCCTCGGCCCTCCGTCACAACGGCCCTATTCTTCCTTTTCGCCCAGACTTTTCGCATTTTCCGAATAGACCCGGAAAAACAACCTTTTCCCTTAGCCCGACTCGCTCATTTTTTTTTTCACCACGAGTCGTTCAATAGGTACAAATCGTTCCGGCTCCGCGTTGTCTCCGACCTCTTCAAGATTATCCTGGCCTTATTTTGGAAATCATTTGTTGGGGCGAATTTTTTATTCTTTTTATTCCTCTTTTAAACTCTGAAGGGAATGAAAGGGTGCATGGGGCATATGAAATTTATGTTGTATTTGGTTATTTAACAAATTATTTAATATTTTTCGTCATAAGGTGAGCTTTGGTCGGTCTTTTACGAACTCGACCACGTGCGACTCCGCTCCGCGTCCGTCGTCGACGAAGGACGGACTGCGAATGCGAGAGAGAGCTAGGAGTTTAATGCTCGAAAAGGAGAAATCCAATTTTCTGTCTCTCCCGATGAGCACGAGACTCGACTGGAAAAAAGCGTCGGTACCTCTTTCTTAGGAAAAGGATATCGTAAAAGCGTCGATACGGTTTTTCATACCCTCGTTTAGAACAACATCCGGGATCCCCGGAGAGACTCGAGAATTTGTCACCAAGGAAAGTTTAAGCCCAGCCTCTGGGGAGCCTGCTTGCAGGGATGCAAGTTTTATTCTCAATGTTCGCCGTGGTGCAAGGGAAACTCCCGAATTACGAGGGAAATGATTAATATCCTGCCAGGGATCGGAATTATGGCCGTGTGACGTGGCCGGTGACGTCACGAAAATAACGCACATGCGGTGCTTTCCTTCCGAGTGAATTCCGAGAGTCGAAGTCGATACTTCCGGTAGGAACGTTTCTTTGGACTTGGTTTTTTTTTCATTTCTAATAGTTTTACAGTAATCCGGAAAATTAATGAATATTTAATATGTCGGCTGCTCTTAATTCCTTGAAAAGTGCAGGAAAAGTTGGGGATCTCTCGAGGTCTCAATCGAATTTTGTCGAAAGTTCGTTCAACAATACGTGTTATTCCGTTGAAATAAAATAAAAGGTATGTTTTTTTTTATATATTTTAACTGTAAAGATTTTTTCAGGATTTTTTTCTCATGGTGGAGTTAGGGTTCCGATGTTTATTCAGAGCATCGTGGAATATATTTCGATGGGTCTTTGGTACCTACTTCGTCCTGTCAATATGTATGTAGTTTCGTAATAAAAAGTATGTGAAAAACGTATGATTATAAATCTCGTTCGACGTAACTTGTTCGGACGGATTCCATGCATACCAATACATGCACTCCATGCATAACGTTGGTCACTTGCTTTGAGGGCAACTATGATTGGGATAAACTCAAACATCATCTCTAAGATCTATATGTAATATTAATGCATTTCGTAAAAATGCTGCACAACTTATGCGGCCAAAGCCTTGTTCCTTTGAACCTTGTGAAACGTGTCGCGCATATTAGAAACGTAAAACTGACATTATTAACATGCGGTCTAATGATATTCATAGACGCTTACCGAAATCTTAAATTGTAATGACACGTGTCGCAATTTACATTTCAAAAATGCGTGCACGTGTCCTTTAAAAAATTTTGAAGGTCCGGTTGCATTTTGTTTTATGCAGCGAATTATGCATTCTTTGTTCATTTCTAGTTCAGTCATTTAGCATATATCTCCGCTTAGAAATAAACGTTTCTTATTGAGCAGCCGATAGATACGCAAATCACATCGGTGGATTACATCGAGTATCGTAGTTGGTGTAAAGAGTTTTTACATCGTCCTGTAACTTTGGCATAGAAGTTTGCTAATAACTCCGTTCTTGAAGGCAGGATGAAATTCCTGGTATCAGATATCAGCTTTGCTGACAACTTAGGAATCTGCTCCAGAAAACCTTGTCCGTGGTCGGGAAATATTTCTGGCCTAGAAAAAAAAATTTAATAATTAGAGGGTTTATAGAAAAAAATTAATAATTAGACGGTTCATAAAAAATTTAATAATTTCACGGTTTATAGCAAAATCCTTACAGCGCGAAACGCTCGTTTTTAGGGAAAACATTGAAAATCAGTCTCTGGCTTTCACGTATGTATATTTCTTCACGTTTGTAGGCTCTGGACCAGCCAGCAAGCGGGAAAAGGCAGCAACAGGTTGCATCTCCCCACATAAATTACAAGTTTAAGAATATGTACGACAGCACCAGCGACATTGCAAAAGTTTTGCGGTCCCACGCATTTGTACGTGGAATGAAGTCTCGTTCCATACTGAAAAAGAGACTTGGAGTGTTAAAAAACGCACTGGTCATTGACAAACCCATCGTCACGGTTTTACAAAATACGTTTAATAATTTTAGTACCTGCACTTAGCTCGTAAAGGTGAATTAATGGAGCTCCCTTTCCTATCTTGGCCAGGGAATTTTTAGATGGTCTCCCGTCGGAATGAAAGAGGCCACGGGTCGAGGATTTCCCGCGAGGCTGGAAGAGTGACTTTTAACAATTTATAATTGTGTAAATAAAGTAAAGGAGACAAATTTGAGAGCGTCCGTGTCTAGACTGTTAGACGGTTTCTGGAAGACCTCGAGAACGGATGAAAAATCCGCTCCTTCCCGCGAAAATGATATCACCCGACGACTTATTGCCGCCATCTTTTTCTTCGACTTCCTTTATCAAATCGCGATTGTCGGCACGTCTCAAAGACAGGTAAAACACCGAAATCAGTTTTCTAAATGTTATTATTAATCAATTTATACGTAGCAGATGAACAGGCTAATTATAGTTGCTGATTTAGTCGTGCATACGAATTAGTAATGACAATCGTGTATAATTCGTTCATTCACACGATCAAATCATGCATAAGGTCGATCGACGTTGCAAGGCCAAACCTTGCACAAATGTTTAGTCATACATAACATTTATTCCGCATGAGATCATACAGGAGATCCATATAATTTTTTTTTACTGCCGAGGAAATTGGCGTCGAAGTAATGTTCCATTTTTTTTTAGGTAATTCCTTCGGAATCAACTTTTCAGTTGAATTTTTAGTGTATTATCCCGGGAGTGATCCTGGTCGCTGTTGATCGTTTCCACGTACTCCAGCACCGTAGTAAAAAAGAAATCCTCAAGGCGTAGTAATCTAGGGAGATGTAGGGGAGCCATTTCGAAGGCCACAAAACTACGCATAAATCTTATAGAGATCCCTTAGAGATAGGACCTTGTATGCCCTATCGAGTTAACCGAAAGCGGAGGTCTGAGCGGATCCGTACATGATATTACGCAAATTTTATGAGCATGCCGGTTTAACGTACGAATCAAATTGGAGCGCACTGTTCAATTTACATGGCCTCTCCCTCTGTCCCTCTCCATCCACCTCTTCTTATACATTCTTTTTCTATTACCTCCTTCACCTGAAAACAGAGGTAGCGTTCACGCACTTTTTCGAGGTAGTAAGTTAACAAAATAACCGTTTAAATTCATATTAATTCATATTAATCACCAGAAGCGCACAGAAGCGCTAAATATCCATTGGGACATTAACAAGTGCTGGATGCTGGTTTATTACGTCTTTATTGACTTACATTATTAATGCCAAAAAATTATCTTATGTGTTTTAATTTTTCACGTCCATTTCCGTTCTATTGATGTTGTGTAGGGTGTTTTAGGGATAAGTAAGGATACATGAGTGTACCGTATTTCAGTGATAAGTAACGATATATGGGAGGGCAGGATCTCTTGTCGATTCCGGCGAGGTAGAGTCGTGGTTTCTCATCACGACGGAAATGATGACATTATACGAAATTCCGAAATAAAAAAATTTGCCGAAGGGAGGGGCAGTTATGCATAGCTCTACGGTTGTACGGCTCCCCTTGGAACGCGCATGGCAGCCCCACGTTGCGTATTTAAGGGCTGATAGTACGCGCTTCTCACCACTGTACCGCCACCCGCAGACCAGGAACACTCCCCAGTGCTTGCCGGAAGTCTTGAGCATTCGATATCTCGAACTCAAGTCCCTCGAGTCGATCCTCGGCCAGCCAATATCTGCACACAAGTCCCCGGCAGACATTCCAACAGGTTAGTCACGGAATAGCCTCATATGCCATGCGGCTTTCCTTTTTGCAACTTTTGCAACAAAGTACCGCCGATTTATTTCATCCCAGCAAAGACGTCCCCGATTTTTAGAACTTTCCGTAGATATTACTCTTTAGGAATTTCCGACGGAACGGGTTTTACTTTTATCAATGGTTTTCCGTGCATGGAAGTAGGTCTTCGAAAATTGTGACTTTGCCAGAAAATCCGGGACTCTTTATTTATAAATTAATGGCGGTATCGAGTGCCCGGGATCGAATGGATGTTACTTCGGGTGGTAGGAAAAAATGTTATTGGAAATATGATAAAAATTTAAACCGTATATCGTGTACTAAACGGTCTCAAATTCGGGGATGATTTTACAGCCCCCAGAGAAGAACGCGATACTTCTCGAAAAAATAAAATCTCTACCACCGTACGTTTTGGAAAATGCGTCGCGCTCCATTTTCGACGCGCTGGGGGAGCTTTTAAAAACTGAAACGAGATATTAATTGAATTTCAGCAGGAATGTGTAGAATAACTTTTATTTTTTATACATTTTTTCGTGACGAATACGCGCCTGCGGAAATGTAATTGATACTAACGGGGGAAATATTCCAATGAAAAATTCCTCTTATAGTTGTAAATTGTCGACAGCGGACGTGGATTGTCTTTCGTAAGGGAAAATAGACTACTTTTGTGTACATTGTAAATACAGGAGGTACAGAGTATTTTCTTCCAGCCTTGTACACTGCGCTGCAACGGGTAAATAGACTGAATCACGATAATTCACTTCTCACAAATTAAATCACTATCGATCCAGATGTCGGACTCATCCTCGTCCGTCTGAGAACACGTGTAGGATGTTACCTTTCTCTTTCATTTGTTATCCACTTGTTTCCCGAGACCTTCTTAATCACGTCCTTTCTTTTGGAGAAAGGGCAAGTAACACCCCCGATTTAGTAGATCGAGCACTTACCAAATTTGTTCGCCCTCCATGCCTACATCAAATTACTGAACAATTCTGAGTTTATTTTCTTATACTCAAAGATTCACTTTAATTAAATAAAGGTCATTCTCAGTTGCAATTTAATATCAGACGGCAAGTGGTATTCTTCAAATTGCTCAATTTGTGAGTATTAAATTTTATATAACGTCTTGCAACGTTTCTGAAATTTCTGAAGGCACGATGATAAATATTAATCACGCGTACTGCAGGAAATATTTATTATTTTTAGTCAAGTTAGACGAGAGGAGGATCTTTTACGGGGAAAATAATGTATTCAAAAATATTATTGCCAGCAGTAGAAGACTGTGGCTTTCCGGAAAGTAGGGAAATAAGAGCGATTGGAAACGCAGTCGATACGAGGCGGTACCGCTTTCCTTCGTTGCCTTGAAAATTGAACTTGAATTGAATTTCGTTTCCCTCGGTCACACGGGGACATTTTGTTACGCAAGTACGTAATTGTCGTGCGAGTGGGAAGCGCAAGAGGAAGACGAATAGGAGCCTTATTTAAATATTTTCGATTTCATGCTCCGGTTTGCCTCAATTTCGCCTCCCGCCGATAAAGTTGCATCGCACGATCGCATCTCTATCACGGCTTTATCTACGTTAGCCTTATCGTACGTTTTTCAAATTCCACCACTACCTCTCATGCATATAGCACCAAAAAATCAAAAGTAATAATCATTTTTTAAGCAGCTGCAGCGCATAAAGCGTTGCATGGAAAAGTAAGATAAATCTTTCGTTTTGCATTTTGAATCACTTTTTATGGTATATCGTGACCCTAGGCTCTCATAGGGAAGGGAATGCGAAGAAATAGACATAAGTAAGACGCTTTTCCCTAGGGCTAGGGAAAATTCCCACTTGCGGGAATTCGGGACCTCAAATTCTCGCTCTTAATCGCTCGAATTTCTGGCTAAACGCTTTGAACGCCACTTGTGGGAATTTCCTTAGAAAATTTCCACTTAGGGCTTTGCCACTTCCCTTTGTGAGAAGATGATAATTCACTGCAGGGAATTCTATTTAGTGCCCCGGGACACGCGAGAACGCTATTTCTTTGTGAAGCATTGCCATTTAATGCCGAAATAGACAAAGCCTTCTTAATCATGAAGCTCGATGAAATCAATCGGTCAATGTCGCTTGCAAAACGACGAAGAGTGATTTCGAGGTGTTCGAACTTCCTTCCTTCGGGTTTACAAGTTTTCTACACAGTGAATTCGTATTTCCACGTACAGATCGACGCGGAGTAAATTGCTCGCCATTTTCCTCTTGACTGGATCAAAATTCGATGCTAATTATTCTAATCAAAGTCTGACGTTATTCCGCCTTGTTTTATGTTTAAAACTTGGTTCCTGGTTGAAATGAAAGTAAATAGGTTCCAAGGAAATGAAGTCAGCTTGGGGAATTGTTATATCAGTACCGTTCTCTTGGTAAATAAACGCTATTTACCCTATTACAAGCAAGATTGCTTCCCATCGCAATTACATAGAAGACTGCAAATGTTGCGAATTGTAGCGCGATTCTGTATCTACATTTACGGGGATATAAATTATAATGTAAAATATGTTCCTTCCGGGCGCTATAAAACGTTGTAAAACATGCATGGAGCTGCATTCATTAATCTAACTCTTGCAGGGACATTACCGTGCATCCCTATTTCTGTAAATATTGCAACGTCGAGTGTTCACAGCAAACAATTTATGACGAAGTTCACGTAACAAGTTATACATGTCGATAATTTACGCAGATATTCGTTATAAAACGCGACGATCCATCCTGATTGGCTTCGAAATTTACTGGCGATAATGTTTATTTATATAACCTTCTTTACCACAGCGGCAATTTTGCGACGGATAAATATGTAACGAACATCGACAGTACATTTTGAAGGGCCGCTTATGACGATTCGATTGGGGAGCTCTCTATTTATTTGAATTTCAAAGACACGGTCTGCATGATCGCAATAATTTGTTTTTTGAAAACTTGTTAACTCCAAGCTACGTCGTACTGCTCGGTTTGTAATATGCTTGTAACAATATTTACCCTCGTGAATGTTTCACAGGTAGTCAACAAACGGTAATGACAGTACCCGTGCACAATTCATTTAAATTTACTGCGATGGAAAGTATACAAATGTCTCCTGGGGTGCAAACAAACGTAATTAAGCACAAGGGACAAAGGTTGATTGTCGGCAGACGGCAAAGAATTTTGTGATCATTTCAAAAGCAGTCTTAAACTGCTTATTTTAAAAAAGGCACCGCATAAAATCACCTAAAGTCCTTTTGCAAGCAATGCAGTTTTTTTCTTTTTCTTTTTTTCATCGCGACAAGCGAATGCTAAATATTCGGGAGGCGAGAAAAAATTAAACACTTCCGGGTTTCGTATTCCCGGTTCCGGTAATGTCTTTTCGAGGGGGTTCTCCTACAATTGCCGTCCCTTAATTGATGATGTTTCGTGAACGTCTCGGTCCACTTCTTGCACCCTTAGGACCTTTTCTTCTCCGCAAAACTCGGTAGATGCGAGCAACATCGTCCGAGACATCGAAGCAATTATTATAGGAAGACAAATGAGAGACAACCCCGGAAGCCTTTTTCGAAATAAATCACAAGGTGGGTTTATCCATATAAAAATGACAGGAAGAAATAAGAATTGGTTAAGTCCTTCCACCCTTTACCTCGTGTCGCCCTCGATAAGCATCCCTTCAGGAACTCCGTCGCCCAAGCTTATAATTACTCTATCGTAAAATTAATCAGAATGGTAATTATCCCGACTCCTCCTGTACACAACATCGTTATGCAAATCTCTTTACTTTTCTCTAACTTTGGGGTAAACGGAAACGCGTTGTATATTTTTTCTCATATAAATATGTATCTGGGTCCGAAAACGGATATCAAAAATTTTACGAGAGATCACGAACAGTCAGAAATTTTTCTAAATTCGAGAAATGTCTGAGAAGGGTTGGAGGGCTTCATGAAATGGCAGTCGATCGAAATATAATGCATATAGACATATCAATGGTTATCCTTGCCGTTGGGGGTAGAACAGCAACAGGTTGCCTATCACGACGCATCACATCTCGGGTTCATGAATATAAAACCTATTATTGCAAGTACACCAGAAGCCCTATTGATACGCCCATCAAATCACTAAACCGGGATTTCAATCGCAGAAATATTACCATTATATAATAATCCCCTAAATGATTATTTCTTCCCGTCCTAGGAACTCCCTCCAAGAGATCCGGAGAACGTGAAGTATAGATAATAAATTTAAAAGAATTGATTATCCGCCCGAAATAAAATTAATCCAGGAGTATTTATTTCGGAAAAGTAAATTAACGATCGCTTTAGATTTTCGAGTCTACAAATTGCAATAAGTATTCATGGAAGCCTCGATTGAGAGGTCCGACAATGAAATTGTCCGATAGGAGGGAATGCCTCGACGGTCGTAACAGGCTTCCCCGTAAATCGAGTAAAATTAACCCAGGACATAATCCACGATTCAGAATTAAAGTGTACACGACGGCGAGAGAATAGAATCTCCCTAGTAATCGATTTACCTCCATTGGCCACGAGCGAGTCCTCGATGGACGTGAATACGAATCGGAGCCCGCGAAAATTGAAATAGATTCGAGGCCGCCGCGAGGTTGTTGGGGAAGAGCATCGGCAATCGAAAGAATTTTCCATTTAATTATCAGCCAGGAAATTGTGCGACCGGGACGAAATGGGAAATGACTAATCGAACCCAATTTAATGATTCGATCCCACGAGGCTGCAGACGGCTCAGACATTGCGCTACAATTTTTTTTACAATTTCTGCACTTAGGGTGGCGTCTTTGATCATAACGTATAATGGCCGCCGTCCTCGGAAATTGTGTGATTAAGTTTGATATAGAGTACCAATCGTAGACATTCGAATGGCGCATGTCTTATTCGAGTTTGAGGGAGTGCCCGGAAATATTGTTCGGTGACAAAAATTCTATCCGGAAGAGTGCGACTTCTCGCTCCAAGAAAGTTCATGCAGGAAGATATAACTCCGAGCTATATAAGATTCCACCGAACCTCGGGGCATCAAAGTTTCACGTCCGGTGGTTGACGTGCATTTATTATCTCAACTTCATTTCCCCGTCCTGGAGCGACGTTCTCACCTCGTCCATGTTGGAGACATTTACCATTTTCTGAAACTATACCTCCAGGGTACGGCGTCTTACCGACGTCGTAAGGGGCAAAGAGCGGAGGGCGACATCAAGAAGCTGCTTTTATTCTCACGCAAAATCAAACGATATTCCCGATATTGCATTCCTCTCCTACGGTGGAGCGAGTAATGGCAGAATGTGAAGTACACCCGACATCAACCTTCTACGCAACACCACGGTTTAATGAAATCCACAAGCAGATCGTGATATTAACACAATGCCGTGAAAATGAAAATTCCCAGGAGTCCATTTCATTTTTTGAAGGAAACTTAATCCAGCTTTACGACCTCCGTGAGATGTATTTCCCTCCAGCCGCGAATCGTCCGACCATTCGAAGAGAGCCTCACGTCTTCCTCATCTGCGGAATATAAGATCTCTATATAAAATCTATCGACATTGCGATGTATGAAACTTATTATAAGACAATGACATACATGCACCCGAATTGCACGGTAGCTCTTTTTACTACCCTTACGCGATAACGGCGGTTTAGTCATTGCATTTATATATATAAAGGGAGGATATGCAAGTCGTCTGGAGGGACTTTAGAAAATCATTTCATGTAAATGACAATGGGTCTTGCCACGTCGAACGACTCATCGGGGACTCATAAATGACTGCTGGAACTGGCAACAAAGTCCACTCGTAAGCCGGACTGCTAGATTGTGTTTTATCAGGGTTGCTTGTAGCGTCACATTATTCATCGCTATTGTATACAACGTCGGGCTTGCCTATTAACTGAGTAAACGCGCCTCTAAACGCAGATATGAGTCGCAAAAGTAAATTCCCTTAGCGCAGAGCTTCGGGTACAGGGAGAGAGTGTAAGCGAATTACCTCGGATGCGAAGCTAGATAATAAATAAATGTTAGGTAGATGGTTGATGGAAGATACCTCTCATCTATCTCGAGTAGATATGCAAAATCGTACCCTGGCTCGATTAATCCTTGACAACGTTGACTCGGGGGGCTCTTGCTAAACTCTAAATCGGGAAAGTCAGACGAAACTTTTTTCAATTATTTACTCATTTGCCGAACTCGAAGACTATTACTCGCCAGCCCGAGGCCTCGATCAGCCGGTCATCTGAAAAAAGAAATAGGACGTCGGAAACGATGATATTGGATTTTAAACGAACGTCGCAATCAACGGGAAGACGTCTCGACGTATTTCCGGGGTAGCTGGAGATGGGCATCGGCGTTTCACCGTTTATTACCATCCGCAACTTGGACTCAACGTTTCCTTTTTCGTTTCTCCCCCTGGAGAAAATCCAGGATGGGTTCAATTAATACGGACGATCGCTCGAAAGGACATGCAGGGGTTTAGAGTACCTTTTGAACCCCGAAAAAATTCCCGTCGGGACCCTGATAAGAGTTGGGCCGACCTAATCTCGCGGTGTCCTTATCCGAAGGAATTGATTTGGATTCCGAGCGAATCGGTTTAATTGAATTTCATCGAAAGTCCCGGCGCGTTCCTCGGTTGCAATGTAAGGTCCGGCCAATACCGCCGGCCAATACCTTTTTTTTTTTTGGCAATAAATCTTTCACCCGAAGTCGGTCCTTATTCCTGATTAAATCCAGGAGAGCCGGTGTCACGCGGCGGGAAGATTATGGGGAATATACAAGGCGGGGCCGAGTCAAGGCACCGGGAAAACTGGAGGAAGATATCGCAATAACTAAGAAAGATTTACGTCTAACTAACGCGGGAGGTCCTCTCGCGGGCCGGAAGTTTCATTTTGCGAGTATACCGGAGGTATTGCACCCAGTAAATCGTTTAGGTCCGTCCTACCACGTGGCGTTGTCAGGAATCCTAACGAGCCAACTCCTGGAGTGGCCCCTCCACCGACGCCACAACTGGGCGATAATGCTAATACTAAATCTAATTACCGAAACGGAGCATCGAGGTTACCGGGAATGCAGATTCGACTCTCTGGATCTATCCCCCCGACTATTTAACCAAAATTATCAATAATGCGGCATTATTGATAATAAGGATTACACGTTGCACAATGGCGGTCCGTCCATTTCTCTGACGAGTGAAAATCGGGTACCATGTTTTATCCTCACTTTTTACTGGGATATATGGTTAATAAATAAAAATCGGTTTCTTGTGGGGATTTTGTTTAATGATACACTGTAGTTGGTTCGGAGTGTTTCAAGGATTCGGTTTCTTTTTCAGTTTCAGACATGAAGTGCAATACCGCAATGGCGTCCATGGCGTTTGCGACGATCCTGCTCGTCCTGTCGGGACATTGCTACGCAATGCCTCCTGCTCAATGCAGCTCCGGTGTCCTGGAAGAAATTCCCCCAAGGATTCGCAAAGTTTGCGCCGCTCTGTCCACCATGTACGAGCTGAGTGCTGCCATGGAGAATTACATCGAAGACAAAGGTAATGGGGAATAAAGCTCGACATTATCGCTGGAAGAAAATTCAACTCGCTACTCGCTAAGGGAAAATGCTCTTATCGGACAGGGACTGTTTTATACATCCTGAAAATCTTCGATCCTTTAAATGTAAAGTCTAAGATACGTCGATGGAATAACGTTCCACGGCGTATCTTACTTTATCCGAGGGCTTAACAAAAACGAACGATAAAGCTAACTTCCCATCGAGTGCTTCGGTTACGACGCACTGAAAACTCCAGAACGGTTGATTTCTCATTCACCTGAAACGAAGTACAGGTTTTCGAGAGAGCCGTCCACTTCTTGAAATACTCACGTGTTCATTCACCGGTGTACTTCCGGCATTTATTATCGTTGCGATCGACGAAACTGACGTCTCCGCTATCGATTGAATTCCGATAAAGGAGGTCGTTTCTATTGAAGTCGCCGAGGAGAGTCCTTTTTCTCGTACGTCCTCAGAGCGAGGTCTGCATAACTCGTTACACGGGCGGAATTGAATGTAGATCGGTGAAAGAATTTGCATAATTTCCGCCGCTTCGGAGAAGACGTATGAGACAGGCTTTGGTGTCCTTAGAGTCGAAATGGACGAATTGGAGCGCTCTTTGACGGTGCCCTGTACCTGTAAATTAAGTAAACGCGTGGTAATTAAGCTCACCTCGTACCTGTGGATCGCACATGTCACGTGTTACGTAATTAGTTCCAGTTCTACGAGAAAACATCCCCTTGCCGGAGAGTGCTGTCAAACGTCAAGACGTCGACCACGTGTTTCTCCGTTTTGGCAGGCGACGCTAGAGATGTCAGGAGTGCCAAAAAATCCTGTAAGAAACCAACGCGGGGCCCTTCCATCTAGTTATCGCCAAACTAATAGTAATTTAACTCGAATTTCCTTAGTCCGATCCTCGTAGGTGTGTCCGATTTGATTATTTTCGTGGTTCATCGCTTGACTTATGTCGACTGTCCGTAGACTAGACGTCTGATCTACGTCCGCAAAGAATCTCGAATCAATGTATGGTGTCATCGTTCCTATGCAAAGGAATGCGTATCAATGAATTTCCTAGGTCAAAGTTAACCGGCGACGAGCCTGTCGTTTTCCTTTTTGCAATTAACGGGACGTTGATTATGCATACACGGATCATGCCTCTGAAACGCCAACAAAAGTCTGATTAGTGTATTAGGGGATCAGAGAACGTGAGGAATCTGTATTTTTGAAAACTAGCACTTGTCCACTCGATTTTTTATTTATGCAAGTCTGCCAGGTTTTATTTTTCTCTCTCGGAGTGCTCGAACTGAGATTTCTTTGCTCCACGTTGGGATGCAACGATTAGAGTCAATTATTATTTATTAAGGAGATTTTGTTTTTTAAGCAGAGCTTTTATAGCAGGTTCGTAAGTCAATGATAATATCTTGGATCGGTCAATGGTACCAAAGAGGGTCTATTGGCTTTCCAGGATCTCGAGAAGAATCGTAGTCGTGTTTGTTTGAATTGCGACAATGTATATCGTAATGGCTAAAAAATTGGACTGCTTCTTTTTCTTACAATTCGAGCGCAATGACGCTTGTGAGAAAATCGTTAAATACATACGTACTTCGTTTTCCTGTTAGATTGCCCATTGGTCTTCCTGGATGTCGCCCGTTTTACATAAACACACAAAACGCAACAGTATTATATCAATGTACCAAAGCTATTTGACGTGAATAAAGGGAAGATTTAACTTAACAATTAAATGCGCAGCGTAATCGATATGACTTGACTCTCCCCAATTTTAGGGGAAAGTTCAAAGCTTTCGCTTCGGTGTGTTCGATCGTTCGTCCTAATGTAAACTAAAAATTATAAACTATTAAATTTGCTCGCGCGAAGTTAAGTGTAACTTTCCTGTTACAGTCGGAAGAGTTTTATCGCCGGCTAGCCGAGGCATTGTTTCTTCCTTAATGTTAAGAATTTATGTAAATTTACTTTCTGCGCAATTCGTTTGAACTTCCGCAAATCCGACATTGAATTTCATTGGCTCCTTTCACGAACTTGCACATTTTAATATTTCCATGCATTGATAATTATTGCCGGGGATAACGCAATGGAATTCAATGGCGGTCGGATTAAGACGAGCATGTGCGTGCAACTAAAAATTGTAACAAATGATTTTGAAAAGATGTTCTTTCTCTTGAAATTTTTACTTGCACTTGCACGTCAATTATAATATAAGCTTGTTTGCCCTAGCCTTTGTTGAATCTTAGCTTTTCACAGCCTAGTAGGTATTTTTTAATGCTGAACAATCTTCTTTATTTTTAAAGCGGACGCGGTCGCGGTGCGTGTAAATTACTATGAACGATCATGTGTATATCTCTTCTAACATTAACGAAAACGACATTGTAATTCCCTTAAACAACCGTATCTCCCACAATACCGACAACGCTTCGCACCCCGTATGGGGATTTAATTAACAAATGTTAATACTCAGAATGTTGCTATCCTCCGATAGTTGTTTCCACCACGAGGCTGTTGGTCCGCGAAGTAAGAGATATTGATTTTTATTAACACGGCTAATGTAATGAAAACATGTATGTACGATTATGAAATGATTATATATTTATTACAAAATATACATATACGTATCTATATATATATAGACACACACACATAAAGTTCCTCTCTGAAAATACGGCGAGGTTGTGGCGATTATTTTTCCCGAAATCGTTCCCGGAATTCTGTTCTTTTCTTTTCCAAAGCTTCATAACATTAAATCCTTATAAATAATTCCGTAAACGGGGAAAAGAGTAAGAGTAAAATAGAAATAAAGAATTCTGTTCTTTTCTTTTCCAAAGCTTCATAACATGAAATCCTTATAAATAATTCCGTAACCGGGGAAAAGAGTAAGAGTAAAATCCATCCCCCGGTTAATTTCGACGTAATTTCGGAGCAGAAATTAATCGGGCGCTCTCATAGGATTTCTGAGAAGCAATCAAAGTCTCCATCGTACCATTTAATAGAAGTTGCTTGCGCAACTGCTCTGAAAATCTTATATGAGGGATAGGACACCATTGCGGTACACTTTGGCACAAAACTTTCTAAGAAGATTTCCTTCTTCCTCGATGGTCTTCGAGGAGGATATTCCATAGAATCCGTGTCATACCGAGGCATAAAGTGTTCAAAAGCCTCAAAAGACTTTCCCGAGAGCGTATCGCAACTTTGATATCGACGGAGCTAAAAAGATTTGCATGCCTTTCAGAAAAACTGGTCTTATTGTGGATTCGAGGTACACCTATCAGTGTATTTCGGAAAGGGGCTCATAAAGAGCCTCAAACTCTGTTTAAAAAATAAAATAAGAGGTAGAACTGTTATAATAATAAAATAGGTATATTTTAATATCAGTGCCGCCCTCACCACCTTTTACACAGGGAGGATCATGAATAATGAAGTGTCGACGTTAACGCCCGTTCAGTCAACTCTGCCGGCTAAAATCAACAGAAGGTATGTTAATGAAAATTTGATTACCTAGTCTGTATTTTTTTATTTCTTTTTTCTTTTTAGGGACAGGACCCATGTACCATAAAAACTGGGCTCTGGGAAATATATCAGCATGCTCCAAGCGTGTACTCTCTGGATATCCGTCGAGGCATGCCACGGATGATATCCTATGCATACTACTCCAAGAGTTTAAAGCTTGATAATTACGAAGTGAAACAAAACTTCATTGATATTATGTTAATGAGACCACCCGAGCTCGCGTCCAAGGCTCCATCGGTATTCAGGGCGTCTTGTCGTCCATCCAGAAGATACACATCGGGATAAGAAACTTGTCATCCACCCAGCAGGATATCCACGAGATAACGTCCAGATTACATCCTAGATGATCCCTCCCCTGAAAGCTCGACACGTCGAGCACTCTTCCACGACCTATCGGACGTACACCTTGGAGTTCCTTCCAACAATCAATTTTAAACACATTTCTAAAGACCGTTCAAACGTTGCGACATCATTACTCGTTTGCTCTGATAAAAGGCGGAAACCGGATGTTTCTTTACTTGGAGGATAAAAATGATCCACTGACTGTTTCCAGCCTGACAGTAGCTGATGATAATTCCTGTCCGGTGCTTCTCTCAATCGCTGGAAAACCTCCTAGTCCTCAAGGATAAGTGGGAGTAAGAACAACCTGTAAGTGGAAAATATTTTAATTGAACATAATTATTTCTCTCTAAGGGAGTAGGTTACAGGTAATCATGAAATCCTCGGGAACCTTCGGTATCGGTCCGTCGTTGGAAAATGTCCTTCATTAGTCACTTTTAATCTGCAATTCGCAGTTTATGGCTCGTTAGGGTCCCGACGCTGCTTTCATCGATAAGGATCGTCCATTAAATATACCCCTTCTCAAAATTGCCGACCAGAGTGGGTCGAGCATCCTCCATGGGGACGTCCTCCTACGCTTGAACCGTAGAAAATCCGCAGGTTGTTGGCTGTTGTGTAATTCAACTCGTATTCCTCGCGGGTACGTAATTTCCCTGAATACTGTCCTCGTTCCCTGGCTCGAAAGGCAAAATAAATTAGCCCCGACGTGGTCTAGGAGGGAATGAATTACGAGTAGAAAGTGCGAGGGTGGATCGACCCGGGAAGGAGTGGATCCTCCTTACCATACGACGTCCTGGGTCCGCTTGTGATGCAGGGGAGTTACCACGGGACGAACAAATATTGCCAAGAGTAATTGCCAAGAGGCAGCGGGACATCAATCTCGACAGTAAGACTTGACCTCCGAGGAGGAGATAGCTCTCCAATGCAAAAGATCGTGCATTCCCTGATCCTCGGTACGTATCTGTCGGTATGACTTCCCGATAAAAAGAAATATCTGTAATAGAAAAAAAAATCCGATCTATTTTATGTCAAGCATGATTATCGATCCTAGGTACGTAGCTGACGGTATGACCTCCCTATAAAAAAAATACATATCCGATCTATTAAAATCTGTGAAATAAATTTCAAGCCCGACTATCGAGAATGACAAGCGACCAAGCGCGATCAGCTGACTGACATGACAACCCTTCACGGAGGAAATTTATCCCCCCAAGGTGGTAAAAATCCCACAAATTTCGACGATCTCTACCTATATACTTCCCATGAAGGCCACGTAGTAAAAGCAGCTATAACATCCGGTATTTCTCATTGACCCCCGGCATATGCAAGGAGTATCTCGCGGTAATAAGAAATACCAAATATTATAGGTGCTTTTACTACGTTTCAAACATGCAATATAAACCTAGAACAATGCCTGCGGGAAATAAAATAAATGCCCATGAATTTCTTTTATCTTTATTTAAGCCAGCGTTTTATAGCTCACAGACCTCGTCTTAGAGTAATATGGGTCAAAAAGTGTTCCCTAGGATAGTTTGAAATGATTTATAAGTCACGTCGGCGTTCTAAGGGGGACGGTATGTCCAGCAGAAAATGAGAAGCAAGAATGTTATGACGATGCAGTTCAGGGAGGCGTGATTCCGGAGCGAAATGAGAGCTAAAGTTAAGGAGGAGCTTTTAGGTAGGACACTGTTTACTTTTGCTTCTTCTTTATCCTCTCTGATAACGGGCTTCGAGAGGTATTATGCCTCTTCTACGGTTCCGTTTTTGGAAGCTCGCAACACCGATGATTTCCACAGTTGAAGTAATATTTACGAATGGCGAGAGAGCGAAGAGTATGCACATGTTCGCATGGAAACATGTCCCCGAAATGTGAGAAAATAAATTGCCTGGTGAAAGTCGAATCGTGCATTGATATATCATCATCACCGCGCTCCGATATTAATACGCGCACGAGGGTGTCCTACCTACAATTTCGTCCATAATTGTTATTAATTATACAAAAAACAACGGGTGCATAATGGACGCTCACGAAGAATACAAGAGACTTTAATCTACAGATCGAGATACAAATTCGTACAATTAGCGTATGGATTTTTTTTTCATACGAAATTTTTAAATAACCTCCAGCTCTCTCAGAATCCATGTCATCGAGAGAATAGGTTCTAATGCTATTCAAATGAAAGCAATTAGTCGAAGCGTGCAACGTCCGATTATCGGCCAGCCGATACGTCCAATGTCAATTAGAACCCTATTGACAGGGATATGCAGATATTAATTCGGCCTGGAGCGGAATTTCACGTTGGTCCGTTGTAGATACCTCCACCCGATGGAATCACCACTGTCCATAAAAGTCGGTCGTTGTGTGAGCTGACGTTCATAGTTTGTGCAGGTGTTTGGCAGAATTACCATCGGAAACGTGACTAATTGCTTGTCTAATCACCCAGGAAGTACTCGCTCGGCTCGTTGGACTTACAGCTGTAACAATGATCGACATCTCTTAGCGAACCTCGGGAGAAAAGACGAAAAAGTACTCCGACAAACAGGGACCTCATTCATTGGAAAGTGGCCAACGTCAGCAAGTCAGTCGCCGAGGAGGCGCAAAGATGGTGCTCCGAAAAGTTCTCCTCCTGGGAATCGTCCTTCTAGGGTTTGGCAAAATCCAGGCATCCACTGGTGAGTCAATTAGTGCATGAAAAATAAATAAACTTCCGAAGAAGTCGTACAGATTAGATAACCTTCTTTACGAGAGCGACGCGAATCCGCATCGTGTGTCTCGAATAAAGATTAGGTGATACGAGAGGAAATAAATATCCATTATTATTGAACACCGTTTTCAAAGGTAGGAACATAGGGATCGATCGCAAGGATCGTCGTAAAGCGTGCTTCCTGCTTTCAGAGCAATGTTCGATCCTCGTGAACGGGGGACTGCCCGACCCCCAGCCCCTGATCCTGAAACAAGGGCACGAAAAGGGGTTCGTCTACCCTAACGAAGTGGAAACGAAAAACATCGTCTTGTCGAAAGGCGAATCCTTTCGTCTGGCCTGTCCAGGGAGCAAATTGGAGATCCAATCCCCAGAGTTCGTCGACGACGCGATCGCGACCTGCGTCGGTGGGACGTCCTTCTCCATAGGTCGACAAAGCGTCGTCGAAAATTTCCGCGACATCCGGTGCTCCAGTTACCCCAAAGTGGTGGCCCTCGGTACGAGCAAGACCTGTCCGAACGGAAAAGAGGGTGAAATCGGATTTTCCCTGAGCACAGGCGAGTTTTACAGGGTGATCGACATCTGCCACAACGCGACTTTGGCACACACTACCTTTGCTCACGCAAAAATCCCAGCAGTGATAGACGCCGCTCAAACGGGCTTCCCCAGGATCTCGTTCCGCAAGGGTCCTTTCTACCGAGGATTGTCAATGGACTCGGCCTACAGCAGGGGAAATCAACGTTCCACCCTGGCGAGGATCCTGAAGAGCGAGGCCCTAGCCGAGAAGTACATCCCTCGGACTGGGGAAACTTTTTTGACGAGGGGTCACCTGGTCGCCAAGGGGGACTTCATCTATGGCACCCAGCAGAGGGCCACCTTCTTCTACGCCAACACCGTGCCCACGTGGAACACCGTCAACTCCGGGAACTGGATGATCATGGAGGCCGACGTGAAGACCTACGCAATTCGGAATAAAGTGGATTTAGACGTGTACGTAGGCAGCCACGGGATCCTAACTCTGCCGAACGCGACAGGCCAGAAGCAAGAATTGCACCTTCACGTTACCGACAGGATCACCGGGGTACCGATCCCCAGGACCTTGTTCAAGGTGGTGTACGACTCGGCCAGGAAGAGAGGAGTCGTTTTCCTCACCGCGAACAACCCTTTCTTGCAGTCGGTACCGAGGGAGTACGTCATCTGCAAGGACGTTTGCGATGAAATCAAGTACATATCCTGGAAAGCGACGAAGCTCGAAAGCGGATTCTCTTATTGCTGCGAAATCGACGACTTCAGGCACGCTTTCCCTGGCTTGCCTGGGTTCGAAACCGTGGGATTGCTTGTATAAATAAAACGTGAACGATCGCCTGAACTTTGAACGTCATCCGCTCGCTCGGTGAAACTCGGAGCCCGAAATCACGGGCGCGAGACAATTGGCTGTAACGAATTCGCATTATGCGAGCATGTTTAACATGTAAATGAGTCATTGTCCATGCCTGAGAGAAACTATTAAAGAATTCATACTAAAAGAAGAGGTCACCGATTCGTTAATGAGCGCCTGCTGGAGACCAAGAGTGACCTGCAGGTGAAGCAACAAAGGCAGATTCTGCCGTCTCCTAAACTCGACAGTAAAATGACTAAGTCCATTGTAGTAATAGAATTCCGTAGCGACATTAAGAGCGTCCCTGACTTTTAGAAATTACGAGGACACGTGCCACATTTTTACCGAATACCGGACATTACACTCCGAACCGGTACGCGTGTCCAATTAGATGCAAGCAAACAATGGCTCGTGCTACAATTGTTTGACAAAATTGGCCGTCGCCCACGACCAGTAAATATAATATCCCAGATGAAATTCTCTGAGTGCATTATACCGATGATTGAAACCAATTATATTCCGGGATATTTCGAGTGGATCCGAGGTGCCAAGAGTCGAGTCGATGAGCCATAAAGATCCCCTTATTTGGTTTTAATGGCTTCCTGGGGCGCTCTTGGGACACGTGGAGAAATAAACAGCCCATTTGGTCCCGCTCGGCCGAGAGCAAAAAAAATAAGCCAAAATGAAGAAACGACCGCTACCCTTTACATGTACTTACATTTTATTTCTGTACAGTTTTTAACACGCGGTACTGTGCTGGACTTGATCCATGGTTGTATAATTTTGAGACTGTACAACTATAAACAGCGATTGATGGTCCGATGCTTTCTTTTTCCTGGCTACGCTATATTCCTCAAATCGATCGTTCAATACGAAAATTTGTCCCATGCTTGCATTGTCGAGGAACAGATTCCCGATTTTCGATATTTCCTTCCTTCCATTCCGTCGTTTAAACGGGACTATTACTCACGCTTATCCAGTTTCGCTCTGGATCCGTTACGATCACGCGATGGAGTACTCTAGAAAAAGCGAGCAGTACATATTAACAACGCTCGGGCGCTAAATCGATTATAATCTCGTCGATTTAGAAAATAGCTGTTTCTAACGATAATACCTGAGCGAACGCGCGAACATTTGGCTCGCTGTTAAATTATATTTACAGGTGATCGCGGCGTGCCTTATCAAATTACTTTTGCCTCCGAGGACGTTCGTTAGTCGTATCAATCGACGTGTCGCAATCGACAACGCGTATTGATTTCAAGAATACGAGGACCAACACCCTTTTTTGCGAAATTCAACCTTCCGGGAATACCTCGGCGGAAGATCGCCCACTATTACCTCGAAATGAACACGAAAGTATCACCGACGTCGAATTACCGAATCCTCATTACGGCGAAACGGCGCACTCAGAACTTTCGTCTATGCTTCTATATCCCGGCCGGACAAATAATCATTAAAAATCCGTCATTAAGCTACTCATTAGGAACTTTTAGAGACTCGGTCAACCCAAGAACGCGAGCAATTTGTACCGGTGTATACACGCTAAAAAGTCCCGCGAGACATAACAGACAATTATTAAATAATATTCCGCACCGTCCCCGCAAAGGTGCGAAAGTGAAACGCGGGTTTAAAAATAAATTCCTATACCCCCCTTCGAGGCGACTGCACTAGTTAAAACGAATAAACGTCGGTATGGCATAAACGAAAATTCCAAGTGTTAGCACACCCTTACAGTACATACTCCTAACTCGTGCGTATCATGGTGCAATACGTTAACATCTATCGCGCAATTAACGATACAAGCGCCTTATGCCCTTCTCCGCTCCCCTGGGCTATTTACCTCATCAAAGAGTGCGACACCGTTCGGATACATTTGCATAATTAGAGAATCGCCTCTGGGATCAAAAAGAGAGTCCGGACATGACGGAATTTTCTTGGGACTATATTTTCGGACCGAAGGGTCGGGGGTGGATAATTCGATCGCCCCATCGGCTCGCGGAGTCGGATCAGGTACTTATACAAAGCGAGAGGAGCGAGATGAATGAACGCAACTCCTTACGGGGTGTAAAATAGACGAGAGGAGCGTGCTCGAATTTAAAGCAGCCACGTCCCTTTGGATTTCACGGGAGTTCTCGCCCCGACGAAAGGGCAGTCTGCGTCTTCGCCGACTTAAGTCCCCGTACGTGGAGGCCGACCGAGCTAAGGGAATTACCGAGTAACTGGGTAAGGCAATGTTTCCTCGGTTACGCATTTCTACACCTTCGCTAAAGGATGCAACCTTGCACCTCCCGATCCGCACGTGCGGCGAGGAGGTACAATTTCGCTTAATACTGCGGAAAGCCTTTTCCACCGCGTGGTTTCCTCGATTTCCTCCTGGACAGGTCGCTAAACGTGTACAAAGACTGTCGGCGCATATAAATATGTACAGAGTTCCCCTCGCTGGGCTAGACTAAGTCGTGTAAGTCACACCTAAGGGTGATCGTCGCAACCCCGGTTGGATTTATTAATCGCTAATCTACGAGCCGAGCCTATAGAAAGATCGTCGATCGATCCACTCTACGCTATCGCGACTCTCGCGAAGAAACGATCTTCGATCGGTCTTCCAGTCGCGCGGAAACCCGCCCGAGGTTTCGGAAGTCTACAATTAAAGGGCTTAAAATCTCAGCAGCCGATGCGCGTGCAAATCGCACCGACGAAATTTGGCAGTCAACGCTCTCGCAACGGATGACGTCTCTTGACTTTCGCGAGCTCGTTAGATAATCGAGAATCTCGGGGGAAACTCTTCTGAACTATTTTTTATTGCTCGTGGAGGCTGCTAGGAGTTCTTGTCCGTTAACGGAAATTGTCTAGACATTGCCTCGGAGCCAATGACCCGGATTGAGTGGTCGGAAAAAAGGCTTCTCCCGGATTTTGGATTATTTCTCGAGCTCGAGTTTGTAGAGGCATTGCTTAGATCGGCACGTCGGCAAGGGGCGGCCAAATTTGAAAATTCGATGGCAGTATGTGTGTGTACGAATCACGATCGGACAACGCATCGGTGCGTTGTCAAGTGTCTCCGCTAAGGTTTGACGATCAGTCTCTCGCGGTCTTACCTAAAGGTACGCGGTTTACCTTAATCGACTAAACTTAAGTTAGAGCTAGGTGTATCAGCTGACTACGCTGGCTACCCTTGGATCGTCCTAGTCGCGTCGATTCGATTTAAATAGATTGTCCCGAAGATCGTTCTCTAACCGCTTAGATTTTTCCAGGGAGCAAAATTTGAGGAGTCTCAAAATAGTAGCTCCTGGAGCAAGAGGATCCCTGGTATTGAGCTGCTGAACATTTTTACATGAGTCGTGAGCGGTGCATTATCCTAGGCAAAGAGTCAACGTCGTAATGGTATCCTGGGGTTTATTAAATTCTGGATATTTAGAACTTTCAAGGAAATTCTTAACCCTTCACGAGAAAAGAGTCCTGACGGGTGTCGCAGCGTATTTTCATGCTTTTCGATGCTGGGTTGATTGTGGACGCATTTATTGCTTGCAGGGACTAGAAGAGCACATCTTGTAACGATACCTGGAAGGCGATTACCGAGAGGCACTTTGCCAGGGTAGTTGAGAGAATTGCGTGGGTGGTTATCGGTACCGACATGATATAATTACCTATGCCGTTGTCGGTGGGGTGAGCAATCCTACCGTCATATCTTTGGTAAACATTTCGCAGTATTCCTTGAGCTAGGGCATCAACATCTTACTGGTCCACTCGAATGGTAACGTGTATGTACCTATCTCGGTACAGTCAACCGAGAGTAGCTAGATGTCCTTTAGGGACGCATTTCTCCTTAATTGTCCTTGCGCAAACTGCACCACGAGAGAGACATTTCCTGCCAGCTCTACGATCTGTATTATTCTTAACGATCCACGTAAATTCGGAGGCTGCGATCGAGCAACGATCCCAGTCGTTTTTTAGACACTGTAAATAAACAGTGCGAGATGAAAAATTCACATGGATTCTAATTTTTTCCCAGGACCCAGATGGATTTAAGGACTGATCCTAGTCAGGCTGCCGACTGTTTGTGCCAGTACTATTAAATACAATTTCCGCCTCGACACTTTTCAATTATTTTACCTGAATATGACGGCTATGCTAACAGTTTTATCATTCGATATCGTTACTGAAACTAGCTGCGACAGCCCGTCGTCCTTTCTCGTGTAGCACCGATTTAAAAAAAAAACCTTCGGATCCAGTTTAACAGAGATGGACTAAAATGGCCTCGGTTGGAAACCATGAAAAATACATAAAAATCTATCCGACTAAAGCCGAGGCCAATCGTGATCCACCTCCGCAACGAATTGGCAGATTTGCATGCAGCTAGTCTACACTTTAGGGGCGATGATAAAATCCATAGCCTGAGTAGCGTTAAGAAGTCCAGCGATCGAGTCTCTAAGTAAATGAAGTTTTCAATTGATCTTTGGGTACAATTTGTCTATAGAGTCCTAAATTAAGGGTCCAACTCTACGGGGAATTCATCCCTACTCTAGAGATCTCTCGGAATTGAATCTACGCATTAATACAGGTAAACGGATGCAAGTATAATCGTCTCTCTTTCGACTTAACTGGGGAAATCGTCCTCGAGAATTCCGTGAAATTCAAATGAAACCGGCTAGTCTAATCCGTTGGTCGTTCTGCCCTCTCATCGATATAGAAGAAAAAAGGAAGCGAAGTACGTTACTAAGACTCTCTGCTGCAGAATATCTACGGTGGAGCCGAGTGCGGTGGTTGGGGTCAGCAATTCGAGTTTTGCAAGTGTTTCTCGTCACCGAAATATGATACCGATACCACGTCTCCACCCACGTTGATCAAGCATTGACCCTGGAAAAAGAAAAGAATTATCCTTAAAAAAGGAATATTTCACTTATTCGTCACATATCTCTCAATCGAGCGACCTCGAATCACGTGTAACGGAGAGAAACGATCGTCATGAAATCGAACATTCCTGGAAAATTAATTCGCTCCTGGATTAAATGTTTTATTCGCACCTAGTTGCGCGTAAAATCGAGTTCCGTACATAAGGATGACGTAGGCACACAGTCCGGTCCTATAATGTATCATAAGTATGTACCTCAATATAGTAACGAAATCGAACATTCCTGGAAAATTAATTCTCTCCTCGATTAAATGTTTTATTCCCAACTACTTGTGCGTAAAATCGAATTCCGTACACGAGGATGACATAGGCACACAGCCCGGTCCTCAATAATTAAAGGGGCATCGTCGAAGAGGAGCTTAACAATTTGTCCAACCGATGCTTTTCAAAGGTTCCTAGTTATCCCCCGGGGTGACGTTACTCAAATTAGATCCATTACAACATTCTGAAATAAAGCAATGTAATTCCTGGCCAGAGACTTTGCAGAACCGCTGCGCAATTTCCGCGCCAATCTATGAACGGAAATCCACCGGTGGTGCAGAGAAATTCTTTTTTATCGGAAACCTTCCGAGTCTCTTACCGACACGTCGCGCGTCATTAATTGCACACACGGGCAAATTAATCGAAAAGAAAGGCATGCCCCATAAAATTAGCAGCCCAGTAAACATTGATTTCATTTAAGCTCTGCGGTTCAGTTAGCCCGGTAATTCCGTATCCTTTTCGGAGGATCGCAAGACGAAGATTTTTCCCGAAAATAATTGCAAGGAGAATTTAATGGCCGTGCGCGGACCCGTAAGTATCTCGAAGTCGTTAGAAGAGAGTTTAACGAGCGTGGGGGGATACGCCACAGGAATACGCAGCACTATTTTAATATCAAAAGTCAGGCGGTATTACAAAACGGAATTACGCGTGTACGATGGCCTTTCGTAATTTAGAGCCCAGTCGGAGCATTTGACAGTTCCGGAGTAGATTTCACACCCGAAAGAGAATGAGAATGGCATGAAGTTACGGTCACGGTGTGTCGCAAAAGGGGATGGAACTTGGCAATCGCCATGGGACCAGAGAGGAAGAGGATAAGACAGTTTGATAAGATTCTGAAAGTATCCACGTCAAGAAAGTTCCGGACGAGAAAGAAAGAAAAAAAAAAAAGGAAAACGAGCAAATGTCGGCAGTATCGTAATCGTATCACCAGAAGGCATTCCCCAGCGGATTTCAGCACCACAAGAAAACATACATCTTTTCTCCTACCAGCTGAAAAAAAAAATAAAATAAAATAAAAATAATAGAAATTCCGCTCGTTTAATATAATTCTCCGCGTTGGTTGATTAAAATCTCCAATGAACGTTTGTTTAGTGCCCATCAATCGGGGCCGCGGAAAATGACATCCGTCTCTGAGGGTAGAAAATAGTACCGTGCAATGCACGGGGAGAGAAACATTGTCCATTGTAACGAATCGCTCCCTTATGTAATGCAATACCGTTGTGAAGTTGATTCCAAAATAAAATGTATCCGCGGCCAGTATCGTCGCATCCGGGTGTTCCGCATAGAATGAGTCATTTTTTCACTCCCCACGCCGGGAGTTCTGAAAAATAAATCAATCCCGAGGGTCGAATGCAACGAGGCAGTAAAATTAAGTCGACTTAGGAAATCGGTTATCACAGAATTTCGCCATATCCACTTCGATATCACACCTTGTCTTCGCAGGAGTAAGTTCCGCAGGTGAACTTTTCACGCGTCCCATTATGCGGAACGAACGTGGGAAGAGTCGCTGGGAGATTTTCCCATATTTTTTTTTCGCTTTTTTAAACGACCCGAGCGGGGGCACAAAACATGGTATCGCGTTTGCGGCACTTCTGGCATATTTAAAATTTACGGTAATAACGATCGACGTCTATGGCGACGTTACGCGCGGCGATGCGCGCCATTAGCGGGAAAAACCGCTGAAAAGCTCGTTCCCTTTTTCCCCATTTCCGGCCATCGGGTTCCGGCAACATATTACACGTTCTGGCCGGTGCAAGAACGCGTCTGGGAAAAGGGAGGGCTGCCAAGGAGTGATCTTCGATGGGCAAAACCGGAGGTAAACGGGACCGGGGCGATCCGAGGGGAGGCGGAAGTTAAACGATCGGGAACTACGTCGGGAAACGCACCGCAATTCCAGTCATTCCGGCAACGTGTCGACGCAATTAGTGGCTACTGTTGCTCTTAGGAACTCCGCCGGGATCTGGCAATATTCCATTTCTGCCCCCGATCGGCCGAGCGATCGACGCGGATTAAACTCAAGGAAAGGGACAGGGACACTTTCGCTCAGCTCCGTTCTGAAATGAAAACGATTGAAAAATAAAATTGCACCCCGTCGAGTGGTCAATTACAGTCCTCTTGTCGGGGCGAACGGCGAAATTGCAACGCGGTATAGATATAAAAGTAGCTTAGACCCAGTCGCTAAATCAAGCGAAATCACTTTTAATGGAGCCGAAAGTGATCTCGCGCAGACACGTAAAAATACTTTGCCATCACGCTAGATGAGACCAATCATCGGGGAACGGGGAATTAAGTCGTCCGTGCTCGATGTTGGAATAATTCCCCGAAATTGACTTGATTTGGGGAAGAAAAGTTCGGCGATTCCAGCCCGGGCAGAGACAGAGAGCGAGAGAGACTGGAGTCGTCACAAGTTTCCGACATTCGGGCAACGTGTCGGCACAATTAATGGCTATTGTCAAGGCTCGAAGTACTTCGCTCGAAACTCGTAAACTTTAGACGACCGCTCGTACCGCAGATCCGAGATACACCCAAACCGTTCCCCCAAGAGAATCGGGAATACGGTATCGCGTTTATCGATCTCCGCCAGTCGCTAATCGGACGTGATTACGATTCGCCTTTTGATTACAAGGTGGCATATAAGTACCTTTGTCGCGACCTCGTGCCTTTATCGTCTCTTCTTCAGATAAAAGAATAAAAACGTCAGCGTATCAAGGGTTCAATTCAGATTTTAGTCCTTATATAATAAATCGATCTCGTTTAGAAATTACATGTAATCCGCGTGGGTGTAACCGAGGGTACAATGAAAAGCTCGTTTTCATCTGCCGGAGAATTTCATAAGTACAAGGACCGCGTCTCTGGATTTCATCCCGTATCCCAGGAAACTCGACGACACCGGATGTTATCAATTTCTCAGGTATCCTGATTTACGAGGTACATAGTTCTCCTTTAAGAATCCGTTCTTATCGAATTCCATCGCTCAATAGCTCTCCTTTTACAGGAGTACGAGCTTTACTAGGATCGGGTACATGAACTAAAATCGGACGTCTCTGCGAGAAAGATAATACCGATATCACGCGAGAAAAGTAAAATCGACTTGGATGTAGAAAAATATTCGAATGCACTCCTACGCTTTCACATGCGCCGAGGAAATCATTAATATATTTAGAACTTGAATAATTGTTATTTTTTTTGTATCTGGCAAAACGACAAGTCGTGAAAATAAATATGTCTTATCGCAACCGTAACACAGGAGGGCTAGGCACTTCGGACTTCAGCGAAATGAAGCTGTTAAAATCAATATCCCCGACAATGCAGAGACTTTAATAAAGACCGAAGCTATGTTAGTAGCACCGTGGAAAATGAGAATTACAGTCAGGATATGAGCTCGCTCACTCAGCTCAAACGTCATTTCCACGCGCAGAAAAAGAGGTCTCCGGGGAATAAGGCTCGGAATACAGTTCTGCCATCTACTCTGTCGTTCTGAAACTCTAGGTTCAAATCTTCACTGTACCATATCCACGGTTCATATCTCAATATTTAATTACACGGCTCTCTTATAGGTACAAGGCCAATCTACGTAGAAATTACCCCATCCAAAGAGGACAATGTGGAAAACCTTAGGGCGGCGAAACGCACCGTTTACCAATTGAATTTAATCGCAATAAATGCTTTTCCTGCAAGGTAACCGACGCGCTAAACTGTCCATGACTTACCTGATTTTTATGAGGACTGTGAAGAAGTACGCACTGGCTCATGAAAAAGGCAACCATGGCATTACCTCCCAATGCTCTAATGTGCGCACGAGCGATGGCTAGCACCTCCGTCATGAAACTATGCGTGAAACCACTGAGGCCTCCATTCTGAATCGCAACAAAGAATAATTGTTACGATTTTATTGTAAACTAAAGGAATCGAGATATGAGAACATTGAAATTGAAATTACCTCTCTAATGGATGTGCTTTCTCTAATGAAGAAGAAATTCAAATTTCCTAGATACCTCTCGATCCTCCCACCTGGCAAGTACGACAAAGGTGTAATATCTATTCCGTATCTTTCTTTTAAGGGAACCTGTAAAAATATCGTAACATTTATTTACTTGAAAAAAAAAAAATCAAAGTGCAAGGTGGACATCGCGATACTCACGTGCTTAGGTCTATGAACCGTATGGGTTTTTATCCTCAATGGTGATCGTGGCCTTGGCTTTTGAGAAGAAGCTGTGGTCGTCGTTAAAGAATGCGTATTTAAAGTATTTGGAGTACTAGGCGTGACATTAGGTTGAGCCGCGACAGATTCCGAGTGATCTTCATCAAGGCTGAATATCATGTCGCTATCGTCTAAAAATTAAAACGTGAAGGTAAAATGAGTTTTTTTTTTCATACACTATTTCTAACAATGTTTCGATCATTGAGATATATGAAAATATATTAGATGAATAAATGTAAAACGTACCTGGTTTTTTTACGTGGTCTTTACTCGCAGAGTGAGGCACGGTTTTGCGTTTGTGTTTGTCGCCTTTAGTTGGCTCTCCTAAACCCAGTGCCATTCCGATGACTGACAGCTGTATTTCATCTTGCTCTGGTAGTGCTACTTTAAATTGTAAATCACAAAGTGCGCATGGTACCATCCGGCGAAGTTTAAAATACACGGTCTGAAAGAAAAACCGCATTGTACGCGTGCAAGTTGAACATCGAAGAATACGGTAAGTACTCTTTATCATACCTGAAGCAATCTTGCAAAGTATTTCGAAGGCATCAAAGCGAATTGCCCCGTAGGAATTTTCGCCCTAGAAACTTGAGTAAACATTTGTAGGTTCCTGACAATTTCAAGATCTTCCAAGCCAGGAATACTCTGAGTGTTAACGATGTGAAAATCATCAGGAGGTCTGTCGTCCATCAGCAAACTAATTCTGTCTATATCTTCGATATCATCTATTTCCAATACGCATGCATCCTTCGTTCCCAATCCCAAGTCCAATTCTGGTAGTTCATCGTCAGACTCATCGGTATCCGAAGTTCCCGACCGACCATTTTCAATATCCTGCAAGAAATCATAGGACAAGAGGTCATAGGATTTCAACTTGCCTGAGACGTATCTTTCCTAAAAACGTAAAACTTACAGCAGAGGTTTTCAGCTCATAAAATTCCTTGTTCTTCCTGACAGTTTCGACAAGATTTTTCTGAATCTCTGCCAGCTGTTCCTCATTGTGCCAAGAGTTACCGGACGCAATTTGAGGAATAGACGGTGCAGGGAGCGCCGTCAAAAATACCGCAGTTCCTACAGCCATGCCGACGACCAGTCTCTCCCCAACGGAAACCTGTACTTTCAGGCCAAAAATAGCATTCATGCCTTTAACCTTGAGTTTGTTTAGCAATAAACTATGCAGCTCGTATTCTAAGAACGGCAAGCAGTCCGAAATCTCTTTGGCGTTTAATTCGCCTCTCAGGTCTCTTTTACATTTACATACAGTTGCCTGTATAAAACAACCTCTACCCGTGATAGGAACGTTATCCGGCAATTCGATAGTAGCGAACAATACATCCGGTACTTTTGCGCGCCTACAGACGGCACATTTTGACATATTAACTCTAAAAGGCACGCTTGCTTCGCTGTACGGCAGGTGACACAAATTGCACGCAGTTTGCGCCAGTTGATAGGGCCCTTCGTGGTCGTTACTTTCTGAGATACGTTTAATCTTTCCGCTCAGATGATGGGACTGCTGGGAAGGTACGGATACGTCCTCACTTTTTTCGTTCTTAATACTTGGTAATTTTTGCGGACCCTTATCACGGTCGGAGTCCATAGACGTTGTCATTAATCCTTGCTGTACCCTGCCGAGCAAGATACCCTCTTGATCTTGACTGATATTGTGAAGATTGATCACAGCAGCTGTGCCCGATGCATTTAGCACACACACGTCGTCACTGCACGTAAGAGAAAAGTAATGTGTAATTGAGTATTAAAATATTTGTTCACTAACTTTTGCTCTCATTTTCAATGTTGACTGTTATTACCATATGCTAGTTTCTTCCTTGTACCCGATCACGACATTGCAGGCCAATGCTCTAGCGTGTGATCTGACTTCCATTCGGATTTCTGTCCACCATGCGTCACGACTTTCTGGTTCTTCCAAATTGCTTATTCTTTCTAACAGTTTTACAGATCTAGCGCTTACAAGACCACCTACATCGAATCGTAATCACATTAATTTAGTAATCACCTTGATATGATGATTACATTTTGAAGAAATTTATAAACACTTACCCAGATGTAATATAAACCCAGGCGGATATTGCTGCATTGTAATAAATGGATATTCCAACATTTCCAAGATGTCTTGATTCATCGTTCTTACTATTGCAGTCGAAGGTCTCCCATAACCTCCCATTGATCTGTCACTTCCCGTCAATGAGTTTCCTGTTCAATATAATAAATGTTATAATCAAATATCAGTTACCTAAATAAATATTGATTCACTCAAGTACAACTTGAGAATCTAATATTCACTTTTTAACAGACATATTATTTAAAATTCCCCACTTATTTAAGGAATATTTACAGGCGAAACACGAACGGTGTCACTGGCAGCTTTTCACAAAGGACAAATGATTATTAATTTTCTAATTGTATATCATGACATATATGTACGATTTTAACTATAAGATGGGTGATAATAATTATTTTCTTACAGTTTCACATGGCAAACATATTTATAGAACATATTGAAGTTAAGTTGACGTGTGAATACACGTACTTGATTACTTTGTTAGTAATTCTTCTTATTACTAAAAACATAGTAATTATGATGCTTAGTAACTCCCTAACCCTGTTGGCGAAGACTCGTTAGAAATGCTCAACATGAATTTATTAATGGATTATGACACGCGACAACGACAACGTTAAACAATCAACATTGATATTTTCCTGATGGTACTCACGTTTATGAAAGAGTTTATAAAATCCTGGCAGGAGAAACAATTCAAATGGAAATGGAACAGAAAAAGTTAAATTTCTATAAACACAAAATAATTGAAGCAACTGAGAAAAACAGCACTTATGTAATCGATAGAAATTTCGTACGTTATGAACTCTACTTAAGATTGATCGACTTTATTGAACTGATAATTCCTTTCATCAAGTTTGTAATGAATGTTATTACGAAAAACAGTTAACACCTCTTTAATGAAAGAATGGTATGTAGATGCAATGAAAGTATTTTTGAATTGTAACCTCTGCGGTGCAAATAAATATAAATAAATATTCGGTTCTTTTCACTCTTTCGTAGCCTGATCCCATCATTTACCAGTTTTTAATAGAGCAAAAAATAAAAGCAATAAAAGGATTGCTGCATGGACATTACCACCTTTAATACAGCTGTAAAAATATATGTTGAAATTGTACCTTTAGGTGTGATGCTGAGGTCGGAGTCACTTGATCTTCGGTGCAAAGGGATAGAAGTGTTCATTTTGGTTGCTGGTGAGTGAGATACCTTGTTCAACATCGACGAAGGAACCACTGGTAATGGACACACTGGGCTCAGGGATGCATCGTCTTGCTGCCTGAGGAAGGGAGACGCGCAGGGCACACACGGATTGTCAGTTGTATTAGCATTGTTAGTGATTTTAGTTAAATCAAGCTGCTCCGAAATATCTTGCAAATTGCACGCACTATGACTTTTGAGTACGGAGGGTTCTGACGATGGCGCAAGTAACGACATAGCTTCAATGCTCTGTGGTTTTAAGTTCTGCAATTCTATATTAATATCGTTACCACTTGAAACTTCAGTATGTGTATCTACTGCTAAATCCTTCGCTGCAGCTTTATGACTAATATGATGTTTATGAATTTTGAGATTAGCAGACATAGGCTCTTTCAAATACAAATCAGGTTTATCATGGAGTGATGAATTGGTGGAGATGTTACCAGGACTAGGTGGGTCACTGGAAACATGATTTTTGGGCATTTCGACGATGGGTGTATTATCAGGAATAGGATGATCTGTCATGGAAGTACAAAGCGCATGCTTATCTTGCATCGGAGGATTTGTCATCGTAAAGGGTAATTCGTTGTTGTGTGGAGTCGAATGTTTTCCAGGAAAGATGTGTTTATCCGGTGACTTTGATTTCGATTTCCTCTCAAATACTTTTGTTCTGTGAAGCGAATCAGGAGATGGTGTCAAATTTTTATGAAATCTTTCACGCCTTTTTCTTCTGCTTCTGGTCGAATCCTTTCTGTCACCATGTCTAGGATGTACCATCATCTTTGTGTCAATTATTTTCAGTAGATCTAGCATGCAAGACTGCCTATATTTCCTGTATGCTTTTTCGTCAATAGTTGAATTATCTGTCAAATTTTCTTTCTCAAATTGTGTCTTGAATTGCGTTACTTCTATTTCTGAAGTACCAAGATCTGCTGCGATCACATCCTCGGTCACAACAATCGGAATTTGTAAGTGGTAATTATTTGTTTCTTTAGGAGGTTCTATGATTTTTGGTATAGGTGTTGACAATGGTTGCGGGTTTATTTCATTATTAGTAATATCTTTATTTTTAATTGATATTACCACTGGTTTCGTATAGTCTTTATCAAATCCTTTGTAAATGACTGTATCCGTTCTTTCAACTTTTCTTGGAGATTTTTCTTTTTGACCATGAAGATTTACTGGTTTAAGAGTTGCATTTTCATTATCATGGAAAGTAAAATCTGCAGAATTTATTTCTTGATCGTTGTCAGAACTATCATAATCAGACGATGAAGTGTTGTGAATAAAAGATTCTGTGTCACTAGATATTTGACGTTTAAAATCAGTTTCAAATTTAAAGAAACTATTTTCAGTAGTTGTGGTAGCTGTTTCGTTTGGTGTCGAAGAGATTACGATATCAGCATCTACTTCTTCGATATCAAGTGCTACGTAATCCTTATGGGTTTTACATTCTTCGCAATTACGCCTTGCATGGATACATTCACATAACTCTTCATTTTTTTGACCATTTTCCAAAAAATCAGAATTTAATTTAACACTATCTACATTAGGAACATAATCATTTAAATTTCTGAACACCTGGAATTCTCCTAGATTTTGTAATGGAATATCGGTTGTTTTAGTATGAACAAGATCAACTTGATTTTCCAACCATCCAGTTTCTGGAGATTTAGCATGTGGCAAAATGACAATATTGTTCTGTAAATCAGCACCGAAATCCTGAGAAATTTCTTGATCTTTTCTCAAACTCATTTCTTCCGGTAATATTTGGTAATTATTGGTTGCATCTGCTTTATTTTCTTCACTTGAATATAACATTGTTGCCGATGTATCAGGTCCCAGAAGTAATTCAGTTTCCTCGGAGAACCTAGTTTGATTATTTAAAATATCAGCATTGCTGCTTAATGTATAATCTTCAATTTTCTGTTTATCACTTTCGAAATTAGGACTTATATCACAATGACATTGTTGAGTACTTGAGTTCGAAATATTCAATAGATTCTGCTGTAAGATAGTTTGCGAATTTTCCATGTCAGGTGGTGACTCAAATATAACACGATCCGAAAACCTGGAGATACAGTTTTCTGTGCCCGGTGAGCCTTGATCTACTAATGATGAAGAATCGTCAAGAATATTATAATTTGTACTGGATTCAGATTGATCGTCATCAGAAGTCGATGTGTCTGTTTCTGAGGACGATATCATTGGTATCGATCGATTATCATTGTAGATTGAATCCAAATTCGAAGTAAGTTCGTGAATTTCAACGTGAGAATTATTTTTGTCACCTTGACAATCGTCAGACTGTTCATTATCGTTTTCCTTTCTGCTTTCTTGTTCACTTGACTCTAGATTATCGCTTTTCTTAGACTCATCTGAAAAGTTTACAGGTGACGGTGTTGGAGTTTCATGATCTTCTCTGACACTATCCAGTGGAAGTCCGGCATGAACCGACCTTATTAACAAAGCTGCCATTCCCTCTCCCACAGACCTCTTGTGGGAAAACTTTTTCTTCTTTTCAGACTGATGTAGATCGATCATGGATGACCTTGTAGAATCAGAGCCAACAATTGACCATGCACTTGAATATATACTATCTAAATCACTCTCTTCGTCAGATGTTTTAAATTTTAATTGTGTACTCTTTTTGGACAAAACTGTTTGTGGTAAATTTCTCAAATTTTTTAAACCTCGAGAAAATCTATTTCCTGTAGGTTCACCTCTCATATCTTCTAGAGCTAACATGGATTTGACCGACATGTTATCCGTTAAGTCGTCTGACTGTAATTTATTGAGAGGTCCACTTTTCCACACATGACTGCTGTAGGAATACGATTGCAGTGATAATTGTCTGACATTTTCTTGATTTGATCCAACCGATCTATATTGTGAGACTTTCATTACAGATCTTGAATGCTTCGGTATACCTTTACCATATCCTGGAAATCTCTTGCTTACTTGAAGGATATGTGGTTTTGTTGAATCAGAAATAGTACGGTTTGGGGAATGGGAAGTGAAAATTGCGCCATCGTCACTATCAACGCTCCCTGGCGAAGATTTATATGATAAAGGAAGCAGTGCAAGACTACATAAAAAAAAAAAAACCATGCAAGCGGGAAACAGAAAATTTCCATTATTACCATGTTTACTATTGTTGCATAATAGAAAATATCATGTTTATAATATTCTACGATGCACTATCTGGATTCAATTAATGTATTACTAAAAAATATATAAACATTATGAAAAGTACGATTTCCAACAAATTTGACCAATATCTACTACTACAGTGATGTAAAATATATACTCACTCCTCAGCAGTGATAGTGTCAATAGGCAAGCCAGAAATATCCTGCAACTTGGAAAGGGTCACTGCAGTACCAATACCCCTGGCAACAATTCCAGATTCCCCTTCCAAGTCAAAATTCTGAATATACCTAAGAAAATACAAGTCACATGAATATTCTAAAATATGATTGTGTAACATTCCATTACATCTTGTACTAAAACTTACCCAATAACAGCATTTCCACCAAGGTCTAACGCCTTTAATCCTATTTTTCTTTGCACTTCTCCACTGAGTTTGAAAAACAACGTTTGCCGTGCTTCATTTGATGCCCTTGGTGTCCTAATTTTATCAATCCATTTATACTCAGGATCATCGCTAACAACTAATTCTTCAACAAAACCATGGATAACTTGTACTTGATGACCATAGGGTATATTTGGTGCTGAAAATTTATTATATGTGAATACATAGTCATCCTTACTCTTTTTAAGATGTTAATACAGCATGAATTTAGAGTACAACTTACAATAGAACAATTGTACCCCACAGGATGACTGCCGAAATTTATTAAAATCCGAAAATAATTCAACCTTGACTATAATGTTAACTTCCCCACGAATTCCATGCATGGTGTCATATACAGGAATCCATCCAGTCATCACCGATCCTATGATTTTCACATTATTTTGTATGAAATATCTGGTGGTATACATATCTCTATAATCATTCTTTTAAATGTACATTAATTATACAAATATTCACATCTAACCTCAAAAGGCATCTTATTATATTTAACTGCAATATAGATCATTGAAATCAATATTTCAAGTTGTGCATGAAACATGACTACTTAAACAATTGTCACATAAATTGCAATTAAATTATAACTAAACTCACCACCTTGTGATCCAATGCTAGAATTCATTGATGCTTCTAATGTCCAAATGTTTTTAACAGGCGGAGGTACTCCAGGTAATAACAATGGATTTAAATCTAAGTAAACCTTCCCAATGGCATCGTTAGCCGAGTACGTATCATGATCCATAAGTCTGATTTGTAAAGGTTCATCTTGCAATTCGGCATCGTCAACCTCAAACTTATACCATTCAGAATTCCACTGAGGATTTAATGATTTTCTGCATACATCCGTCTTGTAGGTTACGGTACCAAACTTTATTTCTACATAAGCATCCGTCGTGTCTCCCGATCGGTCCATTACTGGCAGATTTCGTCCTGCCAGTATTTTTACCTTTATTTTGCCAGGCATTATTACATTTGAACGTTCACGTCAACATCTGCAAACGATAACATCTATGAGAAATTTAAAGAGACACTAAGAAGCTGTAAATAAAATGTAAAAAATATAAATCAGCTGTATTTTAAGTGGAATTGAGAGCATTTTTCATGACCTCTACCTAAATATTTAACATGATAACAAACTATTAGAATTCTTACAATGATACACGTTGAGCACATATAGGTTAGGAACTTATGTTAGGTACCGGAAATATCAACGAACAGCCGAAAGCATAGACGAAATGAACTGGTGCGTAGACAATACTAATCACACTGGTCAAAAGTTAATGAATATCTGCCAAACACTCTTGACAGAACTGTCAAGGCAATGATTACGATGTAGAAAGACCTCAACAGAAAAATTCCTGACAGAAACTACGCTCACCTATAGTTTCCTGTGATTGCACACAGGAATACGTTGACGGCTATTTTTGTTAACGAATGCTTTAGAGAAATCTCTTTGGAGAGACAGAGAGAAATGACCATGTGCATATAGTTACTTATATATAGCCATCTTCATGAACAATATATGAGCTGTTCCGTAATTCGCGCTCATTTACAAAGACGATTTGGAAGTTCACTCAATGATGAGTTGGGAGATTGCTCACGAGTAGGCGCGTGATCGTGCTATGCTGCCCCTGGTGGAGGATGTGGACGGCTAATGCACTTGCCACCTGATACCCCCCATGGCGACCCAATTAAAAAATCCTCATCTCTGCTCCTAACTCATCTCTGTGATAACAAACATCCTTTAACATCTTTTAACACCTCTTACCAACAAGTTCAGCAAAATCTGCGGCGATGAAGTACCCACGATGACTTGATAAAAAAATGGATCCTGTTGTGATCCACCTAAACCCGGAAAGAAGCATAAAAGAACAGACAAAACAGAACATAAAAAAAAATCCAGGAAGCTGAGTCTTGCTCTTCCGAGCAATTTTCTAACTCTTCTCTGTATTTAATTTTGTAAAGAAAAAAAATGGCGTTGCAGAAAGTAGATGAGTTTGTCAGAAGCTCTGCGTAGAGGCAGTATGGAACTGCGGTCACGAGAATCTCTCTAGAGCAACTTCTTCACATTTTTAAACATCTCGAGGTGTCTCGAAGTGTTATATTTGGTTACTGCAAATTGCGAGTGAGGCATCTTCTAGAAGTTATTCGGATTTCCAAATAGATTTTAATACATTTACTCTACAAAGGCAAAGTCTGAAATCATTGTATTTGCCACCATGTCTGGTATTCTACAGCGTTTGGGGAAAAGACATGCAGAAATATTAGTTAGTTGGTAAGATTTCATATCGATTATAATAGATTATCAAATATAATTTTCCCTGCGCAGATGTGTATCATATATTTTCATACTTTTTCGTTGGTGTTCAGTGTCGGATGTGATAGTAAATATTTGTACACAGCCTCATTACTTTTGCTACTTTGTTACTATTTACACTGAGACTTATGTAACATGAGATTTGGCTAGTATTGATCTTGTCATCAAGGTTTCATAAAATATTTTATGCGCTTTATAATTAATATTCTGTTTCTTTTTTCTCAGGATTCTCAGATCTATATTTTTTAGACACATGTGTTTAGTAGAATAGTAACTTATTATTTAACATTTTTATTTCTTACATACAAATAATTTATTTAATTTTAATTATGTAAGAAGATTTTTCAAATGTAACGCTACCAAAACTGTGGATGTTTTTAGGTTTCCATCCTTAGCTACGTATGGAGTAACTGGAACTTTGGGACTGCTATATTTTACCGATTGGAAAGCTGTTATAAAATATATTCCATTCTATTCAGGGAAATTAAGCGAAGAATAACTTTTCAATAATAAATAAGTCGTACGCAAACGTATGATTTTTAAGTATGTTATACCTACTTATTTAATAGATTAATAAAAGTAATCGTATATAGGACATCTGCGACGCAGGATTATTTATTTTAAACATACAAGACACCATTTTATCATGTAGAATATAGGTGAATAATATTACGCTATAAATATTACCACAATGTAACCATTTTCTTTTTACTCAAAAAAATTGTTGGACTTACTTTTTGCCCTCTTTACCTCTTCTTCATACAGAAGATTTGCATATTCCTCGACCACTTTGGTTTTCTTTTGCCTGATGCGTGGTTGTAGTACTTGTCTAAAAATACGTATATAAAAGTATTAACAAGCATAAGCATACAATATAAATGCTATTACTTTACTTGTAAGTCATTATAATTAACGATCCTCCAAGGAGTAATGCAGCAATGGTAAGAAACGGAACCGTACGTGCGTTTAAACGTTTAAGGATCCACCTAGAAAACGATAAATTAACGTTCCCCAACGTTCTTACAAACTTCAGATAAATATAACATAAAATAATTGTACCAAGATTCGAGCACTTTAATTGCAATTCAACGCACAGAAATGCACTCTCAAATGAGATATATTAAATAACCTGTTCATGTTTCTGGAGTTTTTTGTTTTGCGCAGCGAAATACTCCTCCACTGTCGGTTTCCAGATATAAATACCACTGCCAATGCCGAATATAACAGTTACGATAAATTGCCCCGTCGTTATACCGGTACGATTTCTGATTCTGAACCTCATGCTACAAGTTCACTCACGGATGGGAAAGAACCGCATCTAGCGTGTTCAAAACTAACCGTGCACCAAGAGGATAAACCCAGACAGAAGATGAGAGCCACGACCCTACTTCGTAATTAGGCGCTGTGCTGCCCTCTCGACAGCTAAAGCATCGAAAGATGCGATAATACGAGTAAATACGAGTCAACGTGAATACTCTGACAACTCATGAATAATGTCACAAGCAATTATTGTTTATGCGTAACAAGTAATTAGTATTTGTGTAGCTCGGATGAGTTATTGGAGTTAAAGACTTATATTAAATTTTGAACATTTCATTTGCTGTAAACTGAAGTTTTTACAAGGCAGCTGCAATCTAGTTATTCAACCGGAATTAAATTACTGTGATACTGTTTGACGTAAGATTAAATTAGTTTTGTGGACAGTGAAATAGTAGAAACTCTAAAACCTATGTATGTGATTGATAGTTGATAATACCTGTTACGTATTTTTGTTTTAAAATGTAGGTAGGTATTATGCTGTCAAAGTTTTAGGTACATCATTTAGTTATTTACGTCAGATTACGATATATCAATAATAATGGGATCAAGGACTTTGCATAGTCTTCTGAGACTTACTAAGAGAAACTTTATGTATGGAACTATCGACTTCGGTAGAAATTCGAGGACGTACATGTTCGGAGTCAGGAAAAATGTTCAATATTCGCCTGATAAACTAAGAACTTTTCGATACTCCACTGATTGCCCGCCAAAATGTTGGCAATGTAATTTTCCATATAAGTCGGAGTTATTCTGTTCGAAGTGTAAAGCGCTACAAGATCCACCAGAAAAGATGAATTATTTTCAACTGATAGGTGTTAAAGAAGATTACAATATTGAAATCGCAGAACTTCAGAAGAAATATAGGCAGTTGCAAAATATACTGCATCCCGATAGATTTGGGAATAAAACGGAGGTGTGTCTGAATTTTGAAAATGAAGAATTCTTTGTTGTGCTAATGCGTTTTGTAATTGATTTAACTGTTTATAATTCTGTTACAATAAAATTTTTGTCGATACAGAAAGAGAAACAGATTTCAGAAAATTTATCATCCTTGATAAATAAAGCTTATAATACGTTATTAAATCCAGTGGATAGAGGGTTGTACATCTTGCAGCAGTACGAATCGTCAATCCCTGAAGGGACAACAAACCTAGATTCAGAATTTCTTATGGAAATTATGGAGAAAAATGAGGAAATTGAAGCAGTTTCAAATGACAAAGAAAAAGTATTTAAGCTTCTAGAGGAAAATAGAATTACGTTGGATGTTCTAACAAGGTAGAGTATAAGATTTTAGTGGTTTCTTTGGCAGTTCACAACTTTCAAGATATATAAATTACTCTTGTCATTACAGAGATGTGTCGGATGCATTCCGTAATAAAAATATTAAACTAGCAAAGGAAGCGCTTACAAAAATGAAATACTATTCAAGCATAAACTTGAGATTAAAACAATTGAAGCAAGACTTAGGTATAGTAGAATAAAATATGTATTTATCCATTAATAGGAAATATTTATGAATATAGTAAATAAAAAAGATGTACATATGTTCTAAATAGCTATATACGTAAATATATATAAATTTATATTTTCTGGCTGGGAATTTACAATTTATGTAGATGAATACATATTCTTCAAAATAAAAAGTATTTATTTATTATCTAGTTTCCATTGTTGAAGCCACTGACATATCCTATTTACATTTTCATGGAGTTCTTCAGGAGTGTTACTTTGTAATTCATGAACGATTTCCTCTCTGTACGACTCTCTAGCCTCTTCAAGTATCGTTTGAAATATTTCACAATCAATGTTATCTTCCAATTTTTTTCCCGAATAACCCCTTGCAGCAAGACGATCGTATAAAATCGTATTATCCGTTCTTAAAACAAAAACAATATCAAACCATCTTTCTGGAAAGAAGTCAGCTCCGTGATAATCTACAATGTTTCCACCTTCGCTCATTAAGTCTTCCATTCCGTCAAGTAACTGTATTTAACAAAAACCATTGATTCATACTTAATCAAAATACAATTTTATGAGTAAATGTTTATACCTTATCTTCATCCAACACCGGACATTGATATACTTCATCGAACTCTTCTAAACATTTATTTTCAACTGCGATTTTACTAACGTCAAGCCAAATCAATCCAGTCTTTCCTGCCAATTCTTGACATAACAAGCTTTTTCCAACTCCAGGAGTTCCTATAGAAAAACAGAACCAAAACCATTATATTCCTACGTAATGTTAACACTGACTTTCTGGTTACAGAATCATTGAAATATTAAATTACAGCACTCAATAATATTTGATTTAAAGTGTTACCAGTAACTAAAATATTTGGCGCATTCCTCTCGGCGGTCGGCATTTTGGAGGTTATAACGATGTTTATATTTTCGTCAGATGATGAATCATTGGCTCGGAAGTGAGGCTGGAAAATAGTTCTCAAGTTAGTAGCGCTGCTTTCGTCTTCTACCAGCAAAGGTGAGAATCAACATTTAATTGTGTATCCTTGATATCGACGAACCTTGTCGGTGCGTCACACTGAACGTGTGGCAGACGACAGATAATTCATACACTTGTCAGTTTCGAGCACTTTGGTCATCTCACCAATGTTTAATGAAATTTTTATAACCGTATTAGCCTAATACATAGTGTCAGCCTTTGTTTTCCTAGTTTATGAATTACTGTACCGAATCAATGAAGCAAGCAATTGAATGAAAGGTAACACGCATACAAAACTCACGGTCTTGATCAAGAGGGTTATGAGGCTTCAATATCAAAGACGTACAGTTTTACGCTATTTTTTTGTTAGTATTGCTTTAATTTCCGAACATCAGTATGGCAGAAAAATGTAAGGTACGTAGGCAGTGTTAAGTTAAACGTAAGAAGGATAAATTTATAAGATGCGAACTGCTATAATTGTTTTCAATTGCGGTCAGTTAGATTCAGGTAATTCAGCTCGTCGGTCATATGGAAAGGAGAGTTATTTATATTTACTTAAAATTGGTGTCAATTGTTTAGCTGATAGTTTAGATTGAACATGTTTCACAAATGATATTGGACATTGTTAAATTAGTGGTCTCCACGATGCCTTTACAGTGGTTTTGTATGGAATATGATGTATTTTTGCATTATTGTTTATATATAAATGCAATTGGTGTATGTATGCTCGAAGGAGAACCATTTGCTAAAGTATCACTTAATATTGTCGGGGAGTAAACAATTTTATTGAAATGTTGTAGGGATGCGGATGTTCTTGCATGCAGTGCATTGTAGAAGTCCATAATCAGAGTGACATGCATTTGCATGCCGAGATAGAAAGTTTACATCAACGGCTTTTAGAAAGAGATAATCACATTGTGACAATGGAAACCCATTTTCTGAACGAAGCCGATAAGTTTCCTAACGGAGAGCTGGCATCCATAAAGGAAGAGGTCCTTACATGGCAAGAGAAATATTCAAGACTTCACGAAGCACATAAAAGGGTTCAAAAAGTGAACCAAAATCTTGAGGATAAATTATTGAGAATAGTGGATAAATGTGAGACGGAAAAAGGAGCTTTCACAAAAGATATAGCCACGTTATCTCATCGATTGGCAGATGCAAATTATACCATACATCGCTTAACGCAGGATAATGTATGTTTTTTCATCTTCTTCAGTCTATTTGTAGTTGCCTTGTAACGTAATAAACCTATCACTTTATGCTTTTTTATTCCTTAAATCGTGTAATAGAATAAAGGATTTTATTGTCTCGCAGGAAAATTATAGAAACGATGTAAATCTTGCGATTCAACTACTTCAATGTAAACCTTCCAATTTTGTTGGACAAAAATATGACTCGGTAAGAAATATGTCTCCTTTTCCTTGTTATTTTTACGGATGCTTTGTGAGTGGCGATTTTAAATATTACTACCAATCACCTTGTGTTTTATTTTCAGTTACCAGCTGAAGTTCAAGCAAAAGTTAGAACTTATGTTGCTCAAAAACGGCGTACCAGTGATACTACTATTCCTGACGTCAAAAGTATCACCGTTCCTATTTCCACATTTCCGCCTACTGCCATGGTGTACAATGTGACGAAAGCAAATATTGATAAAGATAGTGACGACGAATGCGATACGGCAAAACCTCCTATTGACATGGTATCAGCTGCTATAATGGCCAAGGTTCTCGAAGATCGAGAGAAAGAACGAATCTTTGCGAAGCACTGCAATACTTGTACATGTCACAAAAGTATTTTGTTGATCGATACTGGAATTCAAACAATGGATACTGAAAATCTTTACTCCTGCAGCGATTGCGAAACAAAAGGGGCACAAAATACCTCTGAAACTGCCAGCAGTATCAATAAAATGCAAGTTAACGATAACTTCAGTAGCTACGATCGATCGGTCCTAAAAAATGAAAATATCGAATATTTCACCATGTCTCATACCATCCAAGAGATGGATGACAAAACTTTTAACAATGGCAACGTGAAACGACACAATGACAATACGAAGCACACCACATTTAAACACGTAAACGAGAAATCTTACACTAGAAGCAATCAAGGTAACGAAAACCCAAGAATTGATTATTTTATCGGAGATGGTACTAAAGCATATTTAAATTTAAAAAATTCTATAAGACAACAAAGTATGTTGAATATGGCCGATAATACAATCAGTCTGCAATCGGAGAATCAAAACGAGACTTTTGGAAATCAAATCTCTTCCACCAACGAGAAAGCAATTGGTAGAACAATAATTGAAAATACACGCCAGATTAGAGGTAGCAAACGAATGGACTCTCAGAGTATCATTAAATCTGGCCAAAATTCCTGGTATAAATTTGAGAAAAAGTCGCCTCATACGAACTGCACCAGCGCGAGGAAGTCTGACGGTGATTCGACCCAAAAGGTGCAAAGTCAAATAGACGTGATCAACGACCGGCTGTGGAAAAACGAGTGGGCAAAATCAAAGGTACACTTGCACTCAAGCGATGGAAGCTCGGAGCACAAGTCACGTACAAGCGGTGACACGGGAATAGATGTAATTAACGATAGAGTGTGGAAGCACGACAAATCGCGAATCAATGACACCGGCTCGACCCCGCTGACGGTGATAGAGGTAACGAATGCCGAAAACCTGGTGAACCAAAGCGACTGCAGGCAGCCAGAAGATGCCGCTAGCCCTAGCTTCAGCAACGACAGTTTAGTCATTTCAACCTCGGATCCGTCTAGTAGTTCCAGCGACGCGGTGCAGCCGATAAATAAGAAGCACTCCTTGTACAATAATAGCACTAGCTTAAAGGTCACCTGGCAAGAGAGAGCGACAGGACCAAGAAATTGCTTAGTCCGGGTTACGCCAGGCTCGAAAAATATTTTATTAGATAACGTTGGCCAGTATCAAACGGTACTATACACGACCGGCAATGGTCGGCCGAGCACGGCTCTAGTTCACACGGCAAAGTCCTCGCGTTCAGGGAGAACCGCATCTACGAGCAGCGAAGAAAACGCTCCGATCTTGCCGCAAGATTCCGCACAATTACAGAGGGTCGCGGAGTGGGTTCAATCTTCCGGTTGCTCGGAGAAGTCCTTGCTGTTGAACGAAAGAAGCGCACAAAAGCCCGCCGACAATACCTCCAAGAGAAGGCAAAACGTTTCCTCGGCGAGCATCGAGCGAACGAAGTCGGGGAGCAAGAAATCGGACGTTGAAGCGAGCGAACGGGAGAGACGCGTGACGTCCGCTAAAAGGAGTCACGTGTCGGAAAATAAAGCGGTAAGTACACGCGATACGTATATGCCAAATTTATGTGATATCAAGGTTTCCCCGGATTCGCAAAACGTGAGCGAACAGAGTACCGAGGGAGACAAGGACCTAATAACCTTCGAGTCATCGAACGACGACGAAACTACTAGTCATCCGAAAGTTTCAAAGGAACCAGCCTCCGCTTCCGACTTGAATTACGAAGTCAAAGTGACGAGGGAAATGGAGGAGACTTATTTAAAATTAGCAGCCAGCCTAGATCCCGTTAGTCTACGTTTGCCGAGCTCTACGAGTGCGGATCTAACGATCGAGAAATACAGAAAGGATCACAAGCGACTCCATGGTCAGAAGATTCAGGACAAGCTGAGCCCAACTACATAATATCGCTCCATCGCGAGCGCGATCCAACGTGGATCTTATCCGGGAGAGGAAGGGGAGTTCCTTGAAAAATAACAGAGTCTTATTTTTGTTATCTTCGATACAGTAAGATTGTACTAAAGGAAGCGCGACGAGATAGCTCGGCGTTGGCGTAGGCTGAATTATTTTCACTAAAACAGTGGATACACGGATTACTGCAGTACAGAGAGGAGGTTTAGTTATTGTAGAATATTTGCAAGAGTCATTTCAGCTGCGTTCTTCTTAGGATTTGTTTGGCAAATATTTGTACGATGCGAATGCTTGCTAGAGAGTCTCCGATTGCCTATCGGTTGACGTACTGAATAAGGATGAGTCTGATATTCCGAGTAGGACGCAATGTCGAGGAGACAGGCGTAACTCCGAGAACATGTGACTGGAAAATGTCGAATCAGAGTTAGGTGAACTACGCCCCTGCGACGATTTACGGACAATATTTGAATTCCAACTAGAATACCTAATGATTTTGCTCAGCAGTTTGCGTAGAGTAAACGTCGATTTTTATCCTCTAGCGGTTGTATGCTTATCAAATTTTGTATAATTATTATAATTTCATATCGTTGAATAGATTCGTTGCGCGATTGAGGTGAAGATTTTCCTCGTACGGCCATTGATGCAAGAAATTTCTAGCGAAGTTTTCCGGGATGCGTCCGTATCTCTCGATCGAATGAAATGAGACTTATAGTCATTAAAAAAAGAAAGGTATACATATAATAGGGTGGATGCAGCATTTGAGCTTCTTGATAACATCAGGGAATACCAAAATAGTAGGACATATATCACTTTGTGCGCGTTTTACTAAATGTATGGGTGCATGCGTGCCTGAACGTGTGTGTGGGTATCGGTATAAACGAAAATCATGCAATTAGAATTATATCCGTACTGCATATTTATATATGCAGCCTCGCGGACCAAGGAGTCCATTCTGTTTTCCATATTAAAATTATCACCGAGAGCGTACGATCACTATTGATCACAGTACTGACAATACTGCGGCCAAGTTTACGGTACATCTCGAGTACGTTAAATACCGTACCGCTTTAAAGGCTCCATTAACATTTTCACCTAATTAAGTTTTATTGAACCGCGAGAAATATGGATTTCTAATAAGTGGCGCAAAGCCGCGCACCACCTTTCTAATGAATCAAAATTATCAGTTTCTATAGTTTGACCATTCCCATCGTGAAAATAGGGTTCCATATTTTTCAAATGTAAATTATTAAAGAAAAGGAAAAAAAAAAATTCACGGGTTTACAGAAGAGCACTCGAGACTGGTGAAAGCCGTTTTGTAGGACATTTTTAATCCATCATTTGGTGCAATGAATTCAAAAATCGAGAGCTTGCCTATTGAATAGTGTAATTTTTATAGTTAAGTCCCCTGGTTAAGTTGTCATTCACCGTTTCGGTGGTTTTTCATCGGTTTCGAAATATTAAGCTGTGAGAAGGGAATCTCATAATTGCGATCCACGAAGAGGACATTAAGGATCGACTCGTGTTCCTATTCGCTGCTGGATCACGCGAAAGAGGAGATCGCTTTCATCTTAACTGGCCACTCGTTTGTCGGTCTATTAGCCAAAGCACTGCGAAAGATCGGCTCTTCTGAAACTGGGTGTTAAGAAAAATCTGACATTTCTTGTAAGGCGATTACATGGCGCAGTTTCGGAGAGCTCGTCTTCCTACAGCCGGATCGATGATCGGTCTTGCTTGGAAATGATCGCAAAGTAAACGCTATGTACGACAATATATCTCGTGGCTTTCTCAGATATCACGCGAGGAACACTTGCGTCTTTTACGGATGCTCAACGGCGTCGCACTGGTATAGCTGTTAATTTATGTAATTGTAACGAGTAAGGGATGCTTCGCTGGACGTGAAATGTACGCAAATGTGCGCGTTGCAAGTCGTGGATGGTGGAAGGAAACTAATTGCACCGTTTTCACTTAACAGTCGATGCCTCGCACTAGGACGTCTCAGAAAATGTCTAATACTTAATTTCGACAAGAACTCTTTCCGTGATTTCGGTTGGACTGATTTCTCCCCTTATTTCGACATTTCAGCTTAAGTGCGAAACGGTGTAAGTAGTATTCGACGATTTAATTCCTCACCGAGGAGCCGACAAAGAGTACTGTGGAGGGTTGATTCGAGAACGTTTAAGTGAATTTAATGATAATTCTCGAGGTATCAGGCCTTCCCGAAATCGGGACTGTAATAATTCCACCGAACAAATTATCCGATTCATTTATGAGCATACGAAATGTTTTATTTCTCGCGACGAAGAGGCATCTTCCGAAGAAAGCCCTGAGAGGAGAGATTGACATTTTTATTCTACCGAGGGCCTAAGAATATGTGGACACACATTTTCATTCTTCAAAAACCCAATATTATGTGTCCGAGGGAAACGCCCTGACTCGAATGAATTAAAAATCTGAATATAAAATATTTGAAGTAACGAGCGAAGGATGGAAAGACCTTATTTTTTGTTGCGATGAATTTAGTATTATATTTATCACCGGTAGCAATTTTAATTAATGACCGTACGTATGACTTAAAATTCGTTGGGCAGTTTTGTCGAGTCCGCTCGGAAATTTTGGAGTTACCGATCGGAGTGAAATTTTACTCATACCATTAAGCACTTTGAAAAGCGTCCATGGCAACGGCCCCGTGAGGAGCCTTTCGGCCCCTTAGAACATTTTTCATAAAGTATACATGTAACGGCATATATGTATAGGACATGTGGATGCGCGTATGTATGTATGTATACTATTGCTATACAGCATGTGCTTGTCTTATCACGTGTAGCGGACTTTTAACTTCCTGCGCTCGGGAAGGCGCGACGAGAAACCCCTCCACGAGTCTTTGGGAACGTTGGGTCAGAAGAGCTCTATATCCCTTAATTCCGCCCCTACAGGTGTACCATATGTAATGCGTTAATGATCATGCAAACTGTACATACAAAGGCGAATAAAGTATATTTAAACGTGGCCATGTACTCACGGGAACGAATGATTTACGGGACTACGTCGGCTCTCACTTGTACGCGATTTCCTTAACTCTTAATATATTTTTGTAAATTAACAGCGACGTACGTGTCCGTAGAATTGCAGAATTAGTTTTACGTAAAATTATGTCATTAGTTTAGGGGTAATTAGTAGTTCGATTATACCGTGGTTTGTCATTTTCGGGGCCAATGTGGAGCGATAAGGGGGAATATTGGAACACCGTTTCCGGTGAAAAGAGGCTCCATAAATCCGACCTGATCCGACACCACGCAACTACTCAGGAACACGATGGCACGTATCGGGAATAGGCCGAGCCCAGCTCGGTTCAATCAGGCTAATGTTCTAATAATTCGGACCCGCCAGCCTTCGGCGGCTTAATGAATGAATAAATGGCCTCGCCTTCTATCCTTCATTACCGGTAAAACGCGATACTCGGCTATTTGTTCCCGCAGAACGTACGGTTAGCGAAATTCGCGCCGCTTCGAAATGGGCCGAATGGGCGAGCGAGGATTAGATATTTTTAAAAGGGTCTTGGATTATTTTTCTAGGCCGAAATTGCGGTGGATTCGTTCTTGTACAAGTGTAGCGGCCTGCGAGCGTGGTTGATTTCCAAATAGAAACCGTTGACACGACCGTCGTTGACACTTCGCTATGCATAAATCGCGTATAAATCTGGTTAGGACATTAGTGGCTGCGGATGGACGGGTCATGAATGCGTAAATTTAACCGAGTCACTACAGGCGTTACTATGTCGAAACATTGGGTGATCCTCACTTTTGTATGGCACGATAGGTCCGTGGCACGTCGTAAATCGGACCGTCTAATAAACCACCGAGGGAATGTGGTGGGCAAGTAAATGCGCGCTTACGGCCCAAAATCTAGAGCTCCCATCTCTTTAATCTAGGAGTGCCCCGGCTATCTGCATGTGCATTCTTCATTCCCGGAAAGTTATAAAAGTTCCCCGGAAAATTGCTGCCGACTAAACACCGTGTTCGGGACGGCGTAAAATAACGGTGGAAACGTCTTTAGGCTTATTTCTTTTTAGTCGAAATATTTTCTTCAGCCGGAGATGTATAATCTTTAAATCGATTCGTTAATTCGACGCCTTCGCGGGCGTCGGTACTCGTGGAGCATTTCATTGCGCATAATTTATCCAGGAATATAAAAGCACTTCTTTCGTTTCGATCGATGGCTCGCGACTTGTCAGAATTTAAGGCTCGGGATATTCGCATCGATCGCGCCGTTTTGCCCTTTCGGTCGGGAGAAAGTTGGAAAGTTTTAGAACTCGTGCTACCCTCTGACGAATCGACGAAAATTGCGGTTGAAGACCCGCCGAAACATATGACACGGTGGTCGCGGAAATGTTGTATTTTCCACGGGATTGATTATAATTCCCTGAACTTTTAGAATATACCGGGAATTTTCCTGCAGGGTTATTACGGCCTGTAAAAAAGTTTCGTTGACGGAGTAATTAGGGGGACATTCAACGTGGACACTTCTAGGGCGACACTTTAGACAGGCTCGGTTTAACGAGGTTTACAAATCTTAGAGCAGCGTTTCATATGGAAATTCGGAAAAACTTCTACCGGGACTTTGAAACTTTGGACGGTGGTAAAGAAAGTTCTTCCAAGGATCGGGGATTTTTCTATACCAACCAACGGGACCCTTATGGCAAAACATCGATCACCGTCACTTTGTCAATAACCGTTTCGTCCCATTTGTTGCGATCAAGGGAACTGTTATTTCCCACCAATGACGTCTGGAAACTGCTTTGCGAGGCCCGTTAAATGACTTCCGGCCATCTCGAGGAAGTTGCACTAAATTCGGTAACTTAAGCCGTCTCCATTTCTCGGCTGGAATCGTCTTCTCATATACCAAGTCCCCGGAGAATTCCCCTATAATTGTTCGCGTAAGTTTCGGGGGTCGACTCCGTGCCGGAAAGACCGAAACGGCAACAAGCGTTTCTGCACTTCCTGCAAAAGAACCATGAAATATGTCCAACCCCGACGACATAAAAAAAACGAGAAAATAAAAATCATACTTCAAACAAACCCAACCACGGATAACCAGGGAACAAGTGCCCACCGCAGTTACCACCGTTTCGACATTTATCGAAACGCTCGTCTCGGTAATTACCTTCGCTCTGCAATATTTATAACACGCGTAGAAATAATCCCCCTCGAAGGGAATCGCGTTCAACGAACCAGGCGTGTTAAGGTCGGTCAGTCGACGTTAGGGATTAGACCGAGTCACGTTAACCCTTTCGCTCCGGTATATTTTAATACACATCCCGCGTGACATAGGTCGCACTTTCAACTAGGACTTACCTCGAGAAACTCTGTCCGCAATCGAGGACTAATTACCCCAGTCGGCCGAAAGCAGCATTAAAAAGTACATAGGGAGAGCATTTCCAAAGCACCTACAAAGTGCGGTAATTCCGTCGCAAGTACAATGCACACCTTGGATGACCGGGTCTCTTTACCTTACTCCCTGTACTAAACTCTGTAAACGGTCCCTCCCAAGATTGGTAGAGTTTAGAGAAAAGGTACGCATCCGTCCTTCTAACTCTCCCTGTAGCTCTATAAACTGGACCTAATGAAAGGGTTAAAGCGGTTTTCAGGAGTGCCGTTTCTCAGGTTCCCTGGGGAGTCCCGGTCGACGTCCGGCTTGGCCGTTCGTAGTCCGTTCAACGACGCGTGGACAGCGGCGCGGGCGCCGATGACCATTCCTTGCCGTCAAAAGTGGAGGCGCCCACCCGAGTCAGTAAGAACGCGTTCGCGCTCACGCGAAGACGTGGCCAACTTTCCTTTGAGCCCTCGGCAGGCGCTCGCCTCAGGACTGTAAATGCACCTCGGTACCATAAACTCCGAGGATCGCGCATCCCTCGTGCCCAGGTAAGCCGCAGTGCCCGAAGGAGTCCGCGCTCGCTCGGGAAAAGAAATCCGCGAAAAATCCAAATTCGACTCCCAATCCTCTGGCATCATTTTCCCAGACCCCCGAGAAGCCTAACTCTCCGTTCCCAGGGATTTCCCAAGGATTCCCCCAGGGGAAGGAATTTTTCCAGGGACCCCCCGCGATCCTCCAGGCGAGGCGCTCTTTAAATCGCGAAGATCGATAGAGGCACGGCCGTGGCGATTAAAATATCGCGGGCACCGTTTACAAATGGTATATCACGATTTCTACCCCTCCGTGTCGACGTTTCTTCATTTTGGAGTAAGAGGCCGAGGGGTGCATGAGCGACTTCGTGGGTTCTTTCGCGGATCCGGAGGAAACGCCGGGAAAAGTGCCGCCCAAGATGGAGCGCGCCTGCCCCGTGCATCCGGCCGGTATCTTTATTATTTATTCATTTTTCATATCGCGGGGAAAATGCGCGGCCGAGTGCGCGCCTCCACGCGCGGAACGTACCACCTGTAAATTTTCGGTAAATTGTGGGTCATACGTTTCGGATGCGGAGACCTAGGAAAAGTCGGCGTTTCATTATACATGCCGCATCGTCTCCTAGAAATAGGCTGAATAAATTTCATTACGGCCTTCGCGCGGGTATTACGCTTTTTTTAAATTATATGTATGTGTATATGTTTTTTTTTTTTTCATTTCCTTTCTTCTTCGTGAAACATTTACAACCCCCTCCCCAACGCTTTCGGCGCTTATCGAGCACTAGTTCGTTATACGTATTGGACTAATTAGTGACGCGGTATTACTTTACACCCGGCATCATTACGCCGCGAATGAGATACGCGGGACGTATTCCATTACCGCCTGGATTTGTTAATATCCCGAAATAAATGTCTTTATGAAAGGCGGATAAAACCCCGCTGTATTTCTCCGTTACTGGACGTTTACGCGCCGTTATATACTTGTGTACTGTCACAGGTGGGTTATTTGGAGTAACAGTTATGCCTCGCGGATGTTTTAAGGAAGACTCGGAACGACGTGAAATTTTAAACGCGTTTCCGCGGGACTTGCGGCAAACTTTTACTTCGAGGTCGGTTTACGACGAGATCCTCGGAATTTGTGATGGATTTATTTCCGGACCGTGGGATTAATTATCTTATTACGAGGTGTATTTCGGCTCGTCCGATGGAATTTAGGATTCCTTGGAAGAAAGGGCAGGGCTTTTATAATAATTACGATCGACCTTGCGATAAGTGCGCTTTTTTGCATTCCTGCGAGCATGGCACTCGCCCTGATGCTCGTGTTTCATTATATAGAAATGCGCCTTGTTTCGTGCAAACCGTGATTTAAGGCGCTTCCCTTTCCACGAAGTAAAGTAACTCGACGGTTTCGAAGTTCTTACGTGAATTTTTTTTTTCCCCTGATAAATATGCGGAGGTCCAGGACGCGGTAATTAATCTGTGTACGGAAATGAACGAGAAACTCCAGTTGGCGACATGTTAGAAATTCAGGAAAATTCGGATACCACACTCAAGGTAACGAGGGGCGCTTTAACATTTGGCGGTATTAGAAGATGCAGAGATACTTATTGTTAGGCACCCAGTTACCGCTTCGTTGGAGGCTGTGATATAATCTCGTTATTACGCGATCTACTGGATCGCATAATGACGCGAACCGCTAGCAAGGCTCGGAAATTCGCATGATGCGTTTCGAAAGTGGAGCAGTCCGATATCTTCGTTTAATTACACGTTACGCAACGAGTTAGCAAAGCGAGCCGGGAGTACCGTCGCTAGAAATGGAAAAAGGAACCGAGCGGGCATTCTTATCCCATTTTAATAGGGCAATTTCTGCAGGAGCGCTTTGTCTCGAAGGATCGATCGATCCCCCGACATTTCCGCAATTCCCTTAACGAAGAGTACCACGGGGCGGATGCGAAAGTAGTCGCGTCAATTTCTTATGAAGATTTTTAATCCGCAATCATTCTTCGCTCGTAGTAAAATTTCCAGACACGGAGTAAAGCCTCGACCGATCGGCAGGTAGTTTCAAAACATGCCGGTTGATCTTGGATTGCGGCCAAATCAAATAGCCATTTAGAATCGCAGAGTCCAGATTTCTTTCCCTTACCTGGGGGGAGTGATTTGAAAGCCACTCTTAGAGTCCTGCCGCGTTAGCAGCTCTCCGAGTCGAAGCTCGCCAGTCCGCCAAATTGGACCCCGAGGTCGCCGTAATTTCTTAAAAGAGCTACAAAAGAAATTGCCCCTGGGTGCGTTCGGTAATCGATCCGTGCTTACCTCGGTAAATTTGCGCGAAACTCGAGCTTTCCAGCGGTAACTCGACGTGAAAGGGTGATTTTCCACCCGCCCACCAAGTGGTCCCGACTTCCCTTAAAAGGCAATCCGTTCCTCCATCTCTCGTTCCTGAAAAGATGTGATACCGTTTCGAGCAATTTTCCTGAAAAATCCCATCGCCGGCTAAATCACGACGAAACGTGATTTGGTCACGCTAGGTGGGGATCCATTTATTTGGAATTACCTTCGCGCATTGGCTCGACTTCTTGCAACTCCGTCGTCTCCATTACCTTTCGGCCATGTTGGAAATCCTGGTAGGACCTTGTTACTAACAGGTAGCCATTTATTTCGAATTACATTCGCACATTGGTTCGATTTCTTGTAACTCCGTCGTCTCCATTACCTTTCGGCCATGTTGGAAATCCTGGTAGGACCTTGTTACTAACAGGTAGCCATTTATTTAGAATTACATTCGCACATTGGCTCGACTTTTTGCAATTCCGTCGTCTCCATTACCTTTCGGCCATGTTGGAAATCCTGGTACGACCTTGTTACTAACAGGTAGCCATTTATTTAGAATTACATTCGCACATTGGTTCGATTTCTTGTAACTCCGTCGTCTCCATTACCTTTTCGGCCATGTTGGAAGTCCTGGTAGGACCTTGTTACTAACAGGTAGCCATTTATTTAGAATTACATTCGCACATTGGTTCGACTTCTTGCAACTCCGTCGTCTCCATTACTTTTCGGCCATGTTGGAAATCCTGTGAGATCCTTGTTATTAAGAGGTAGCTTTTGGAGGCCGGCGGTCACGAATGTCCGTGCATGTATCCGAACTTAGTCCATTGATTCGTAGCCCAAGCGCCGCTGTAAATCAGAGCCGGTGGTGGAAGGCAGCAGCGTTGAATTATCCTTTAAGTGCGAGGTCGTTTGGACGAGTCTGGTCTAACGACGTGCCGCAAATGTCCTTTACCGTAAAGAACTCGGCCCGTTAGGCCTGCAATTTCCCTCGGTGCTCCGTAATGGCGCCGTGCACCAGGTATGATTACTCCCAGCGAATGCACGTGTACCTGTAACGCAACAATATCGAGTCGCGATAAGAAAACGCTTAATAGTCAAAATTGTATCATTTTCTGAATTATACGGCAATCGAGGCGCAGCCTTGATGTCATTTTTTTTTCACGGAGGCTCAAGACCCCGTACGAAAATTAAAAAAGAAACGCTGTCATTACGCAATTATGAATTCATCCCTGAGTGCGATTTGGGCGGGACGTCGTTACGAGTGCGGTTTCTCCTGTGAAAGTTACCAGTAACGTTAGCTAATGATTTTTACGCCCGGTAATTAAGCCTTTCGCGGTTATTAATGATCATCCAGGTGGGTGTGGGAGACTTATTTTCACGCGTGGAATTTTTATTCCGTTCTCCAGGGTGCTCTTCGGGGTCGACGGTCATTCCGTTCTTGTTGCCCTCCTCGCACTTCCGTGTACGAGCTCGGTGGAGTCGACGAAGTAATGTAAATAAATGACTTCGATTTTCAGCCCAGAGGTTACCGCACGCGAAGACGGCAGGATTGCTCGAGGTCATTTTTCTGCATCAGGTTTCCCATTCGAAAAGGCTGATATGAAAATGTCGCTGAATTACGCCGGGATGAACGTAAAGATAGTCACGCAAATTGCGAAGGGGGTCGTGAAAGAGGCGGTTGTCGTTATCAACGCTGAAAACGGTGTCACCGAATGGGGATGATTTGTTTAACAAATTTCACGTCGTCGAATTTCTCTTGTAACGTGATTACCGAAGCCACTTCGAGATTCGAGAGGGGCAGTGTATTTGGTCCATCGGTGATAACCCTGGGTCGTTATCAGAAAGCAGTCGAGAGGAGGAAAAAGTAGATCACCGACGTTCCTAAAAAGTTGTTAGTAATTCAGTTTATGACCGAATCGCGGTATCGACCGGTTAGACTATCGACCTTGCTCGAAAATTAAACACTTGCACTTCGGGAGCATCCTCTCGAAATAAATCTCTCCTTGAAATTATCTGGGAAATTAAAAATTGTAGAATTATCCGGGGATTCGCCGAGAGTGGTATTTCCGATCCGGGGGAAGATCGAGTGCGTCATCGACGATCGAGAAGTCATTGGAAACCGGAGGAGCCGGGAGCTGGCCACGTGGGGTTGCAGGATGCCCAGGAAGCGATCCCTAAGAATGTAGCCCAGGACGAGTCGTGGTACCACCTGGATGGTGCGACTCCAAGGCTGGGATCCAGGGAAACGAAACGAAACCCGAGAAAGCGTGAATGGCACGCTTCGTTGTTGGAAAGGATTCCACGGCAGCGCACAATAGGTGGGTTCACGGCATAAATTTCCTCGCAAGGTCATTCCACATTTCGTCAAATTTAACAGATAACCCGGTTCGACCCACAAGGACAATTTTAGACACCGGTCGAGGTGCGTCAGAATCTTTGCAGAGCTTTTGCAGAATTTCTTTCTTAATTTTAGAGCGAATGGCTGGGTGGTAGCGACCTTTTTGACAATGGGCTTCAAGACCATGCAGCATGCAGCGGCACTGCACACCTACTAGATGGAGCACCCGTAAATAGTAACGTTAATTCCCGCGGGATGAGCGGAAATAACGGACGACCTGGATCGCGGAACCGAGAGATCGCAAACGTGACACGCGGTTGTCGTCGCGTGAAATGCTCGTGGAATATCTCGAGGAAATCTAACGGCAGGAGAAGTCGCCCTCCGGTGCACGGTCAACATTATGCACCTCTGACAACAGCCGGCAGAAATTGGCTGTCAGCGCTGCCGTGCCGTTGTTTACCCGGGGTGTTGTACGCCCGGGAAAAAGATAGGAGGCGCTGCTGCGACGACAGCCGATTTTGGGCCGGGGCCAAAGTGGCGGAGGACAGAGAGTGTTTTGGCAGGAGGATGTTTTAGCATTGCAATCAAGTTTGCCACTTTATGGGATAGGTCGTTACAAGTACATCAGATTGTCCCAAATGAATCAACGCGTTTTACACGTGGCACTTGAACCGCTTAGTCTAACACCACGGAGCCACGTGCCGGCCGTCAATCATCGATTGCGATGATTCGATAAATGATACCTTGCCGATGAGATCATTTCATCCTTAACCGTGAGAATTTAAATTTTTCGGCATCTCCGCGATAACGGTGTGGGTCTTCCAGGTGAGAGCAGCCACTAGGAGGTCAATAGGGAAGGATGAGACGTCTCGATCCCGACAACCATGCACCAAGAACGGACCCCCCTCCGTTTCGAGTCCTCGGAGTGGTTGGACCAAATCAGCTGGCACCCCCGTCGCCGCCACCCCCCAGAGCTCCGGAGCCCTACAAGGTCGCATCCCCTGGGAATTATTCGACCAGGGCCCACCGACGCTCCAGTTTCGTCATCCTGGCCGAAAACCAGCCGACCTCGACGCCGACCTCGAGGAGTACCTCGCCTACCTTGGCCACCGGAAGGGCGTCGCCATTTCGAGGTCGAGGCTTTAAAGGCCCGCCTCCGCACGCGCAATCAAGGCCGCAGACCCCTGAGAACGCATCGCGCCGGAAAAGAGGAAGATTCGATAAAAGGGGTACAAGGAAATTTAAACCGCGGAATGTATTTTATCATTTTTAATATCAATCATTGAAAGCGTTAACGAGGTTTATTCTGTATATTTCAGTGTCGGTCTCGCAGCAGAACAGTCCCAAGCGCAGCCTCATCCCCAGGCCGACGAGACAGCGCTCGATTTCGCTGAGCAAATCCGAGGAGAGACTCGCTTCTCCGAAGCCGGTCAGGCGATTTACATCCAGAGGGTCCATCAACATCGGCGCGAAGACATCGGTGGGACGAAGCGCGTCCTTAAAGGTCCCAGGACTGTCTCCCATCCAAGGCACCCCTACGAAGCCTGCGGATAAGGGAGGAGGCGAGCAGGAACCTAGAAGCAAGAGGTCCTCTCCGGCGAAGTTCGGGAGGAACTCGGTGTTGCCACCTAAAGGAGCGTCCTCGTCGAGGCAGTCCATCAAGGAGAAGTCCCCGAACAAGAGGACTCCTAGTTCGCCATCTAGGATCCCCTTGAAGAGAGGGCTCGTGAAGGGAAAGGGCGTCCCCTCGCAGTCGCCATCCAAAACTCAATCTTCCAAGCCGTCCAGGACCTCGGACCTCCCCGTCAAACGCTTCATCGAGATCCCGGACAGCAACTCCAAGAAAGCAGGAGTCGGTGGCTCCGGTTCGACCAAATCAGAGGCTGGGGGAAGTGGACCCTCGAACGAGAACGCCAGATTTATTGGCGACATCGCGAAAGTCGGGGAAGTCGACGACGGCCTGGGTCTGATAGACTTGCTGAAGCAGACCTCTGGAGCGACGGGAACGTCCAGCGTCGTGAACACGACAACGGCCACTGCTGTCAAGCCACTGCACATAGACGCCATTCCAGTTTCGAGCGACCTGGAACTTGGGACCAAATCCGCCAGTCCAAAATCCGCGGAAGGTGGGATCAACCCTGGAGCGCAGGGGACGACGAAGCAGCAGGAGCCTCCATCGGCGAGTCAACCCCCAGACTCGAAGAATGGCACTCAAAGCGCCCAACAACCGTCAACCGCGAGTATGCAGATGGCCAAAGGAGGGAACGATTCCTCGGCGAGGTCCAACATCGGTGGAAACGGAGATGGCAAGAAGGAAGTCCTTATCAACGGTGCCAACCAGTCCGGTCGGGCAGGACACTCGAAGACGAGCAGTTCCGGCCAATCCCTCGGGGGTGCAGGGAAGTCAAACCCCGCAGAAGGTACCTCGACTCCTGGAGCCCATGCAAACGGGAGGAAGAACCAAAACAACGTCCTGGGCGACCCAGTGACCGCGAAACAGGAGATGTCCACTGCAGACTCCACTAACACTGGGAAGAGGAGTCCAGGTTCCGAGATCCTGAGCGCGAAGATGGCTTCCAAGGTCCAGGATGTCGAGATGAGGGGACAATCGGGGGAACGTGCCGTGGAGAAGTCCAATGGTCGGCTGGAGAAGACTGGGGCGATGCAGGCTAACGTGGAGGAGCAGGCCATGACTTCCGGTGTCGAGTCGGAGGGTAAGAACGGGGATGGTCGGCAGAAGGCGAACGGTAGGGACGACAGAAGAACGTCCAACAGGCTGGTGAGCTCCGCGAAGAGGGTGATCGGTGCGGTGAATATGGGAAGGACGAACGGGGTGAAGAAGGGCAAGGATGGACCAAACGGTCGCAGTGGGAACGTCTCGGCGAACTCGTCGACGGAGATGTCCAGCGGTTCCTTGGGCAGCGTCCGGTCGACGGACACAGGGGTGAGCTTGAACACCGTCCGTGGGGTCTCTTCGGCCAGGGAGAAGGAGGGCATGCACCTGGTGGAGAAGCCGCGGGAAATCGAGACCCTCAGCGGGAACCTGGCGCACCTGGAAAGCAACGGGGAGCCGACGTGAGTGGAACGCTTGCAAATTTCCCCGCAACGTTTACAAGGAGACACGGGAACACGCGGAGGTACACGAAGGAACACAGAGGGACACGTAGGAACACACTTAGGGTACCTTGTACGTCGGGACCCGGGGCCTCGTGTAAGGTCCAGGGGTCCTTCACCTCCACTAGTTATAAACCTCCACCTTCGGAGGCCGAAGGCGAGTTTATCGATCCTCGACGGAGATTTACATCGACGCCTGCCGGGGACGACCAGCGCAGGAAGGGGCGAGACATTAGAATGCAAAGTCCGAGGAACCGCAGGTGACCAAGGGCCTATCCTTGGTTTACGGTGCATGACGAACCGCCTAACTGACCAAGGAAATTGGGGGACCCTGGGATAAAGAGATAACGAAAGAGCGTCGGGGATCCTTCAGGGTTAGGGTCAGAGCCGATCATCGGGCGCGTCTTGGAAATGAGAAATCTCCGCAGAAAAATTCCTTAGCTCGGCTGAAATGGAGCATCGCAATCTACTGATCCGTCATGCCTCGGGACCAGCTCCTTTTACCGTCTCAATTACGCCCAGCTCCAAAAAACAATTAAAAATCACCCCGAAGACGTGATTAGTTCGAGCAGCAAAGAATCCACCAGTCCGTGACCGATGATCCTAGCTCGAGCTTAATTAATCAGACATTTCCCCCATACGCCTCGTATAATTACCGGCGGTTTCCTGCGCGTTTACGCCCCTTAAAACCCGAGCCACTTCCTCGCGTATATTATCAGGAATTTAGAAAAAATAATTCATCATTCGGGATAGCGGCGTTAATAGGCCCTGGCTGTTTTTCTCAATGTAAAGCCCGATCGATGGCGATTTGCATCAGGAGTTTAGTCCTGAAGTCTCTTGACCACGTGGCTCCCCGTACCTCGGCTCTTTAAAACGGCCCTTTAAATCCGCCATCGCGTAGATTGCTCCCCAAGCTTCTACTCTACGTTCTCTTCGCTTACTTAAATCTAACGTTCGTAACGCGGTATGACCCACTTCCGGGCGTCTACGTAACGCGTCTTCGAGGGGCGCAAGGCGTGACCGAAAATCGACGCCAGGCGTCGACGTAGGGGCGTCTAAGTGACCGAAGTCACTTCGCGTGCGGCCAAGGTCGACTCGCTCTACCCTGTATTTCATTCGGCTACTCACGCTCTCGTTTCACCCCGAAGTGCCGAACTCAGGCACCGTAGAGTCACCCTGTACATGCCCGACGATATACCTGTACGGAACGCGACGTCGTTCCCCACGACCCCTTCGAGGTCTATTATTCCCCTGCCTCTCCTTGCGTAAACGCGGGGAGACGCAAAGGCTCCTTAGACGGTATACCCCTTATTGAAGTCCTTCTAAATCGTGCCTCCAGCGGTCTAATTTAGGAAGCTTTGGGTGAAATTACACCCTGACTCCCTCGTGGGTAAGTCCGACGTGTTCGGGGGTGCCCGCGCACCCCTGATCCTGTTTACAGGCCTGGGTGTCGAACAATCGTCGGGTGTCGCAGGGATTTACCAAAAGGATTTACCAGGGAACTCGTTAAGACTTTGTCAGGATGTCCTGAAAAATTTCTCTGATTTATATGGCTAACAGGATACCCCGAAAAATAATGTCCACCTTGAAGACGCGCTAGGCTGATTCCTTTTTTTAATTCTTTCACGTAAGATTGTACAAAAATTTTACCGGGTTTTAAAAATTTTGGAAATTTTTGTTGATTGTCGGAAAGCATTTCGCTTTTATTCCCGGTAGCAGACTTGGATATTACGAAGCCACTGGGTACATAGGACAGCCCTGTTACGTCTATTACTTCCCTTCTCGCTCCCGCAAAAGCGGAAGGGCGAAAGGAGTCCTTAAAGACGAGTACACGTACTCCTTATTAAAGTCCTCCGTTTAAACCTTCTTCCCCGTGGCATAGAAAGTTTGGCGGATAATTGCGAGCGGGAACTCAGCGATCCGTGGGATCCTTTGTAAATATGCCGAATTTTCCGGGGATTAACGGCGAAGAAATTAATCTCGCGAAATCCTTCTCGCCTCCCGGCTTTTTCCCCGGGAACTCTTTCGTCTCTACTCGGCGAGCTTTCTCGTTACGGACATAATTAACCGAAAGTTCGGACTACATCAACGGGAGTGAGCTCTGTAACTAACGGATTACTAATGATAGGCGCTAGAGTTTCACTAACGACGTTTCATTTACACGCCGTCGCGGCGCCGGAGAGCGGGCGTCAACTTTCGGCGCGGCTTCGCATTGACACGTGTTGACGTTGCCCTGGAATTGCCGAGGGAAACTTTTCCAAATGGATATGGTTATACGAGATCCGGTAGAGAACTTTTAATCGCTTAATTAAATGCGAAACGTGTTTGCCGGCGCCCGGTTAAAGAGGTTCCACGCATCGTGATTACGCATCAACTTAGGGGCCTTATACGAACTTGCGCGGATCCACACGGACGCGTATATACGCGAGATATGTCCAATAAATTAATTCCCCCGGAAAGAAATACGAGGAAAATGAAAACAACGAGTAGTGAAATTTTTTTCTTTTTTTTTATCTCCTTTTCTAACCCTTTGTAGAGAGTAAGTCATTTGGGAAGATCGATTCGGGCGCGGCCTGGCTTCGGCGATAGGAAAGAAAATTACATCGGAAGGAATATGCAAACACCTCGTGGTTTACACCCCAAGGATCGATTCCTCGACCGATCCCGCGTAATCTCGTCGGCTGGAAAAATCTGCTCGAAGCTTCGATCCTCTTCAGGCTTTCTACGGAATTATCCCCTTTGAATTTTTCCATCCGGACCGATTCGTATCCTTAGGGAAAGGATATTAGTTCCGACAAGGATATCTAACATTTATCGCGTACTTCCGCGAGAACGTTTATATTTGAGCGTATCATCGGCACTATCGCTGTCGATCCCGTCGATCTTTCTTCCCGATTTAACGTGTCAGTCTCCTGTCTTCGTGGAATATGAAACGGGAGGGAATAAAGCTGTAACCAGGTCAGGTTTGTCCCTCTTCCTAAATCGACTGGGCGCCGAAAGAAAGAGTAAAGGGGTCAGACGATTAGGGTGGCCGTGTCGGTAATCTAAGATCGAACTTCGAGGTTTCTTAATGTCGGACAGGAATAAAAAGAAAAGAAGGTCGGCCAGACGTGCTCGATCCAGGACTGTGCGATTATTGATGATCAGGTCCCGCGTGCTGATTAATGTGTTTCTCCAGGGCAACATTTGCATTTCTGCGCACCGACCCTCGAGGGCATTAAAATCCTCCCGCCTGATCTTAAGAAAAATCATACGAGATATTCACTAAATTATACAAAAATTAGAAATACCCTAGTGATGCCAGTTTATTTATTTTTTATTTTTTTCTTTTAAATTCTCGTCGTTTTTTAAATTACGCGAAGGAGTCATATGTATGGATCAAGGTTTGCGTCGCCTTTATAGGCTCCTTTTCGGGTGATTTAGGTTTCGCCTTTTGTAGTAAAAATCCGGCTTACGCATTTCGGCCTCCGAGGCACTTGGTAAGGTAAAGAAGCGGTAAAGTATCGATTTCTGGGCGTACGTATGCACGAGGCAAATCTTCGCGTGACCGTCCACCAGGACTCCCTTCGTCCCCGAGGACTGACCAACCGCCTGCTGCGGCACCCTGCAATCTTTAAGTCACACACCACGACTACGGTCACTCTGGTCAGCGAGTGGCAGGATTGCCGGCATTCGTGGAGACCCGAAAGTCGGGGTATTTCGCAGAGGCCCCACGGAGTCTAGTTTCGATTCCCATCGGGCCCGAAGAGGCCACGAGTCGTTATCAAGTGTTATCCCGGAGATCGGTGAGTCGCGCCCAAGGACCTTGGCTAAAAAACCTCGATATACCCCGTCATATCGGATCTAGAGTGGCCGATAGAGAGAAAACCGACAGCGATTGCTCGGTTTAACGAGCGCCGAGCAACTTTGAGCTATGGTCGACTTCACGCCCATTTTGGACAATTTCCCGACGTACTCCCCGTCACTGGGAATCGAGGGGTACCGGGCCAAAAAGGTCCTTATATCCCCGTGTATCGATGTACCCGAGGATCATGCAACTCGCAGATATTTAGATAGAGTCGGAAGAGAGAGGTAACGCTCGAATTTCGGTTCACTTCTAGCCGTCTAAGACGCGAGTCGCCCTTAAGGGGATGTCAAAGTGGCATCCAAAGAGCCAATCCTTTGTGAAACTTTTCTCCACCCTGGGTGTACCTAATCGATTCAAACTCTACAATATAAATACAGAGGGTATAAGGAAGGTCCTAACCCTCCTGTAATTTAATTTCTTATAACGTCTTGAGAATATCCATGAAGAAATTTAAAGAAAAAAAATTCTAACTTCACGAGCTTCAGGACCTTCGCTTATATCCTCCATATTTATATTCTAAAGTTCGAATCCATTCGGTACACCCAGTTTGAAGAGGTTTCACGAACGAGATCTCTGAAGCAAATTTCGCATCGCCCTTAACCGCGTTAACGTTTAACCAGGACTTGAGTCAGATACAGATTCTTCCGGGTTGAATTTTAATTGCGACGCAGGTCAAATATTATACGACCCCTTAAACGGCGACACCGAAATTACCCTAATTACGAGTCGAGGTCCCCGATCTGGCATTTGTTTAAACGGGAAGTTGGGGTCGTGGATTAATTCCTGGTGGGAATTTTATTTCCCGCGGGTTCTTATCGGCGGATAGGGATGTGACAATTGTCGCTCGTCCGAGGTGCGGTCTTCTCATCCATGGCCGAATCGTTGAATAGGCTCGTCGTTAAGCTCCAATCGGTCGAGGGAGCTTCGATTCCTGTCGCTCGTATCGCGCCTCGTTGGATGTCCCACACCGGCTTCCGGTACGGCAAATGAAAACTGCGCGTTCCGACCATTTCGCCATGAGGAAACGAGTCGAACGAATTCCCGCTTACGGACCTCGCACACGTAGCTCTCTTTTCCGCGGCGTGTCGCACCGCGCCGATATCCGATCGATACGCGAACGAGGGTGTTCGTGATTTTAATAAGGCTAACAGCTCGACGCGCCTTCGATTTCAGGGTTCCGGCAAGTCCCGACGAGGACGAGGAGGAACTAGTTCAGAGTAGGTTCGCCCGCCTTAAGAGGTTCCTGAGTAATCGCTGCAAGTGCTGCTCGAGGTGCGACGGAATGAGGTGCCTGGCTTGCAGAAGAGGTCCCAAGGGACAGACTTGGCCCACCAGGAACGTCGAGGATGCTCCTCCAAATCTCGAGAGGCAGAGCTGCTGGGCCAGACTGAAATCGGCGTGCAGGTGACTCCTCCCTTGACTCTGGTCCCAAGAAAGGAAAACCATATTTTTATTAATCTTTATAACGAAACGTAGGAGTGACTCACCTGTGCGAGTGGCTCGGCCACTTCTGAAACGCCATTTCCTCCCTTTTCGCGCGATTCCGATCGCGAGGAAGAGTATCGCGTGTTTTTATTATATGGCTCTAATAATTTATGAAATATTTTTTAATAATTACCCTCCTCCTCTTATAGGTGTCCAAAGTGTCCTCGAAGCAAGTGCTGCGGAAAAGGGGCCCGGGTTGCCCCCGCAGAGAGCACGACGTGCTGTCCTCCTGAACGAAGATGCGCTGCCCTGTGTCGGAATTTGTTTTCGCGCTGCAAGTGCAAGCGCAAAGAGCCGCAGCGTATGAGGAGCATACGTGCGAAGCACAGTCTCACCAGCGTCGCTGCTCCACCTTTGTCGGAGGTAATGGACATAATCGGTAACACGGCGAAGCTCCGTTTAATCGCACAACCTAGAGGACGAGCGCTGCCCCAACGCGTGGGGTCCGGACGCAGGAAGCAAACCGACGGACAGTTTATTATGCGAGCTTGATTTATCGCCGGCTGACCTATTAATTTCACGGATATTGGACATTAATCGTCAAAAAGCAAAGCGATCGGCACGGATAGCGATCAATTACCGGGGAGCATTCCGGGTACTGGCCTCGAATTTGTAAAACCGCTCGACGCTCTGCGTGCCTTCTGCTAGCGGGGGAAATTCAGATATTCCGAATTGCCGTGATTGGAACGGTGCCGTAAATTGTCTTGACAATCATCGGATTACTTTCCTGTATAAACTCCGGTCCGCGAAGGAAAGCGAGGGGGCTCGTGGAATATATTCCTCGGGAAATCCAGTTAGATTTATTAAGTTTTTATTACCACCCCTAAGTGGGTTTTGTTAAACGAATTTCCGGCTACTCTAGGTTATTAGAGGGACGTTTGCTTTTACTGCAGGAACCAAAAGAAAAAATCCCGGAGGTCCTGGTGGAGCACAACTCGGTGATGCGAGGAGCCATTCCCTGCCTGCCGGTGCCTCTTGCTTGGTTCTGTCTGGTCTGGAACGTCCTGATACCCGGATCTGGAAAGTGGATCTTTTAATCTTCGGCATATTCGAGTTAAACAACGTTTCTATGTTACTTTCCGTTACAGGGACTTTGTGGAGTGGGCTTTTCAATTTGTGCGCCGGCCAGCCGCGGTTCTCCACCGTGGCTGGACCTAAAGCAAGGCTTGGAGCGTTCATTGTCAACCTGATCGTTAGTGTCAGTCAATTGTTCACCGTTTTGTTCTGCCTTGTTGGCTGGGGATGGAGCATCTGGTGGGGTATCACCATGATCCGCCTTGCGAGTGAGTAATTTAACGTTCTTAGATTAAATGAAATTAAATCCTATTGAATTATTCTCGGCCTCAATTATTCGGCCATAATAGTGATTAGTGATAAGAAATAATGACGATCTATCCGGTATAGAACGTGGCGTTTATCAGGACGGTCTACGAGGGCCTAGGGCACCTACATCTCCCAGTCTGCACGTTGCATGTCGGATAGCGGTGTTCGACAAAGAGCCATCATAAATTTATGAACAGCCACATCGCATCCACTTAAATTTTAAGCAGGGTTAAACTGATTAACTAATGACAAAAATCGAGCGCTCAGATTGGTTTAAATTTTGCAGCAGCCGGCGGGGAGAATCCACGTGCATCGGTGAATAATTAACGGGCACTGGCAGTGCGAGCATCGTAAAATCGTTAAATAATCAATCCTAGTTTCTATGGCGATTACTTATATAGTCCAGCTCCTCGCGATCGATATTTCGAGGACATCCGAATCAACGTTAATCGCCGACGAGACGAGCTTTCGAAATTCCGCAGATCGCGTTAATTATCCCCTGGGCCGAGCACTTAAGCAGATTGTTTCGGGATTGCAAATTAACTTCATTCCCGGATGTATGTATTTTTGGCCGGCCAGGTTGAACTCAAACTCCCGACATTACAACCTAGTTCTAATGGCTCAACTTCCTCCCTCTTGGGACATGCTCGTCTCGTTTTCTTAGTTCGCGAGTACAGCCACCCCTCGTTTCCCCCGTTAATCATCGTTGCATGTCACGGGTCAATATGCACCGGAGGTCGGACGGATGGCCGAAAATTCCTGCGACTGTCTAACCCCGTGACTGGTATCGCTTTTACACCGTTTCTCTATTTTCCAGGAAAGTACAAGCGATTTCGAGCTTCCGAAGCAGCCGCTGGCGACCCGGAAGCGAGGATGAACGACGCAACGGGGTTGCCACCCGGTGTACCGAGTCATGCCCTGCGAGGGCTCGAGAGGTCGCGATAACCTCGCAAATCCAAATCGTCCAGGGTTTCTGAGCGGATCTCCAGTCCTCTCGCACGTTCCGGATCGATCAGTGGTTCCTAAATGGCAAGCACCGAATTTCGACGGATTAAAATCCCACTCGAGCCGGACTAATGAATGTTCAATCTCTAATCGAAGCGCCCCGGCGGCGCGATAAGGGTACTCACCTGTTAACCGCTTCCAGATAAGAATTGCCGAATCCGCATCCGGAGGAACCTCGACCTCGGCCATGGAGGAGGGCTCCGGGGTCTCGTTGCTTTCAGTGAAAGCATTATACGGCACGTGAGGCTGCAAAATGCGCATCGTGTTGACCAGGGTTTATCTCCGAGGAACAGCCGCTCGGTCTAAACTACCCGAAGGTTTCACTTTTTATAATTATACCAAGTAAGCTCCGGAGGAAGACGGGGGCGAATTTGCATTTTTACAGTGCGCCGCTCGCATCCATGCACCCGTGCATACCTTCGATATATCAGAGTTGTACATATAGGCGAGAAATACATTACCTGCTAACGTTTTTCATCCAATCGACTGACTGCTCTTTTCTCCATTTTTCATGGCACTCCTCTCTCGGCCGAACGCTTTCCGCGTTCATTATCGATGCGTGCGCTCTGACGGTAACGCACCATGCGGAATAATAAGCGAATGCGACGCGTGTATCGGAGAAGCTACGTGGCCGTATGTTTCTGGATTAGCACATGACACCATAAAAACACACCGGTGGATGGCCTCGTAAAGGACATCGCGTATCGATCGTTATTTTGATCAAGTGGCGAACGTACCTGACTTTTTCATACGCGTCATGCGCGACAAGGCATGTGCACCCTCGTGCCCGAAGATGAGCTAATCAAAAATGCATTTTCTTTCAAGCCCTACTGGTTAATGCCTCGTCAAGGCAGGATGTAATTCAGGAATTTGGTGTAGTATCGGTTGGTGTTGTATCGGGTGGTGCAGATTGGTGAGGAATGGGGCGACTGTTCGAGAGTTCTGAAATTAACGTTCGAGCATTTTGGTGGTAAAACATAGTGAGGTGGAAAAAGCATCCCATTCCCGAGTGATCCCTCCAGGATGTGGTACTCGTTCGGCTTACTTACCCGTTTCTTTTTTCATGTACAAATGACAAGTCGTCCATGAGGTGAAATGGTGACAAAATGGCGGCCGGCTCTTGGAGGCTGTGACTACGGTGAGTAGGATTGAAATTTTCTCCGTGGTTCGTAGAAAGTCTCGTTTATTCATAGTGACCCTTTTTCCCTATCTAGACTAATGTGAATTTTCTGTCCTCGCTTTTAGACAAAACATCGATCCGCGCTTCCGGGATGGCGAAAGGTAAGCCCGACATGGAGCCGTGCAACGCTTGCAAAGTTTATCAGCGAAAGTCGCATTGTTTATAAGAAAGGGCACGTCGCACCGCACATCGGCACCGTGAAAGATGTGAATGAGAAAAGAAACGATATAATATTTATTACTGTCTTCCACGAGAGACCAAATAACATGCATGTACAATAGTCTTTGGTATTTCTATGATAACGAAAAGCCTGGTGAAGCGGACTATGTAAAGTACGATCAGTCGACTCATGTAACAGCGATCGAATCGAAAAGTCATGAAGTAAGGTCGAGGGCAATGAGGGGACGTAAAAAGCGAAACCCTTGCACCGTAAGTTCCTAAGAAAAAAAAAAAGAGAAAAAGAAAAAAGAACGATGATACCGAATTAGATATTGGACTATCTACAAAAGGCGCCCTCTCGGAGGAACGCATTCGACCTGCTCTATATACAACGTACGAGAACCCGAGCGATACAATTAGATCGATAATTCGATAAAATCGCTTCTCCGAAGCTAAATCCCTCTATTGAGGGGCGTAATGTCCATCTCGCGAGACGTATTAATTTTTTTCCCTAATTGTTTATCCCGCGACAATGGCGTCTCTACGAGTACATAAGTCCTCCGTGGCCTCGTACTTTACACTACTAGTCGTGAGTCGACACAGGTCATCCGTAACTCGTGATTAACGATACAATAACGATACCGAGTGCCAGAATTCGCCATGGAAAGACATTTCGCGAGATCATGGGAGGTCATGGGGCGATCGTCGAGAGCGAACCGGAGTAACGGTGGAATAAATAATGTCCTGTCTTTGGTCCTTCCGATGTGACTGATATAATGATGCCAATATATATACTGTTAGGTATCTCAGAGTTATGCATGGTATGGTGTGGGTGTCAATGAATCGAGAGTCGCTGGCTTGGATATATCGAGTAGTATATGTTTAATGATGTGACTCCATAAATGTCAATATGCACAAGTAAATATTTGTTGTTATATATAATAGTGTTACAGTGTGTAGTATGTGATAGACGGTAATAAACGGCTTTTTAAGTTAACATTTATGATTAAAAACTTAAAATAACGCTAAGGAATAAACTACTTCACTAGAGCTAGCAACTATAGCGGTAGCCTAGGATGTCTTTTACTAACAGCGCTCTCTCGCGGCGAGTGTCGCCCTCGTCCCCGAGCTTCGGGACCAGGGGTTCGAAATTCGAATTTCGACGTCGAGACCGAGGAGAAAATGAAAATCAGGGTCATGAAAACCCGTGTCCTGAAATTTCCTCTTTTTAATAGGCGCCCTCGGAGGCCGGAGACGAGGGCTTCGAAGCGGGACGATCCGACTTACGGTTGTGACGTACATACAAGCGACGCATACTCTTAAAAACGTGTAGTATACTCTCCGTGTCTCGAGTGAGGGTGTGTGCGTATATATATATATATATATACTCATTCTGAAATATATATATACCGGGGTGTGTGTGGGCCGTGGGTTTGTGCTGTGGTGTTCAGTGTGTGACGGTCTTTTTTACTCGCTACGTATATTCGCAGGTTTTGCGGCCCGCGTCGGTGGCATTGTGATCGTGCGTTCCTCTACGAGTTGGGCTTATCAGCCGCGTTTATCACGGCCGCGAATGCCGGTGATAGCGTCCCGAGTCCCGCACGATCAGCGGGGACGGTCGTCGCGGCGACACCGACGCCGGGGCCGGGACTCCGGAGATCCAGGAAATTCGCAAGCCGTCTTCTAGCGGGCCTCCGCGCATACCTATCCGTACATGAGCAAAGATTTCGCAGAGCCGATCGGTTGGTCGATATCCGACGACCTGGACTCGATTTTTGGCCCTCCTCGCAGGGGGTCCAGGTCGGGTCCGACCGGCGCCCTCTGTGGAGTCCGGTGTGTGCATCAGGGGTAACAAATCTGCCATCGGTTTCAATCATTATATTTCATATTTGGTTGTTCTATCCAGTAGATATACATTCTTGGCAAATCCGAAAAAAACCGATTCCAAAATAGGAACAGATCATTGTGCGAACTATGTATACAGGGTGCAATTTGCGAAACACACGTCTCGTGTTTGCTCTCGTACATGTAGACTGTACCTTCTTCTTCTTCATCATTTTTTTTTTGTTCTTTTTAATTTGCCTCCGAAGTGGTGGTACATTTGGTTGGGTGCGCAGGGCTGCTAGGCACAGATAATTGACTCGCAAATAACTCTTCAAACAACATTAGAGCGTACGACATACAGTATAATATACACATTACATCTTTAAGAGTAGTCCATATCGATGTATCCGTGTGTTCGGGTGTGTGTTTCTCGTGTACCTTGTGTATTCTCTGGTGTCGGTATGCTAGGTAGATCTAGATCATTAAAATACATTTAGGCGTCCGGATGCTGCGCCAGGGAGGACCAGAGTGGGTAGACCGGACGACGCGAGGTCCTCCACCTTTTCCTAATGTCTGCATGCGTATCTTCTAGGGTTAACCTCTTCTAACTTCTTCGAGAGACTATTTGCTGCCTTTTTATTCCAGTCTCTCTTGATTCTCTCCTATTTCGCATCCGGAGGAATTCATCCCTCCACCGTTGTTGGGACCACATGCGCGCGTTCGCCTCATCGATCCACCCTGGTCTATCGCCGCGCAGAGCCCGGCTCGTGTATTTAACGTACAATGTATACAGTCAACAGATCTTATTACATCTAATTTGTCTTTTGACGCAGCGATGGGAAGACAGAGCATAGAGACCCTTCGGGCCCGGGTGCACGACGGGGGCGGAGGGTCGGTCGGGCGTCTGGATACTCGGGACTTAGTACCTCTCTATACAATTCTCGACGTGGCCGAAAAAGGGCAGGGACGGGATATACGCTAGAGACACTGATATGACACGTGGTGCTTGGGATGCCTACGACCTGATATGTGGAGCAGGTATGTCACCGGTAATACTTGAGATTGCTAAAGGCTACTGCGCTTTGGTTCCTAGTGGCGCACATCGAAGGGCGGCTCTCTCTCCTACCCCATTCGACGACCAACCCCTCGACTAGGTGGTTGATTCGTGTTAAACGCAAGTGACGAGCAAGCTAGTACGAAAAGTACCGATTAATTCGAAAAAAATCCCACGAGTTGGTTTCCATAAGGATGACCACGTGCTCCCGTGGGAACGCGATAAAAGATCGGAACGAAGAAAACGATCATCTCCAGGGCACGATTTAATCAATATAAATCACGAGCAACTTTGGAACGATTAAATCGCTCCGGTAAATACAGTATACGTTTCTTGGATATGTACAGGATTTCGAGATAAATAGGACATGATAAATACAACGAAAACGAGACGAATTATTAAATAAAATGGTAAAACAGGGCCCTTGAGAGTTTGCAACTTCAGGACCTGCGATTGACACGAGTCGATTTCTAAGTTTCTCATTTCGAAGACTTCGTAGGAGCGACTTTGACGTACCGCCGACGACGATCGGCCGGATTCTAGTAATCCGATAAATTCTGGAAATGGCTAGCCCGGCTCGATCGTCGAGGTCTCGATCCTGCGAAGTCTCCTTTCCACTCGGCTCGATCACCGGGGGAGGGCCGCTTCGTGGTTCTCGTTTTGAAAAATATTTAACCTCGAATTCGCGGTTCCCCCGAGGGTAGGATTGGAATGATACGTCTAGGGCTGCGAGCCGGTTGCTGGGAAAGTAGCCAACCCCTTTCCGAAATCTTTTTCGAGGTCGGCTAAAAGGATCAAGCGACGCTAAGTAGTACGGTTCGAGTTGCCCCCTCTCTCGCTATACATTTTTTTTTAATATACTCTCCGTCAAAACGACGTCGAGAAATTATTTCCCCGTCTCTAGAACGGAGCCCAGTCCTAGACACGTGCTCGCGATAATCCGAGAATCTCGTGAAAAAAAAAGAAAAAAAAAAAAAAACAACTTCGGAGAGTCGCCATAAGCTTCGCCGTTGCGAGTCGATAACACCGAATCGGGGCTCGAAAATCGTCCGACGAACCGAGATCATTTTTCCGAATTAAATAAACAATTGTACGGCATGGAATCACCGGGCCGCCGTTATCGGGACCCGACGAGAAATTCGGCTAAACGCGAATCGAGTAACCCCGAGAAAATTTATCCGCAAAGTTCCAACCGCGGGATCGCTCCCCATAACGGCGGTATAACGTCGGGTCGCGTGGTACATTGCATGAAAAATATTCCACCGACGAAAAACTCTCTCCGTACAAGCGAAACGACCCGATATCGGACCGACAAGGGACCTCGCAATCCGGCTCCGCTCGATGCACGGTAGAAATCAAAGCGCTCCGGCAGTAGTGCCTTTTTGCAATACTAACGATTAATAATAATAGTAACGATATGTTAACTACGTCCTACCTATCTACGGACATTAACCTAACGCCTTAAACGCGTACTTCTCACATCCGATACGCCTACGCTGGGGGGCCCGGTTTTCTTAAAACCGGCGCCATAAATAATAATTACATTATGAATTAATAAACCGTATTCTCATGCGCTTGCAAATATATACATATAGATGGGATATGTATTAGTAAGATTTCATTAAACAAATTTCACCCCCATCAACGCGATCGTTAGTTATCGACACAGATTCATCAGGTTCCTCTTGACAACCCTCGAGAGAGAGCCTTGAACGCGCGTTTACGCGTTTACGCGTGTACGTAGCCCGTTGCGTTGACACGGTGCTAAGTTCTATCTCTGGAATACTGCATCGTTACAGATTCTAACGGCTACGGTTACGGTTTGATTTTGTGCACAGGGCTGCCGGACGACCAAAAGGGGCCTCGCCCGCCGCAGCGGCCAGAGCGCGCCTTCGAGGCGGACCCTCTTCCCGGCGAGTTCCACTTTTTCTGGCACCGCGCTAATCGGGCTACCTCGAGGCCGTAATTAACGCGTGTCCGAAACGCTCGATCGAGGCGCGCAGCGCTTAAATCTCCGTCGTGCCCGTTCCGCGGAGGCTCCTTCTGGTGTCTGGCAGAGGCGATTAACGTCGCGCCACATTAAATCCTAGAACCCTCGGAAACGGTTCGACATCCGTCCGGCGCGGTCGCGTCTCCCCCCTCGGTTTTTCGCCTCCCTCGTCCTAGATATATAGATAACTCTGCTTAAATAGGTTAGAATTACTCGATTACAGCCATATTCGCCGAGTGCGTCGCGACTTTCGAGCCTAGTCCTATATGTATATGTATATATATATATTTATATAATATGTATATGTATATATAACAGCCACCGCGGCGAGTCGCGAAGCGCGACTCGCCCCGAGGAGTCGCTTTTTAGGCGTTACGCGAGAGCGGGTCGACGTAAAGAGTCGATCATCGAAATGGCTTCGCCGATCGTCTCGGCTCGACGCCTCCTCGAGGGAGAGGATCGGAGTTCGTTGTGACGCTGGACGCTATCACCCCTTAGGGCGCTCCCGGAGGTAAAGTGTCCGAAGGTAAGCGAGAGTCTGGCGTTAAGTTGACGGAGCTTTAGGTTTGCAGCGCTGGTGCGTGCACCCAGGGTGCAATTGCAGTTGCACCTGGGACCCGCGATCCGGATCGGGAGGGCATCGTCCGCGTGTCGTTTCAAATCCTCGATCTAGCTAGCTCGTTTCTTATCACAGGTTTTCCAGCTGGACATGCCCTAAGAAACTAGCGGGTGTTGGGGCACCCGAGGTCGTAGCACCGAATCGGGACCTTCCGTGCACTCGATCTACGTACAGACTACTCCACTTTGCAAGTTTGACACGATTTCAGGGCGAATCTGACGCCGGAAATTCCGCTAGAAATGGGGCTCGGAGCTTTTAACAGATTTTTCGCCACGAGGCTTACGTGATATCATCAGCGATAGGAATTAAGTACGCCTTCCTGGCATGGGAACGTTTTTTCGCTCGCCGGTGCATGCTCGAAGAAAATTAGCGAATGCACCGAAAATTAGCGGTCGCGTTCGTTAGCGTGGCTGCCGAGACCGAAATTAGCACGGGAGGGTCGTGGCGGGGATTTCGTCTCCCAGGAGAGAGATAGACGGATAGACGGATAGGAATAGACGTATGGACAGAGATAGGGATATGGAGAAGGGAGAGGCCGATGAAACGGTCGCGAAAGCGCTCGTCGTCCTCGACGATCGGAGGCCGTGGGGGGTCGTCCCTCATCGGGGGCGCAAAAAGTCCCAAGGCACGGAATAAAACGTGTCCGCCGGCGAACCCGCCCGCGTGGGGCCCTCTGCGGCCGAAACGCTGCGGGCGAGCCGGCAGCACCCTAAGTTCTGAGAGTCGAGGGCGGTCGGACCCGGCGTTGCGCTACGCCGCCGTAAGGGCGCTTTTCCCGCGACTTAGTCTCGGCAAAGTGAACCTTACGGCGGCACGCGGCGAACTCAGGCTCCGTCGCCCTCATGCCTCGGTACCGACACTCCGCTGACGCGGAAGGAATTAATTTGCACCCCGCGAGCGCTTTTCCGACGAATGAAAAACGGTCGACGATTGGAATCGATCGCCAAGGCGGAAAATCGGAAGAAAAGTGCGGACAGTTCCCTCGGAAGCTCGGCTAAGTGCTACGCCTCGACGTTTGTACTCTTTGCGGAAGCGCTGGACAGGTGGGAAGTCGTCCCTCGATTTCGGACTTTTTTTTGCTAGCTTCGCCTCCGTCGCGACGATACTCTCCCTCGACTGGGGGTCGCCTCGGCTCTCGCGTCTTCGTAATGTATCTACAAGATCCGATAAATCGTAGCTTTATGATATGCCGCGTGTGTCCTAACTGCTTATACGCTACTCGACTTACGTCTTAAGATCCGCTCGCCGGGTCAAACCGACGACGACGCGTCGCGACGACGGACAGTGATGCGTTTACCCTATGCGAAACTCCGTAGTTGTACAAGTACGCGACGGTAGTAGTATATCGATACAGCGGTAGTCCATGGCGACAATCGTTAACGGCAATAATATACAACGGTTGCGGTGTAACGTCGGAGTGTGATGTAAAAACAAATGAACGAATAAACGAAGGAAAAAGGGGAAACAACAGGGGAGAGGGGAAAAAAAGTATCGTCATCAGGGGATATAACTCGACGGTGATAAAATATCTCGACTCTGCGAAACGGAGCAAAGTGCCCACCGCCCGAGCAAGAAAAGTCGGAAACAATGAACAACGATCGCAGCGCACCGGGAAAAAACAGTGCATCCTTAGGCTAGTACCTCGTTCCCGTAATATCGACATCGCACGATTCAACATATTTCTCTCCTCTTCGGCGTGATCCTTGTCTTCCTCTCCGGAAGTGGCCACGTCAACGGCCGATCCGAAAGAAAGATGGCCGCGCGTCGTCGCCTTCCGATTCGCAGCGATCGATCGATCGTCGCCGATCCATCGCCAACGTGCTCCTAAATCGCGTACAGCTTATCCTCTAGTCGTATTGTAACAAATATTGCCTCGAATATAAACTTCTGTATTCCCCTTATTTAAGTTAAACTCTTCACTCGTTAGGTCTCTCTCACGATCATCAATGGACAAAATGGCGGGTAATCTCTCACGCGTATAGGAGGGGCCAAGTGCCCCCGGTTAATATCTTACGTTACGTATGGCCGTGTCAAGTCTATATTAATTAGTAGTCATTTGGTTCGCTTCAAAATTTTCGGAGATCTAAAACCTTTCTTATAAAAACGTCCCCCAGCCCGACAAAATATTGCCGAGGGACCCTAATATATTGTGTCGTCGAAGTCATTGTTCCTTATCTCTCTGCGTAACGCGATTTGTTTGTTTCTTTTTTTCTCTGTTAATATAAAATTCAATTCGCGGTCCTCCGACCGATCGAGAGCGGACGCGAGTCCTGCCACCGAGTCGTCGCAACCTGAACACTACAGCTCTTGGGAGTACCCGGGGTCTAGTTTCCACATTTCCGGCGCAGCAAGATCGAGTCGGAAGCTGGCCTCACCTGGCGCGATTAGACTAGTTAGAAGATATTTTTCACAATTTCCTATACGAAACCTCCGGAAGAGCGCGGGAAGCCGTTCCAGCAGGGAGGCTCGCGGCCTCCTTTAAAAAGTCCACCTTTGACAGAAAATTTCCTTTGAAGGGCCCCCTCCCGTTCCAGGGGTCCCCGAAATTACGGCGGCGGCATTGAAAAATCATAAAATCGCAAACCTGGGCGAAGGTTTCCCCATTAGACCGAAGAACGTCTCCGAAAGTTGCAGAGATTAGAGCGCCCCAAGGGGGGATCTCGCCCTCTCTAATCAATTTCTTCGCTCGACATGCATCGGGCCCCAAGTATCCGCTGATATGTCACAAGAGATAAAGATCGTCGCGGTGTAACCGGAGGCCTCGATTGCACTCTCTGGCCTTCGGCTCTAATCTCTTCATACCGCCGCGAACGGCTTCCCGGTCGTCCCTCCTGCGTCGCACTTGACTCCTCGAGGTTAGCTCCCCCCAACGCTATCGGCCTTATCGTCGCGATCCTGCTGCACCTACGGGCGCACACCCGGGGCATCGGTGCCGAGGGTCGTCCACCCCGGTTCAAGAGGGGCATCGTCAGGGTCCCCACCCAGGAGGGCCAAGTGGGTACAGCACGCGGCGCAAAGAGTGGAGGGGATGCGCGGCATCCCCCTCCGCCGGTCGCGGCGGTGGGGGGTACCGCGTCCCCGAAAGCTGCATGCGATACATACGAGAAGACGAGGTACAAGTTGCAACGTGCACTTCCGGTGGAGCTGGCGCGTCCGCGTCTTCCCCGCGGAGGGTGTCGGTGTCCCGCGGAGGGCCTGGATCGGCGCTGGACCAGGAAACGGAGGAGTCAGCCGGTGGCCAGGGTGGACGCGCTGGCTGGACGCGTCCTCGACTCGGGTTGGTCCTGGGTCGCGTGTTCGGCCGTGCCTCGTCCCTTGGTCGGGAAGGTCGGGCCTCCTAGTAGGGCCAGAAGGTCGGGAGGGGCGGCGGCGGCGGGGGTGGCACCGTCGGGTAGAGCGTGGGGGCGGCGATGAGGAGACACGCGGGCGGGAGAGGCGGAGGCACAGGAGGCGGCAAAACCGGGGATAGCGCGATCGCCGCGGCCGGGTGCAGGGCCGTGCCCGGGTGCAGGCCGAGAGGAGGGCGCTGCCGCTGACGCTGACGCTGGCCCTGGACCTCGCCGTTCTATTCCGAGTCCTGCTGCATTTTGACGTGCCCATTACCGGCGGAATTGCTCGATGCGTTGCCGCTGCTCGGCGGGAAGCTCGTGGGGATGGTGCGCGACGACGAGAAGCAGAGCTTCATGATGTACGGAAACTTTCCGTCTGTAAAGAAGCACCGGGAACGTCCCACCATGCTGCTAACAAGGAAGTTTATCCGGGAGTCCCTCGTCGACTCGAATAGCTTTGAAATGTGTTAAAGTAGAGTGGGAAAGTAGAGAAGTTCTCCGCCGACGAAGAGGATAAGAAAAAGCGAGAAAGAAAGGAACGATACGTGTCTCTGATTTTTCACTCTACTTTAATATATTTCAAAGCGAATCGAGTCGGCGAGGGACACCCGGGATGCCTACCTTGTTAGCGACCTAGCAAGTTAGTAACCTACGGACGCCGTAAGCCTCGTCGGGTCGCCGACTTTCCCGTCGAGAGGGGAAAGTTGGACGACCGGCCCGAAAGGCACGACTTCTCTTCGCGATATCTTCGATACATTTCAGATTCCGCGGTCTCGAGGTCGGAGAATCGGTCGTTACTCTACGGACTAGTTAACTGCAAGCTCCTCGCGGTCTAGATATGGAAGTCTGATTTTTTTTCAACTTACTGCTGTTCTCCAGGGCGGTGTGGTTGCACTCCATGATGGCGGCCACTGCGACGCCGACGCTGCTGAACTCGATCAGGCCCGACGACGACCGCTCCGACTTCAGGGGGAACAGCTTCACCGTCGTTGGCGCCTCGATTCCTCGTTCCAGGAAGACGCGGTTTACCGTCTCCTCGGTTAGGTCTGGCGGGGTGTTGAAAAAGTGGACTATCTTCGACGGTGGCTGTATTCTGTTCTTGTTCGCCATCGCTGGATTCAGAAACCTTCGAGCAAGACGAATAAATTAAGAATCATTATCGGGAGTTCGAGCAGCTGAGGAAAAAAGGACGTTTACAATGATCCACGGTCATCGTGGCGTACCTGTTGTTCTTGCTGCCGGTGAAGTCCTTGAAGCTGGCCGTCTTGTCGGGAAGAATGTAAGGATTGGTGACGTCCGAGAGGAAGGCCTGCTTCGAGAAGCCGAGCTGCAGTTTGCCGTCGTTGCCGATCGTCACGTTGTTCAGGTTCTGCAAACACCTCTCGACGGCTATGCTGTCGCCCATCTGGATCATGGCGCACCCCTCCTTCGTCTTCAGGAACTTCACCTGGAATAGGACCGTTGACTTGGCGTGACCAGGTTCCGGATGGCAAATAAATCCGAAATAAAATTCCTAGACCATCAGGGGCACTTTCGGTACCCCCGAGGAAGACTTTAGGGTGGATTATCGGTGATCGATCATCCGCCAGTCGGCTACCCCTCACCTTGGTGACGTTCCCGTAGAGGCAGAAGAGGTTGAAGAGTTTGTCGGTGTTGACCTTATCGGGTTGGAGGCCGTAGACCATCATGACGGAGCCCTGCGTACTCGAGGGTGGAGTCTGACCCAGGGTCGGGACGTACCCCGGCCTGGGGGGTGTGGGGTGCAGGGGCTCCCGGCCCCCGAAATCGCTTTTTATCCCGTACCTCTCGACGTAGGGCTCCGCATAGGTGGCCGGTCCGTTGAAACTTTCCTCGTAACGATCGTGCGCCGCTCCGGGCGGGAAGGCCACCTGTGGCGTGGACCCTGAAAAGGTGGAGGAGAACACTCGTCGATGCCCTTCGCCTCGCTTTCCTCCCTAAAGCTCCCGAGATTCACCCCCGGATGGTCGACAATTTCCCGACGAATCGATCTCATGGGTCGCCGATCGCCAACACCGGGATATCTTTATCGAGGCCCTACCCTCGGTTATCAGGAATGATCCACCACGCGGTTACCAGAAATGGTTATCCACGATTATCGGGGTGGTTTTCCACGTCGCGCCCAACCCGACCGCCGAAGGCGGCTCTCGTCTATGCAACATCGATAACCCCTTCGAGTCGAATCACTGGAACGGGAATTTCCGGATGTTCCGCGGCGGAAGCGTCTGACGCGTCGCGGCGTTTCCAGGGAAATTAGCGCAAAGGTAACGCGGATCGCGCTATCAGAGGAGACCCCGTTGACGCGGCGGGAATGCTCAGGGCGTGGTTCTCGTTAAGGGTTGGTGCCGTTTGATGTCGAGTTAAAAGGGAGTCGAGGAGGAGCTCGCGAAGGGTGGCTCGTGATCCCGGCACACAGGGGTCTTTTAAAAGACGGAACGCGAAGACAGGGGTTGAAGTTGAGGCGCGAAGGGCTGCCAGTCGAAAATCCCGGAAAATCTGAAACCTCGGGCCACGAGGGTGACTCTTACGACCTACTGCAGCGTCCACCTCTACCACGTCTTGGAGTGACGGAAACGAAGTGCAAGAAACTCACCATAGGGCTGTGGTGCAGCTCCGTATCTGGGCTCCGCCAGGAGTGGAGCCGGCCTCCCATTTCCGGTCGTGTCGCTCTTGTGTCCGCTCGAGCCTGAAACAGACGCGGGGCAGAGCCGCGATCAGTATCGACCGGAGAGAAACGGCGGATAAAGTGGACGCTCGTCGATCACCCTCCCTTCCACCTGGGACCGCTCGGTTCTCCGCTGTCCAACTCGCCGACTCCGTTCCGCGCGCTCCAAGAGAAAAAGACGGGGAAAAAAATGGAGAAAAATCAAACCAGGGTGGAGAATCCAAAGTCGGAGAAGAACGTGGGAAGGAATTCGAGGGAAGCCGAGGGAAGCGCGTTTACATGGTCGGCGGAACCCCAGGTGTACCCAGGCGGGGTATCAAATCGGAGGAAGCGCGGTTTCATCCCGGCTGGTCGGAGCCGCGGCTCCCGGGGATCCCTGGAATCTTCGGGATGGAGGGATCACCCTCTCCGGAGGAAATCCTCCGGCTGATTTCCCGACTGAGCTCTTGGGCCGCCTCCTTGGCTGCGGACAAGAGGCGGTAGGGCGGCGAGGCACGAAATGCAAATGAACGGACATGCAGATTGGACAGGGCGCGATCGTTACGCAGCCGGGTGGAACGTATAACGGGGGGCAGGAACGTGATATGCGGAAGGGGTGCGAAGGTAGAGCGGAGAGGTACAATGCCGCAATCCGAGCCCCTCTGCACACCTGGACGACTCGTCAGGTAGAACCTGGCTCGCGTGAGCGTCTAGGACTCGCGTCCTGGATAGGGTGGAGGGAGCTACAGGATGTGCTCGCGTTGCACCCCGAAGACCGGGATCGGGAACCAGGATATCTCCCGTGACCTTACGAGGGGTCCCAACCCTGGTTTACGTGGCGACGTCGGAGGTCGATATCGGAGGCCTCGTCGAGTACACCTCGGATCGATGTCGGATCGATGCATCGGTGCATCGTCGCTGCACGTTCTAGCCTCTCCAGAGGTCTCATGGGGCTGATCTAGGATTCGTCTTTGAGATAAGACGGAATAATATTTTTTCCGATGAAGATTTTGGGACCGGAAAAGAGAGGGAACGATGAGATCGGTTCGTCGGTTACGCTCCGATTTCTTCATCTCCTTCCGCGATCAGACGGCGAGGGTGAAAGGACGACGGCGATAGTTAATTAATGGAAATTAATCGAAGGTCTTCGGGGTTAATTTCTAATACCGGGTTGACTCTTCTTTCATTGGGTGCGATTTTTCCGCGCCGAAGTGGTTGACCGATTTGAAAGGGGAGACCGATTGTATGGAAAATCAGGAACCGCTCCGCAGGTAGAACCTCGAAGTGGATCACGCGTCGCCACCGTAGGGGGCAATCTGCATTTCTGCAGCGGCTTATTATACTTGTAAAACGGTCGCTCGAGAACGCTGATACGCCTCGAACTCATATTTAATTTCTCGTGAAATACCTAACGAACCGTACGCTAATGACACGGTTTCCTGGGCTTTGCGACGGGGAATGCGTCGCGGAAACGCATCCCATGTGCCGTCCGCTTCAAACGCGGTTAAATATATTGTTACTCGGGACGATTGCCAATATTAGCCGCATCGGCAGGAATGTCATCGATGCCTATACCGGCGCGTTACGGTGAATTACAATTGCCCGTCACCGTTCTAGAGCCGCAATTTCGCTCGGTCGACTCGAACCGCCATATTGGTCCCGTTTAGACGCGAGGGTCTCATCTGGGCGATTCTTGCACGTTTAGGGTTCCGCCGCGCATGGTCCCGGTTAAGTGCCCATGGTTCATGGTCCTAGGCATGTCGCGGTCCCACGAGATGAAAGGTCCATGGTGGAGTTAATTGTAAGTCCGCACCTACGTCCATGGTTCCACCTATAACTGACCATTTACGTCCATGGTCCTACCTGGGTCGATGGTCCCATCCGTCCATGTGCGTCCATTACTCTAGAGGTCCCCTTTCCCCCCCTGGCGAATACCACCTAGGTCAACGGTCCCATCCGTTCCATCCATGGCCATAATCCTACCCACGGACCCATCTACACCATGGTCTCACCCACGTCCGCGGTCCTCGTGCGTGGGCGGCTCCACCCTGGCGGGTAACGCAGGGAGCGGCTTACGTGCTTATCAACGCCCAGTTATCTCGCGGCAGTAAATAACTGATAGCGGTCCCGGCGAGACGCGGAGGGAGAAGGATCGCCCCGAGTAATCTCTTCCGAGCCGTCTCAGGGCTCGTTGCGAGTCGGAATCGGCACGTCCGACCGTCGTCGCCGACCTCGAGGTTGCCTTCGGAGTGGTTTCCAGGGTCGCCCTGGGGTGGAAACCGCCTTCAGGGTGGTTTCTCGGGCCGCGTTTAGGGCTGTCGTTACCCCCCGTTATCCTCTCCCTCGGCCCCATCGGGGGTGACACCGTCTCAAGTGTTCGCGCTCCAGCCATCTTCCTAATTATCGGCCCAATTAGCAATTACCGCGTTGTTGCTGCCTGGATGTAAATCGAGTGACGCTAATTAGAGGGCGCGCCCCCTCCCCCCGGGGCCCGCTAATTACTCTCGCTAAATTTCTACCCGTATGCAAGATAATTACCCCATTTTTCCCCTTTTTTCTCCGTTACCGGATCATCCTCGTGGGATCGGGTTCCGCGAGCCCGAGAAGTCGATCCTGGGAAGGGGTCCTGCCGGTCATTTTCCGTTCCAGGATCGACCGAAATTCCCCATTAGCTGAACATTTAAACTCATTTCTTACCCCCATTCGTATGCAGCCCCGTGCGCGGCTACCTCGATTTCAGCTACTAATTGCAATGGAACGTCCAAAGAGCCGAGACGTATCTTTTTAATTAATTTTTTATCTCTTAAAACCCATCGATTAGAAATCCCTCGAGAGACGCAACGGGGCTGACGTAGTTGGAACAATGGATTAATTTCGGTTCGCGATCCGATATGCTCGTCTTCGAGGAGAGAGGAACCGCGAAAGGGTTGACCCCGAAAAGAGCGGCAAACCCCGTGGGGGGTCGCGAGGACTCTTAATCGATTCCTTAGGGGTAATCCGGCGATTATTTGGTGCGTAGCGCATACTGACTTACCGTTCGCCGCCATCGTCAACAATAACGGAGTGCTCCATACCCGAGCAATGACTCCGGACAGAGGCTTAGCCGTAGACCTGCCTGAGCCTCACTCACCGGCCCTGACTTGTCCACTTGAATCCATCATCACCTCATGTCAACAACGAGTAGGCTGCATCTGCACACAGACAAACATTCCAACATAACACCTCTTTCCTCCCACTTCCGGCACTGCGTTCGGCCATGTCCGTTTCTGTCTCTTCGACTGGAGTTAGTCTCGGTCTTGATTTGTGGTGTGGTAAGCGAGAGATTAACTAGCCGTGTGCGTAACTTTTGCTGGGTAGTAAAAAGGTCTTTCTGTATCCTGATTTCTGGACTCCGGTTTACGAGATATATACATATATATATACATACACACAGATGTATATATACATATATACACGTTTTCTATCCTTTCGGTACACTCTCCGGCAGTGACCTGTTATGATTTTTTTTTCCGTTCTATAGACTTTTTTTTTTTTCCGGTGGTACTTTTCGACATCCTGAACTCGGATACATATATACTGTCGAGACGGTAGCAGTGGTTGATTGAATGTTTGTCTGTGAGTGCACTGGTAGCCCTTGGAACGGCACGTGTCGAGCATTCGACAGGAGATACATTATTGCGTGAACATTTCGCCAAAAGTCTATATACCTCCGCGTACATACGCCTCTCTCGGTCTCTCCCTCTCTCGCTCTCTCTCTCGCTCTCTCTCTCTCTCCGTTCTCTAGACTTTTGAAAAACCTTCTCTACGTCGTGCGCTATTTCGTTTCGTGGTCGATGGTTGGCGGGTGGAGGGTCCGGCAGATCTACGGCGTATGTGTGACGTATGTGAATATATCTTGTGGATTCATGTGCATATATATATATATTTATTTATTTATAGATTTTGTATCTCGTGAATGCTCTCCCTCTCTTTCTCTCTCTCTCTCTCTCCCTCTCTCCAGCCTCACCCACCCGGTCGACACGGAAATTCGAGATGCCAGATTTTTCGGCGATTCCACTCGGCCTCCTCCCGCGACGCGAATATCTTCACGCGAAGAATCTCACCCGGGACTAACCGCGTCCTTGACTACGCACCCACCTAGGGGGTGCGGTAAAACACCCGGACGGTAAACGGCCGCCATCGTTCCGGAGCATCGGGGATGCCTTAAAACGGGAAACAACGCGACTAGGAACCGCCGTTAACGTCCCCGGCAACCTGGTTGCCGCGCGAGTCGACGAGCAAGCCCCTTTACGATCGACCCTAACGATTTTACTGGATGTATCGATTTATTCCGCCACCCCTTTACGGTCCCGCAACTCCCCTGGAGGCCTTCCAGCCTGTAAACGTCCCGAGGAGCGAGGAACGATCCCGGAAATATTTACGCGCCCGGAGAACGGAAGTGGCTCTACGCCCGGAAGTACTTCCACTGGAGAACGCCTGGAGAACAAGATGCGTTTGCGCGGTAAAACTAGGACACCATGATACATCGATGGCGTATGAAAAGGTTCCATGGTAGGAGCAAGTATCGACGGAGATGCATCAAGAGAATCGACGGAATCCGAAGAGATGCTCGATCTTGAAGAATTAAAGATGGCGGATAGGGAGCGTGGAGAACGCCGCGTTTGGGACAAAAGTAGGACACCATGATTTATCGATATCATGGTGGATGAGATGCCGTCTTGAGGGTGGAGGATGCGTATCCAGAGATGTACTTTGAGAGGAAGACGCGAAATTTAAAGCGACGATCCTTGTTACAGAATTCAAGATGGCGGGCGAAGGAGATTGGCGCGAACGAGGAGGCGACGTCCGACTCTCATCTTGGGACGCGGAATAAACGGGGTATAATTGAATCTGCACTTTGATCCAGAGATGCGCATCTCGCGTTGTCATGTACCCATGACGTGGGTTATGAAGGCATCTCTAAGGTACCTTCGATGCTTTCCAAGGCGGAGGGCGAGAAATATGCGTGGAGGATGAAAGAACGTTTCCCGTGAATTGAAACT